TCTCGGGTCCCCCCCTCCTCCCCACTGTCTCAGTGAAGTCGCACACACACACACACACACACACGCACTATGGTGACACTTGGTGTCTTCTGATTGACTAACTGCGTTTCAGCCAGAGAAACGTGAGCGAGCTTGGCAAGCATTTGTCAAAGCACAGTGTGCTCTGCAGCGCTCCTGCTTTCTGCACAGCACGTGATTCCTCACAGATCTTTGGTTCCATCTATAGCTCCCCATCTGTGCTGGGCGTTGTTGAAAAGCACAAACTACTCACAAAAATGCATAAATTGATGATCTGAGATGAGGGTAAAGATAAAAAGCGGTCAGACCTGCTGCAGCGTAATGCAGGAAGAGAGAAGCAGTTGTTTATATATATCAGAGTCTCTGCTGAAGGAGTGCCAATGAGTTAAAGACAAAAAGGCTGCACATCAAAATCATCAGTCAGATCTCTATCTTCATGACTCGATCTGTAAAGTATACCTGGTAAACATAAAGATAAATGTGAAATAAAGTCATTTTCTTTTTGGTTTGTGGCGGTGACAGAAAACAAAAAGCCAACTTTGGACAACCCCGTTACCCTTGACACACACCAACCATCAGAACCACAGCTAAACACACACAAACACGGATCTCCTTGCAGAGAAACTCTCTTTCTGCAAAAGAAAGACTTATTCAGCATTTTAGCAGATTCACCTTGATTTTACTGCACCATTATTTTTATAACTAATATTATAATAAAACTTTGTGCAACATTTGATCATCCAAATATTTCTACAATTAGACCACTCCAGTTTGTGCTGACTGGTCAGAAAGTGTTTTTCTGAGAAATTATTAATACAATAAAATTGATTTCAGATGCAGATCAACCTGCAACCATGACCTTTATCTTGAGTGGTTCTACTGTTGAGTCTGATCAGCAGCGATCAGACTCAAATGTTTGATTTACAGGCCAACAGAAACCTTAGAGAACAATAACAGGAAGTTGGTCAGGGAAGGAGTGAATTTGCAGTCGAACAACACTGACACCTAGTGGATATTTGCCGAACTGTCACCAGAACTAAAACCTAAACGATGCAGATTCTGATAGAATCTGAAGTCTCTTTTCAGGTGACAAATTATACAAAAGAAATAGTATGTGAGCTCAAAAGCATTAAGTAAAATTAGAAATGTTCCCATGAACCTTAAAATCATGATGTTTGCTGCTCCTCAATAACGGGAAAGAAAGGAAAATCTGACCAGCAACTACATGTTTTTTATCAATTACACGTATAAACAACACAATTATCTCACAGACCTGTGACCATGATGAAATATTAAACTAATGCAATGCTTATTCAAATATATTAGCTCATAATTAAATCTGTAGTTTTATGTATGTGTTGTGTATTTGAAGAAAATCCAATTCTAGGTTCTCGGGTTTTATGACAACAACGTTTTTTTTATCCTAAGAAGAGTAAAAATGCATGAATAATCTCCACATCAAAGCACTCAGGTCCCTTTTGATGCTCCAACATAATGACTGCGATAATGTTGTGACAGTGTTTGTTATTAGGGGCATTAAGTGTGACCGTATTAATGTAAACAGACAGTCATAATGACTTATAATGACATGGGTTTCTCCTCTTATTCGACGGCAGACAGCTGAGAGGAGGCAGCAGTGAAGAAGTGAGAAAGAAGCTCTGACTCAGTCGGAGCTGAACTCAAAGCAGCAGCATCCGAACAGAAATTACCCAGGATGATCTGCAAAAGGTCGCAACAATCCTTTGGTGTGAAATATTAAAGTTCAAGGGGAAAAGTTGAAAATTACAAACCCAGAATCAGAATCAAATCTTCTTTCTTGATCTCGTTTTCCAGAAGATGCTGGAATTTAGAGAAACTGCCTAACCAGTCGTAATGCTGCTCCGTCTTGTATCGCTCATCCCAGTAAGAAACGTCTTTGTAACAGGAGTTCTGGTCTGGCAGGAAGTCCATATTATCTGCAACATGGATGCATAGAATAAGGAAATTCAGAATCTTAAAAATTTTAGGGATCAGGAAATAATTGTCCAATTTATTTATTGGTTTGGTTGGGGGGGGGGTGTTCTCAGAATTTCCTTTTTTTTTCATTGTTTATGCTAAATTTAATAGTGAAATATTCTAGTTTAAATTTAGCAAAGTTTTCAATTTACTAACTATTACTGCACACAGTAAAATGTGTTCTGCAGAAATCTTTCATATTTTAAGGAATTTCTCGCAGCAAAATCTAGTGAATGAAATTTTGATTTATCAACACAGATCATTAATGCATTAAGACAGAACCAGAAAATTCTCAGATTAAATTTTTTACAAGAACTATGTACTTTTATTAGTTTTTAATATTCTTTAAATCTTATATTTGCTTTTTACAGCTTCCTTTGTGTTAGCTCTGCTTCTAGCAGGTGAGTTATTTCTTTCTTTCATTAATCCCTAATTAATTTGTGAGTGACAGATGTATAAAGTACTGGAAATTGGAATAAGACAAATTATTACAAAGTGGGATTTTTTCGATTTTGTTGGTGCTCCTGAACGCCACTCGAGTAACGCATCAGCGCATGCGTACAACCAGAATCTTCACAGGAAACTTGCCCTGTAAATTCAAACTGCAGCTCGTTAAATTCGTAATGTTGCGCTTATAAAGTAAATTCCTTGTACATTACTCACTTGTTGGTCACAATCTCCTCTGAAGCTTCACTTATTATGTTGTAAAAAATAAAACTATTCCGACTGAAAACACGTGTTGAACGATGGTGTTGAAACTAACACCACCAAACGTCTCCAGGCAGTCCCGAGCTAACTTCCTGCTAAAACGTACTTACAAAAACTTAAAGAAACCAGATTAACTCTGATTTAATTATCTATTTTAATACTGGCACAGTTTTTATCTGTGTTTCTCAAAGCGTGAATGTTTTTGAAGGCGGAGCAACATGTGGGAGTGCTACAGTATTGGTGCGTTCAAATACTTCCTGAAAACACGTAAAATCTCCTTGTTTCATTTGAGGAATTTACGTTTTAAACTGAACAGATTTAAAACCTTAACCGAGTTATGCTTTTGTTGGTGTGTGTGTGTGTGTGTGTGTGTGTGTGTGTGTGTGTGTGTGTGTGTGTGTGTGTGTGTGTGTGTGTGTGTGTGTGTGTGTGTGTGTGTGTGTGTGTGTGTGTTTATTTATTATCTTATTTTTTTTAGTGAAAACCAGCATCAGCAAGGGCCTTGAATATAAAACATGGCTACGTCATTCAGCATGACAATGATCCCAAACACATCGAAAGGGTAACGAAAGTGTGGCGTCATAGATGCATTAAGGTCCTCCTAGAGTGGCTTAGCTACCCTGCAAACAGTCAACGTCGCATGGACGTGCAGATCATGTCTATATTGAGTCTGTCGGTCCAGACCACGTCTGTGGGACGTCCAAACTAGATCTTTGCACAGTGGGCAGTCTCCAGATCTCAACCCCACAGAAAATCTATGGAGGGAGTTGAAAGTTCGTGTTGCCCAGCAAACAGCTGCAAAACATCATTGCTCAAGAGGAGATCCGCATGGATGAATGGGCCAAAATACCAGCAGCAGTGTGTGAAAACCTTGTGAAGACTTACAGAAAACCTTTGACCCCTGTCATTGCCAACAAAAGGAACAGAGTATTGAGATGGACTTTTGTTATTGACCAAATACTTACTTTCCACCATAATTTTGGCAAATAAGTTCTTTAAAAAATCAGACAAATGTGATTTTTTGGATTTTTCCCCTCATTTTGTCTAATAGCTGAAGAATACCGATGAAAATTACAGACCTCTCGTCTTTTAAGTGGGATAACTTGTACTAATGGTGGCTGACTAAATACTTTTTTGTCCCATTGAACATGAAACGCCACAATCAAGTGGCTAGCATGTGGAACATCTATTTGGACTGCCCATCTGTGAGTTCTGGAGAATCCCAGAGCAGCCAGCATGCTTTAGGGCCAATGGGTGGGCTTCGAGCGGCATTGGCAATGCTGCAGCAACACACATGCCCCTCCCCCGTTGTTCTGTTGTTTTAGTGTTTTACTTGTTTTGTTTGTTAAGCACTTTGCAGCTTCTATGCTGCTGTTAAGTGCTATATCAATGAAGTTGAATGGACTTGACAGACCACCAGCAAAAACCACTGATCCACCGCTGCATCCACTGATTGCAGCATCCATTTTGCCTCAGAAAAACTAAACTAAAACACAGAGAGAGAGAGAGAGAGAGAGAGAGAGAGAGAGAGAGAGAGAGAGAGAGAGAGAGAGAGAGAGAGAGAGAGAGAGAGAGAGAGAGAGAGAGAGAGAGAGAGAGAGAGAGAGAGAGAGGATTAAAATAAAGTCTCACTCCAAACTGCAGAAGTTGGCACATAGCTCATTTGATATCCCCCCCCCCCCCCCCCCTTTCCGTGGTGTAGCAGTACCGTAAATGTCCAGTAGGTGGTAGTGTTTCGCTTTCCTCTTTACAGTTAGTCATTTTGATCTGGAAACTTTCTGACAAGCTCCTGCACATCATCCCGCTTTTTGTAGCTTATTATTTATTGCTTGTTTTCTATGTGTGATGTGTTCTATTTTGTGATGTCTTCAAATCGATTCTAAAGTCAAAATTGTCCAAGTCATGTGACTTTGATCCTCTTTCCTGCAGGTTTGTCTTAGGTGGACATAAAATGTCTCCTGAAATGTCTTTAAAAACGTTTTTTCCCGCCTTTTCTGCACTTACAGCCAAGAAACAGACACAAAACTGTTCAAATGAGACAAAAATATGAATTATATGGGCTCCTTTTACCAGAACAGATAGAATGATGCAACATAACCTAATTCTGAGGAAAAATAATACTCTGGATGGATAGAATAATTACGGCTACAGATGACAACATCTTTTGTTGATGTGACCTAAGTTTTTATAGTAACCCTTTTATTTATTTCTCAGCTCGTCTGTGTTTTAGAGTAAAGCGTGTCCCTCCAGCCCGATGTAGAGCGCTGCATCACAGTTACATAACCCATCTAATGAAAGTGGGGTTACAGTATTTTAAATGGTTTGCAAATTTGGAAAAAGCTGACCTAAACATCCTGAACTGGAGCTTGTAAAACGCTCCGATGCTCTCAGGTCCTGAGTCCAGACGCGGATTCCTAGACCCGGTCTGAAGATGCGGAGAATAATTTGACTCGGATTCCTCTTCATAGAGAAGAAGCAGCACCAGACCACGTGAGAGGACGCCTCAGACAGCCCGGCTCATCTCAGCTGCTGACATGGACTCCTGGACGTCCCCAGAAACAGACGCACATTAGGCAGAGATGCATGAATGTAACCTCTGATCCTCCTTCCCTCATTTCTTCTTCTTTTCGTTTCTTTTAGTTCGGTTTACTCCTCCCTCCCCTTTTGTTTGACAGCTCCAGAGGGAGTAATGGCTTGGCCGTGCATCAGCAGAGTGTGCTGCTTGGCTCGCTTCTGGAACCAGTTCGACAAGTCGGACCTGTCCGTCCCGCTGACTATCCACAACTACTCGGACATTGCCGAGCAGGAGGTGCGCTCCGTCACCAAGCAGATCAGCGAGTCGGAGAGCGCGCCCGGGAATAACTACACCATCCCGCGTAAAGGCTCCCCACAGGCGCCCTCTGATGGGACGCGCGGATCTTTCAGGGCACGGAAGGAGCCCAGCTACAAGCCCCGGGAGGACTACCACCCACCTGGGGTGCCCTTCCCCAGCGTTACCCAGTACAAGCAGGATTTCAAACCTTGGCCCATCCCCAGGAAGGACAACTTCCCCTGGATCAGTAACGGGGGGAGTAGGACTGAAGGTGTTCCGGACGGCCCCGGGGACAGAGAGGACAGGGGTTCGGGGCAGAGATGGGTGATGGAGGACAGCAAAACCAGCTCCTACAGGTAGGTCTTTTATCTGTTTAAGCACCTGGAGCTGTCCACTCCTTCATTGCCCCAGAGGCATTTTATTCTAGTTGTGGGAGACTGGACGGAACCAGCCTGTAGAGAAAGAGAGAAGTGGTTCTGATCAATATTTCCCCTATCACACGGATCCACTGAGGGAACTTAGATACAGATATTTTATTTATGTTTCTACTTTTGCTTTAGGTGGTTCTCAGTGAGGAGTGCTCTCGTTTTAGTCTCTGGTTGTATTTTTAACCTACTGATGGATCTCTCCCCCCTTTAGGCAAGAGTACAGAGCATGGACGGGGGTGAAACCAGCCAAAAGTGCAAGGAAAGCCCCCTCAGCTCAATACTCCAGCCCTGGAACAGAGCCCACCCAAGTCCCACGTGAGACCAGCTACCAGGCTGCCTACAGCGGAGAGGTCAGCAGGTCCATAGGAGTGAATCAGGTGGACCACATCCTCCCATCTGCTGCCTCCACACAGCCTCCCCCTGTCACCCAGAACACCCCACAAGCTGGCAGCTCACCCAGCCCTTTCAACCTCCAGCAAAGCCTCTTGCCTGAGGGGTCCGAGCACACCAGGAGAGAGGTATAAGCACACACGGCACATCTAAACATGTTTGTAGGCAGCTGGGCACCAAAAACATAAAAGAACCACAGATTTAAGCAGCTGCCTTTGAAAGTCATGCTCATTAATCTCCCAGGTGGTGCTGCTGCTGAGGCATCTCAGAAAAGTGATACAGCATTCTGTCCCAGAGCAGCTCAAAGTGACCCAGCTGTTTAAAGCAGGTCGTGTGCTCTGTTAGGTAACACCGCGGGTGCCTCACTCATTACTCTGACCTGAATAAAACAGGGATGACACAGAGAAGGGATCTGTAAGTTACAACTCCATCGGTGATCTGATCACGATTGTCATTTACTTTCACTCACACATCAACATCAATAATAATAAGTCCAGAACCCTGTGGTTGTGGATCAGAACAAGCAGATCTAGGGGATACCCTTACCCATCCCACCAGTCTGCCCCAGTGATGGGGGTGCTATCCAGGGTCGACTGTTTTTGGGGAAGTCTCCAGAGGTTTAGCGCCATCCCTCTTCTTCACCCAGCAGTGCTCAGAACCATCTGGGCCGGCTCAGGTAGTTGGTCTGTCTCTGTCCCAACAGCTGCCCCGATAAGCTGAAGGGTATTAGAGAGGAAAAGCTAGGATTTTGTCTCTCTTCTTTTTGTTCTGACCTCTTTGTTTGCCCTTGCTCATGCAACTTCATCTGCTTATCCCACATATAATTAATGCAAGTCAAATAAGACCAGCTTCTGCTTATTTGCATACTTTTCTCAACTATGCCTCAGCTGTCTTGCCTTCTTGGTGACCCACATGACGATGGAGATGATGAAAGAGGTCAAAGCAAGAGAAGTCAATGACAGGACATGCTAATAATAATGGCTGACCCAGTTTGAGTGAGTGTTCACAGTAAAGAAAGGCGATGTGCTGCTGGCAGTGTGTAGCGGCTGTGGAGGAAACGCCTTCCATATATCTAAACATTGTGTTTGTCATTCACGTCATCAGTCAATTTGACAAAAATCAGCCCTGGCAGCAAGTCAAGCTGATCTCAGATAATCCACCACAGCACCCACTCGCTGCCAACTCATCACTGACTCACCAGCCCCCTGCAGAGGTGTCTGACCAGGCATTACACACGCATCAGACCCTGTTGTGACATGATGGCATTCTGTAAAACGAGCGCCTTCAACAAGAGACGAGCTGTGACCAGCAAGGAAACACATGCATCTAAATGTGGAGCAGAGCCGCTGAGTCAAAGACTGTGACTGTTCATTTAAAAAACTTTAATTGTCCCAAATGAGCTGCTGAAATCAAATCAGTCCGCTCTCGTTGACAGAGAAGGAGGGCAGCCGTGCGGTTCCCGCTGCTGTTCCAATCAATTAGGGAAATGTGTGCAATCGCCCTGCAGGAACAGATAGAATCCATCTTGAGAGATAAAAGAGAGTTTCAAGACGAGCATCCGTGCACTGGTGATGCCTTTAAAGATGGAGTCGTTTGTTCTTGAACTCGCTGAACCCACAAACTTAATTTCAAGCATCTAAGAAGGAGCCTCTAAACCTGGAACCGAGCTGGGATTGCATACGTGCACAGGGGGAACAGGTGTGGAAGCGTGTTTAATCTGCAGCATGTGTTGAGGATGAGCGAGACAAAACAAAATGAGAAAACCTCAGCGGGAACTGGTGAGACCGATTCCTGCTTTCTTCAGTGTCAGCTGAGATGCAGCAGCCGTCAGAGGTTTAGGAGTACCAAACACAACAAGGAGTCGTGTTCTCCTGCAGCACTAATGCACTATAGAGCGATGATGGAAATGCTGATCACAATAGCTGCATAAAGAGGATTAGATGGTCTGCTGGGGAATAAAATCTAATACATTATGAAATTCACTTTGTCTTTTAACCCACTTCCCTCAATTATCCAGGAATGAGAGGAGAATCATTTTGGCCAAAATAATGAAGTTCATTCAAATTTGTTTTTTTAGTAGTTTAAGGCCTTATTTAAAAGTTGGGAATTTGGCTTTGCTGATGAATCCAAATTATAAATAATGCGTTACCACTTATGTCTTCACAAATGACCTGATCTCATTGCTGCAAAAGTTTGCGTTTCTTTTGATCTATAGCTATCAACAATATACAGGTGAGACTTTAGAATATGGTGCAAAAGTTCATTTATTTCACTAATTCAACTTAAAAGGTGAAACTAATATATGAGGTAGACTCTTTATATACAAATCCAGATATTTCAAGCCTTTATTTGTTAAAATTGTGATGATCACAGTTTATGAAAACCCAAAAATCAAAATCTCAGACAATAAGAATATTGTGAAAAGGTTAAACATTCTAGATTTAAAGTGTCACACTCTGATCAGCTAATGAATCCAAAACACCTGCAAAAGGTTCCTGAGCATTTAAATGGTTGAATTACTGAAATTAATAGACTTTTTGCACAATATTCAAATTTTTCCACTTTTACCTAAAATGCCTGACAGATTCCTTTCGGATCCTTGATCCGTACTTCGCTCAAGTCCGCATCGATGTGTACTTGGGTGGAGGGCACTACCCACAATCCACTGCTGCGAGGTAAAAGGCTCAAGTGCTTTTTCTAAAAATATGTATTTTCAAATAGTTAATTTTAGGATGATTAATTCATACTCTGAATGTTTTAGACAAAGCAGCAATTAATGTAAATGTATTTCAATAAATTGTTTGGCTGTTTGTTTGAAAGTTGTTATTAAAGTTTTTATTTAAAAAGTAGCACAGCGACCAGCATCCTAGCATGCATTACAGTTGATGATGCAATGGCCCCGTCCCAGTTCGCCAATTAGTTGCCCACTTATGAACCACGCACTTGAAGCCTGCGCACTTCCTCCAAGAGCTGTGCATCAAACGGAAGGATTTGGAGTCTTAATTCCTGATATTTAGACATCTTGCCTCGAATTGGGTAAAAGCAACGCAACGCTACCGCTAACTCTGCTTGCTCTGTGACATTAACGTTTTATCTCCACAAATAACAAGCCTGGAAGAGCTTCAGCCATGTGTTTGAGTTGCTAATGCTAGCAGTTAGCTTCTGTTGAAAGAGCCGTTCTCTTCTGGATGGTAGAACGACAGCCTTCCCCATCATGGGTCTAAGGGTAAGTCCAATTAACTTTCACTATCAAAACAAAGATAACCAGAGCAAATACCAAATGTACTTTTACATTTAAGAACCAAAACATTCTAAACACTGCTGCCCTCGTTTAGTCGGGGTTAAAGTCCCGTAGACATCATCACACACTGGTGAAATTCCATCTCTGCTTTTGACCAATCCCAGTGGGGAGTGGTGAGCTGCAGCTGTGGCTGTGCTCAGGAACTATTCAGTGATTTAACCTCCCAATCCAACCCCTTAAAGCTGATTGTCAAGCAGGGAGGCATTGGGTCCCATTTTTAAAGTCTTTGGTATGACTCGACCCAGGGCAGACGCTCTACCACAAGGCCAGTGAGAAGGTTAAGGTCATGAATCAACAATAAGAGGGCAAATGCCAAAATGGCCTTCATGCAGGAGTAAAGAGAAAATAACACAAAGACTCATCTCACATTCACCCAAAAACATGATGATCCCGAGACGTTTGGGAACATATTTTGTGGACTGACGAGACAAAAGTGGGACTTTTTGGAAAGCATGTGCTTTGTTTCATGTGGTGTAGAACTAAAAACATGTTTCACAAACAGAACATCAAACCAACTGTCAAACATGGAGGTGGTAGTGTGATGGTCTTGTTTGAAAACTATATTTTTTATTGACTCCAATGTTAAAATTTCTTTGATAATCTGAAACATTTAAGCGGGAAAAAAAGCTAAAACAGCAGAAATTCATAAGTAGGCAAATACTATTTTCCTCATGTTCTCATTCTGTTATTTTGGGGGAATAATTTCTTTTGATTAAACATAATTTGACATTGACATGCAGAAGTAGCACAAGTTACAACCTTCCTTCTTCTGAGCTCATCATATATCCTGGTAGATCCAGGAATGACACACTGATAACTATTAAGAGTCACATGATTATGTTACTTTTTAACAAATCACACTATAACACGAGAGAAGGCAAAACAAAGACCTCAGTTCTCGTACTCTGTTTTTTAAACCTGTTTTCCTGTTATCTCCACCATCCCAAAGCCAAATTTTCTCCTCGTTTGTCTTTCTCCTTTCCTTTCCTTCATCCCCATTCCCACGCTGCCCAGAACCAAAGAGCTCAGTGCCAAGTTGGCAGGGCCAGGGAGAGGCCTTTGTATTGGGAGCAGGGGGCTCAGCATGAAAAGGGTGAGGAAAAGGACTGAGAATATATATATGTGCATATATATATATATATATATATATATATATATATATATATATATATATATAAATGGGAAGAATGGGATGCACAATGTGGAGGATAAGTGACAGTGAACGGAAGAGGAATAGAAGCAGGGAGGAGAGGAGAGAACATCGTTTGATGGGTTATCTGTTAAAGTGCAGGGTTGCACCGGGCTGCAGTCTCGTTCAGCACCAATCTAATTTAGGAGAAAGGCAGACCTCGCTGCTAAAAGAACAGAAAAGAGCTGTGTGTGTGTGTGTGTGTGTGTGTGTGTGTGTGTGTGTGTGTGGATGTAGGAGGGGAGGTGACTCGACTCACCAATCTGACTTAGTGAACAACGAAGCAAAAGCTTTTGCTGCCACCCACGGCGACGTGAACCCACAAGGAGAGTTGGGAGAACAAGTTGACATCACCTTCAAAAACCTTCCACTAAAATCTATATTTTATTACTCTCCTTTGTATGTCACTGTGGATGAAAGCATCTGCCAGATACATGAGCATTTGTATCGTCTGATCCTCCATAATTACAGCTAGAGACGACAGAACGGGGTGAGTTTGATGCAGGTTTTTGGAGAAGCTTCAGAGCAGAGAAGCTACTAACCCAGTCCAGTGTGCTGGTGCTCTGACATCAGACCTGAGGCTTTGTGACAGACTGTCCAGCCAGTCTCCTCTCATTTCATGGGTCCAGTCAGCCAATGCCCTCATTTTTTTTAATCTCACTGACCATCTCAAAAGTCACTTCTGTTCCTCTCTTTCTCCTTTTTCATTTAGGAGCATCTGGTGAAGACCAAACTCTCCCCGAACCCTTCTGCTGTCTTTCAAAGTGGATCAAGGGTCTTCAACATCTGACGGCTATTGCAGGTTCTTCTCAGTCCCACTTCCAGCTCCGATTTTACAGAATCAGCCCCGGGAGGAGATGGTCCCAATTTGTTTCACAACACAAGAATCTATGCAAACGGAATGTATGAAGCTAACTGTCCCAAGTGGAGAGAGAGAGAGAGAGAGAGAGAGAGAGAGAGAGAGAGAGAGAGAGAGAGAGAGAGAGAGAGAGGGAGACATTTCATTTTACTCGCCCCTCTTCTCCTTGTTGCTATGGAAATGAATATGCATGTAACAGAATAGTTTTAAGACTATCTTTTTTTTAGGTGATATAGACGCACAAGAATCTAGCTGAGTGTGTGTGTGTGTGTCTGCTTTGATGTCCTTTTATTGTACATAATGTCGCCTCAGCACCAATGATTAAGAACACGGTTTGTCATTCACAGCTTCCTTTGAGTGTGTTTATGCTTTTTGATGTTGCTAGAAAGCTGCTTGGAAATAAGTTTTCCCTTTATTTGCATTTAGTTTGATGTTTTAAGATGTACTATTTGTATTGTTTATTGTGAATATCACGGTGAGAAAAAGAACAGTTATACAATCTAAGTGGAATTATAATAAAAGATAATTAAATAGGTTCCTAGCACTTTCTCTGAAAGGACTTTTCCTTTTTTTATTGTACATTATAGTAACTGAGTTGTTAATATGAAGGTTGTTTGTTGAAGAATGTGCCAAGAATGTGCAACCATTAAAGCTGCAATTGCAAATCTGCAAAACAAGCTGGCTTAAAACATGTTTCCTTGCCTCTTTACCAACGTTCTAACATTGTATAGCTATAAATATAGCATAGTGCTATAAATATATTGTGAAGATAAAAAATAATAAAGTGGTTCTCGCATTTTGTCTAAAAACCTCAGCCAATAACACGGCTCGATCTGAAACCAACAATTAGACCATCCAGTCGACGGTCTCACTTCCCTGGGTCCTCCATTAATTACACACTCGTGTTTTAAGCAGCAGAACACCACTGGTGTGAGAGGTTCATCGCTCATTAATATCAAAGAAGAAACAGCCGGCTGCTATCGCTTCAACTTTAGGACAAACTATCAGAGTCCCAAAAAGAAAAACACCATTTGACATTTGGAACTAGAAAACGACGACTGGTGTTTAGCGCCGTCTCGTTTCCTCTGGCAATGAACGTTCCGGTATCAGGCAGATGGGAGGGTGATATCCAACAGGAGGGGTGAGAGTTCTGTGACGGCGTTTGTATTTTAAAGCTAGCTTGTTTTGTAGGTTTGCTAGAACAGCTTTAATAATCTAAACAGCCACTTCTGCTCCATCTTCAACTGAATAAAATCTCAAGAGTCATAAAATGTGGTTTTAGCTTTAAATAGATTAAGTGTCATCATGGAAAAAACTGTAATATGTTGGTGTTATTAATAAAACAAAGAGCCACAGTGTATGTTTTGTCAGACATTTTAAAATTATGATCTAGGAAAATACATAAATGTTTTTGCTTTTACACCCTTGATAAACTTTGAAATAATAAACCATCCATGCAGCCATCCATTTTCAACCACTTATCCAGGGTCGGGTCACGGGGACAGTAGCCTAAGCAGAGGCCCAGACATCCCTCTCCCCAACCACGTGGGCCAGCTCCTCCAGGGAAAGCCTAAGGCGTTCCCTGGCCAGCCAAGAAACATAGTCCCTTCATTGTGTCCTGGGTCTTCCTTTAGGAGTTCCACCTTTTGGACATGCCCGGAAAACCTCACCAGGGAGGCGTCCTAACCATGTGCCCGAGCCACCTCAACTGGCTCCTCTCGATGTGGAGGAGCAGCGGATTTACTCCAAGCTCTTCCCAGAGCTTGGAGTAAATCCAAGCTCTGGGAAGAGCTAAATCCAAGGTGAGCTTCTCACCCTAGGGAGAGCCCAGCTAACCTGCAGAGTAAACTCATTCTGGCCGCTTGTATCCACAATCTCGTTCTTTCGGTCACTACCCAAAGCTCATGATCATAGGTGAGGGTAGGAACGTAGATCGACCGGTAAATCGAGACATTTGCCTTCCGGCTCAGCTCTCTTCACCATGACAGATCGGTACAACGCTGCAGATGCAGCACGAATCCGACTGTCGATCTCCCGCTCCAGTTTTCCCTCACTCGTGAACAAGATCTCGAGATACTTAAACTCCTCCACTTGGGGCAGGACCTCATCCTTGACCTGGAAAAAGCATTCTACCCTTTTCTGACTAAACCAGAATGAGTATTAATATTATATAAATATTTCTAAAGCTATAAGTTAAAGTGGTACTTTACTCATATTTTAATATATTTACAGCGGTTTCTAGTAGGAATGAATGCCTTGTAAGTCGTATTCTGGGGAAAAAAGGCTCCAGTGTGCCTGTTTCAGGAATTAAAAGTGAGCTAGACAAAAGTATTTGGGGTATTATTTCCTGATATTTGGACATCTCGCCTCTGATTGGCTTACAGCAACTCTACCACTAACTAGCAGTGACTCTGCCACTGACTGTTAGCTCTGCAATGTTAAAAGTTTCCTGGAGTTCTGCTGTGCTGTGGAGTTTTTAACGCTAACAGTTAGCTTATACTAATCGAGACGTTCTCTGCTGGACGCTAAACCAGCAACAGCCATCCCCGTCGCAAGCCAAGACGGGTGAGTCCATGAATGTTTAGCGACAGTGTGATGTAGATGTCAGGCTTTCCTGAACAGAGTGTTTTTCTGTAAATTTTCTAATACACGCGCACACACACACGCACACGCACACACACACACATGCACATGCAGATGACAAGAGATAGTTTTTTTTCTGGGTTTATTATAAGAATATTGATCATATATTTTTGGTTTGCACAAAAAATACTATACAATATTAAATTATCTTTCACACTAATTAGATTTGGTCTAAAAGGCATTTTAACCAGATATCCAAACATCCACATACAAAGCTCCACATTTAACACACACACCTGATAACTGTTTAAAAGCTGTTGATATTAGAAACAAAAGAAAGTTCCATAATTCAAATACTGGTGATCTATAGCAATCAGTTGCAACCAGAACATCCATCATCCTAATACTTTAGATGAACTGTGATAAACATCTGGACCCACGTGGACATGAAGATGAGAATTCTGGGATAAGAGCGGCGTGTCATGAACTGAGCCGTTCATGACGGGTCCTTTTGATCTGGAGGGGTCGGAGCAGAGGTCTGCATCACCCCGACTTGTTTCAACACATCCTGAAGACGTGTTAAGCTGTCCAGTTGAGAAGGTCCAATAATGTTTAGACATGTCAAAGTCCAAGGGGATCTCCAAGAACTACACACAGATATGGTTACAGAACACCTAAAAACCTCTGAAAGAAAAGCCTGAATGAGACGACTAACATTAAGAAGTTCAGATCCACCACAAAATATTCAGGATTCAGATTTCTCAGCAGATCTCAGGAACAAAACTATCTGTGATTCAAACACTTGAAGAGTTTATGTGTTTTATTCTGCTGCAACATGTAACTATCACCTATGCTGGGGGGAAACACTGGCTGTCATGGCAACGGCACCTTTGGAAGAGCCAGTCTGAGTGCTTCACCCGTCCCAAAAAATAAATAATAAATAAAAACAGCAGCCATCCGTCACACTCGCTCCAGGTCCCTTCTGGCATCATAAAAGTAACGCCGTTACAAAAGAGCACAGCAGCTACGACGAATTAGATCAAACGAGCAACAAGAAGTGGCTTTACTCAAAAAACGGGAATAAAATATGACTGTATGCTCACAGTATTACAGACGTTTGTTATTCTGCTGCTGAGAAGCAGGATGAGCCCCTCAGAGATCAGGTTAATGAACACAGTACATCAACTGTGTCGCTGGGCAACCCGAGGCGTCAAAGGCAAGTGGCTTGGTCACATAGCGCGTGGCTCAGACAGCCCAAATCAGTCCGTGTGTTTAAAACACAGATCAATGTCAGAACTGGCTTCACCTCATTCGTCCTTGGTGAGGCAACCCATGTGTGAGTTAGTGAGGAAGTCACAGGTGGGGATGCTGCAGACGGCCTGGTGGACGTTCATGGCTGTGACCTCTCTCGGTGTCCTGAAACCAAATGTGTCAATGTCAGGATTCTAGGAATGACTTCATTCACTAGGAATGACGTCTCGAACAGAAACACTGCTGCTAAAACTAATAACTGTTAAATCCTGACATCTACAGGTTTAGTATCTCACTTTCCCGCCTCACACACCTAAAACTTTTGTACCTTTAAGCTCATATAATGGCTTACAACATCATGATTCTCTTTTTCTTTCAGTTCCTAGAGTCAGCAGAGAAGTAGGGAAATATGCTTTTAATGTCAGTCTTCCTGCAGACACCCGCTCGCTCACTTCTTTTCACACTTTCCCAAAGGCAATTCCAACATACCTACAGAGTACCAGCACTTGTAAATGTAACTCATTTTAGTTTATTAACTTATTTATTTATTACCATTTTGTGTTAGAGTTATACACTTTTTCTGGCCTTTGTAGTAGTGTTATTAACATTTTGTTAGTGTTTATGGTGTTCGTCATATACAACACTGTGTTTGATGCTTAACTTACATTTTATTGTAATGTGATGCTGGAAATTTGGTGGGGGTTGGGTGAACCATGGAGCTGGTCCGAGTGTGAAGATGTGTGTTTGGTAAATGTTTTTGATATTTATTCTCTATGTTTATTATTATTATTTAGCAAATATTTCTCGTTTTTATTTATTGTACATGGTGGTAGCTTATCTTGTTAAAGAGGACCCTCACGACAACGAGATGGCACATCTCATGGGGCTACTCCTCTTTAAATATACGTTAATAGATAAATAAATATTATGCAGGCCAGGACAGATGATTTTATTGATGCCTAACTGTAGCAAACATTGATCATCTAGGTCATAACTATAGTATTAAAGTACTGTTGGCTTTAGATTTATACACATTTAATACTTTTGCGAGTATTTCTCCCTGCAGGAGAATGCCTGTGGCTGCAAATCAACTGCCGCAGCAACAATCACTAGAATCATAGCACCATTAATCCAAAGCATGTGTTTATATAGATATCTATATATATGTAACTATGACAAACACATCTAATTAAAATTAGACTTTGGTCACTCATAAATATGCAAATAGACCCAAAAACTAAGAGCCACTGATGACTTTATTCTAATCTGGGACTGAAATGATTGCCTGCAAATATGGAGGTAAGTGTCAATAAATAACTAGTAAGAACATGAAGTCAAATAGTTAAAAAGAGCAAAGAACAATAAAGCGTGAAACCAACAGCCTGGAGATGTCAAAGAAACAGAAAGGATGTGCAGCATGAAAAATAACAAACCTGTTTGGAGAGGATTTAGCGTGGGCTCCAGCTAGAGCTTCTCTCAGGATATCACTGGCAAACTGCTGTGTAGCCTGCAGTACGCAGACACACACACACACACGCGCACACACACACACACACACACACACACACACACACACACACACGTGCACACACACGCACACACACAAAGTCTTTAATTGAATTTCTTTAATTTCACCAATTCTGGGAAAAAAAAACCCTATCTTCTGTTCCTCCACATAAAAACTAAACACTTCCTTAAAAAATCTCGACTCACTGATTAAAACCGAGATAAAATCAGCCCCTGTAAACCTCATTAAAGTCACTGACCTTGAGAATCATGGCCTCCACTACAGGAGCAAAAACATTCTTCTCCACCTCCACCGGCTGAAAGCTTACCCCGATCTAAAAGACACAAAACACCTTTAGCAAAGAGAGCAGAACCGATGAAACTTAGGAACACACACAGAGCTCACTGACCTGCTGAGCTGTTTCACTGACAAACTGGGAGGAGATGCAGGGACCCAGATAAAATTTCGGCTCCACATCTGTTTCCTGCTCCTCCTCTTTGACCTTTAGCCTCTGGCAGGGCGGAGTCACGGTAACAATGTCGACTATTTCGTCATCTGCCTCCTCTGGTTCGGTTTTTAGCAGAGCTTGCATCTGCTCCAGCCTCTGCACCAGCTCCTCATAGTTGCTTAGGGTCGACGGGCACTCTGATGAACAAATCCATAATTTTATTAAAGCAGGACAGCCTAACATTCACTAAAGAATATTATAGTTGTGCAACATAAAGCAAGATTAGCAAGACAGAAACGTTGTCTGGCTCAGGCGAGTGACTCATAGAGAGTCCTCGTCTCTCACCTTTTAGAGACAAAGGACCGAAAAGGATTTCAGCTGAACAAAAGCACCAAGGCTGCACACCGGCCGCCCTCACAACCACATACACATCACTGTATCAAGCGGTAACTGCAGAAGAGCTGTACAGAGCTGCTGAAATCCAAAACACACACACACAAAAACTCGCCCAGCAGGTCTCCCTACAGAGGACTCGTTCACAAAAACAAAACTTACCAGGCTCGCTGTCGATTTGCGTGAGAATGTCCTCGATTGACTCGTCTTCGTTTCTGTGTTGAGGTTCAGGGTCGGGAGGCGTGTAGCCCCTCTGCCGGCACCACTGCACCACCTCCTTGGTCTTCGGGGGCGTCAGGGCCTGCAGGCGGGGCGAGCGGTCCAGCACGTCCTGAACCAGACGCTTCACCGCCACCGCTCTCTGAAGCTACAGAGACGGCCAAAGATCAGCTCATTTTAACTCGGAAGAGTCCGATCACAAAGTTTAAGCATTGTAGACCCTCGCTGCTTAAACTATTTAGCAACATGCATGAATAAGCATTAATATTCACGGTATCCCACATACGGCTCAGAATACAGTATTAGTCAAAGAGATGATGTGGCAGAAACACACATCCAACTAGAGAGAGAAGAGATGCAGCTGGAAGACGGATTAAAATGCAAAACTGCAGCCGCGGCGAATCATCACGTCGTGTACTCCATCAAAGTGAGTAAAAACACGGTCATACTTCTCTTCTCCACAAGAACAGCAATGAATCATTTACTATGTTGATGAAACACGAGGCTAGTACAGCATGAAGACGAGTAAAACTGAAGATAACGGTGAGAGGTGGACATAAGATTTCATCAAAACAAAATCAAAAGGTTACCTCTGACGCTCTGCGTTTGCCAATGTTCCAAGAATAATACTGTTCTACTGAGGAGGCACAAAAGGGATGGGAGTCTTCAGCTATGTAAAAATAAAGCAGCGTTACATTTAAAGAGTGTCTTCAGTCGGTTTATAAATATGAAATCTGATTGTATTTACTTTTTTCTGGCACAATTAGAGGAAACTTCTTCACCACAGCCGTCAGCAGCTGCATCATGGTTTCGATGTGCTCAGTGCTGAGAGGAAAGAGCTTTGGATTAACATCAGAACATCATCTGCATTTGTGTTTAAAGAGACAGCGGCGTTGCTCTTACTTAATGAGGCAGTGTGCTGAGTTATCTGTGCCTTGTTCCTGTTTGACGGTGGTGGCTGCAGAAGCAACATGGACAGGGGCTGGAGCAGCAGCCGTCGCCAGGGGCGACGGACCAGCTGCGACGGCACCTGGTTCTGTTTTCACTGTGGCAGCGGAGAGCGACAGCAGATGTGTATATGTGGGGGAGATAAATGTTATTAGGAATCACAAACATATTTAGACTTGTATAAAAGATTATTACTCTGAACTATTTCATCACAAATCAACACATGTAATTTATATTTTAAAGGGAACTAGGCAGTCTTGGCTTGCTTTTGGCACCCCCTAGAGTCCATTTATAGAACTGAAAGCAAAACTTATCTCCTCGCTTTCCCCCCAGCCTTCCTTAGTATCTACAGGAGTCATTCATTCATTTGGGGCAGCAGTAGCTCAGGTGGTAGAGCGCGTTGCCTCATGATCGGAGGGTCATGGGTTCGATTCCAGCTCCCACCAGGGGTATCCTGCTGTTGTGTCCTTGGGCAAGACACTTCACCCAACTTGCCTGTGTTAGTGGTGGTCAGAGGGGCCGACGGCGCCAAATGGCAGCCTCGCCTCTGTCAAACCTCCCCAGGGCGGCTGTGGCTACAAGTAGCTTACCATCACTAGCAGTGTGTGAATGTGAGTGTGTGAAAGCGTCTTTGGGGGTCTAGAAAAGCGCTATATAAGTTCAATGCATTATTATTATTATTATTATTATTCATCACTAAATTACACAAATCAGATGTGTTCATAATCTAAAACATCCAGGAAATGTGCTGGAACCAGACTGCAGCACCAGGTATGTCAACTCCTTTTGTCTAAGTCCCAACAGAGCTGCCCGCCAGTCTGAAGTTGCAAGTGGAATACTCTGGTCACAGGTGGCGATGGGGGCTGGGTGTCATTTCATTAACCATGTAAAGGGTCATTTTAGCACATAGTGGCTCAAGAAAATGATTGAAAAAGTAGCTAAATGTCCCATTAATAAGACTCTAATGGTTTGGATTATGTTCATCAGCTTTAAACACAACTATCAAACTATTTGCTTCGTCTTCAGTGGCCAATGTTTGATTCTGACAGCTCAAACATAAAAATGGAGTTAGGAAGAAAGAGAGGAGAGGGTGGAGTGACAATGGACCCCTCTCACCTTGTGCTAAAGGCGGGATAAGGGAGGAGGAGACCTGGCTGGAAAGACCTGAGGAGGCTCCAGCTGCTCCAGGAGGAGTGGATGAAGAGGAGAAGGAGGGAGGTGTATTGGAGACTGGGCCTTTAGACAGACAGACAGACAGACAGACAGACGCACGCACGCACGCACGCACGCACGCACACACACACACACACACACACACACACACACACACAGAAGGGTCAATGTCCTGCTAGGTAAACAGTAAGACAAAAAATGAGATGAGAGGATATTGGTAACAATAAGATATTTCCAGATGATGGAGCGCATCTCAGATTTATTTTAAAATTACATCAAGTTCAGAACAACTAAAGAAGTAATCCAGGATCAGTTTTGGGATTCTGTTTAACTTCAACACTAGCGAGATTATTGTGTGTTCATGGAGTGGGCTTACCTTTACTGACAGGCATGAATATGGATTGCAGTCCAGCAGACCCAGTTCCAACCCCTAGCTGCTTCAGCTGGGTGGCAGGGATGGTTAAAACGGTCTGCTGGGAGCTGGAACCAGCAGACTGGATCTTCAGCATACCTGGCCAAAAACCACAAGGTGAGATCATTTGCACACCCATGTGTTGTGCATAAACATATGATTGTAGGTTGTGGTGTGTTCCTCCACACCTGACAGTGCAGCACTTGTTTTTCCTGCTCCAGCTGCCACTCCGCTGACTAACGACGCCGCAGAAACTAATGGAGTGTTGCTGCTTTTGGACACCCCCACCACAGTCCCAGCTCCAGCTCCTTTGGACGTGCTCATGACGGGCAAATTTGTGACACCTTTTGCCACCATCACTGCGGCAACGGCTGAACTTCCTGCACTCTTACTTGGGGAGGCGGAGCTTCCAGCTCCTTTGACCAAAGAGGCCACAGCTGCCTTGGACAGACTGCCGCCGCTGGCTGTGCCGGCGTTCTTAGCTGCGCTGATTACTGCCGCCTGGCTGGCTGACACCAGCAGTTGCTGTTGCTGAGAGGCAGACTTCCCGCCATCAGCAGCCTGGATAAAGATACAGAAACACATCTGTCAACCAAAAAAATGTGCAGAAATACTGCACCTCTCATGCATGTATAAAGCAGAAAGAAAAAAAAATCCTGACATAGTTTATGTTTTAAATAAATAAAATTTTGACAGCACTCTGCAGCCCTCTGCTGACCAGAAACTGCTCTTAAATATTTTGTGGTTCCGGTAGGGGTACTACCTGCTTTACGACAATAAACGTCTACTGTGCTGGTAGCTCATATAAAGGCTAGCTGTTAGCCATTTCAGTTTCACCGGCCGTCAATAAATAGTGCAAGATAAAATAGTTTACTTTTTTGTTGGCATCATGGCGGAGCCTGGAAATTAAAGTAAGAGAATGATGGCTTTGGAGGCAGAGCAAAGAGCAACAACTAGAGTGAACATCAACACGACCTACACTCGTTTGAGGACAATAAAGGAGGCATTGAAATGAAAGGTTTATGGTGACCTGGCTTTGTTGTAACTTATAAGCAATATTCTGGTCCAAAAGTGTGAATTGATTAGATTAAGCCACACTTGAGATAAGAATGAAAAATAACTAGGACCAGTAATTTGACAACACACACACACACACTTCTACAACCTCCAAGGTGCTTCGCAACACAATCAGTCATTCACACATTCACACGCTGGTGGGCATGAGCTACATGAGCCACAGCTGCTCTGGGGCACACTGACAGAGGCGGGGCCTGCCGAGCACTGGGCCGCCGGTCCCTCCGACCACCACCAGGACAAGTGTCTTGCCCAAGGACACAACAGCAGCATTCTCTGGCAGGAGCCAGGATCACAGTTACAACCTTCCAATTACCAGACAACCACCCCTCCTCCTCCTACGTTTATATAAATATATACTTTTTTATCTATGACTGGGAAGTGTAGGATAGCAGGATCGAATTTCCCCTTTGGGCACGTGTCCCATTTAAAACGAAGAGTATGTCAGCAGAAAATGAACATTATGGCTGTAAAAAGAAATCCTGCGAGCTGCAGAGAGATGATATTTGAAAAGCTATGTCCATAATGGTGTTTACTGGGTGACGGCTGCCCTACAATCACTGCTTAATGTTCCTTCAGCTCGACATGACTAATTCATCAAACTGTTGCTTTTAACACACTCAAAGACTGAATAGTCACTAGCTTTCACAGCAAGGCTTCACACCAATCAAAATGACTCTTCTGAATGCTTTATGTTATAATTTATATACATTTTTGTTTTTGTGCCTTTCCATTACTCAAGTTAATGAGGTTCAGCAATGACTTTAAAGCTGTAATCACCCCAACTAAGACTGAAGCTGAACGGTTGCTAAGTGCTTTTCAAGCACTTTCAATTATTTCTACTCTTTTATGACAAATAAATCATCAGCTTTACTGCAGCAGTCACATTGGATGCCTGCAGGTTTTTATGCATTCCTGTTGCTGAAGCAATTGCTTTATTTGTGCTTTTGGCATTTCTACCACTTTTCAGCTATTTAAAAACAAAAAAAAATAATCTTCCTAATGAACTGCAAACTAAAAATATAAATTCTTGGAAGAATTTTCACTTCATATAGTTGAGAAAACTGAAGAAACAAAATAATACATTTGTATGGAGAATCAGCAATAGCTTTAAAATTGGTTCAATGACCAGCTAAAATAAACAAACAAGTGTTGAACCAACCTGTTGTTGACTGGCTGCTGCAGTACTGATGGGGGTGGAGCTAGCAGCAGTGATGACACCACCCGTCATCCTAAACGTGGTGGTACCCGCTTTGGACATGTGACCCACTCCTGCTGCTGTTACAGTCTTGACAGAGCCATCAGACAGCTTCAGGTGTGCTCCCTGGGAGCTGCTGACCACCTGGAGATCACGTCAATAAGCCCACAATAAATACACATGTGAACCTGATGACCCGAGGTGCCAACGAACATTAAAACCAAACAACGTGGAGTATATTCTGACAGGAAGACTTTCCTTTCAAAGTAAATTACGACGTATGCAGACCATCTGCTATTCTGCAAGAACCTACACGTTCTAACTAGTCTGCAAAAAAAGCTTTTAAAATTTCTAGCTGCACAGGGTATTGGAAAAAAAGGAAAGTGGATTGATGCAGTTATATAAAGTGAGAGATTAAAGTGCTTATCAGCCTCCAGTTCAGCAGCACAACCCTGGAATAGACCTTTATGCCTCGACGAGTCCATTCCAGTTACAGCTCACTCTCAGATCGGATGAAACCAGATAAAGGCCGATTTCTTTTAATGCCTTTTTTGTTTTGATCAGTCTATATACTGGAGTTGTCTCTAAACAGTGACTGTGGATGATCAAATAATGAAACCTAACCTGAGCCAAGATGGCCGCCTTCTGTCCAGCGGTCACGCGAATAGCCTGCTGGGGAGCAGCTGCTGGAGATGATGCAGAGTGACCCGCTGAACCAGAACCTCCCAGCTTCCCTGACCCATGGGCTGGCTGGCCAACAAGAAACGTACCCTAGACAAAACCAAAATAGTGGGCCGAGATGGAGAGCATGCAGTGTTGATCTATACTAAACGAAAAGTAAATAAAACTCTTGTCATCTTTTAATCCAACTTATTATGTCAGCAGCCTGATGACATGTGTGAGGGGATCGCACGTACCCTGAGTAATCCCACACATGTGCAGGGAAACAAGCAATCCCAAACAAGACACAAACCTGCGGCGTCTGTTTCAGGATGTAAGATGTGTAGGAGAGGTTTGAAGGCAGGCTGCCAGAAGAGGAGGAGTTCTGCGAGCCCCCTGTCGCTGCTGATGAGCTGCTCTGGGACTGTTGGCCTGAGTTACACACCGCCACACACACACATCAGATACACAATCTTCCTCACGTTTTTAAATAGAGGTTTGTTACATGGGTTATTTTGAGGAAATCTATGTCATAAAAGCATCAACCAAAGATGTACGGTGTCTTACTTGCACTGGAGGCTCTGAGGATGGCTCCCTGTGGAATGAGAAGCAGCTTCCCCTTCCCTGATGGGTTCTTGCTGTTGGTGGTCAGGTACAGCTTGGTACCCGGTGGCAAATTGGCCAAATTGGCCAGGTTGTTCGCTGGGAGCTGAAGCGTGGCCATCACTAAAAATATCCAAGTATAAAAATATATGTAGATGATCAGCAGAATGAACGGATATGCTACAGTAATAGCACGTGTGTGTAGCATGTGAACTCTGACCTCCGCTCTTGCCACCTGATCCACTGGCTGCCCTGCTACCAGCCTGCTGACCAGACGCGCCGCTGGCTCCACTAACAATGGCTTTAGCAACTCCCTGAGCTAAAACTTGCTTCCCACCCATCACTTTAGAGACAGAGGGGTTGCCCTTGGCAACCAGAATCTGTCCACTACTGATGGCGACCTGTTTAACTGAAGACTGGAGCATGGAGCCGACAGGAACCCCCAACATCTATAAAAGTTGGAAACACAAAATTATCTCTGAAGCAGAATAAGTTATCAACGTGCATCAGAGTGCATTAAAGACACTCTGACCTTGCTAGTCGCGGCCCCCGTGGCCCCCCCAGCCTGTTTCTGGCTTGACATAGAGACCATGTGGCCTCCTTTCACTGCGACAAACTGGTGGGCTGCCGTGGCAGCAGGTTGCTGCTGGCTGGTTACTGTGGAAACCATCTGCTGTTGCTGTGTGGAAACTTCCCCTGGCTCCTGCTTGATGATTACCTGCACAGAACAGAAATGACTAAGACATGCCACACATCGCCCGTAAAACACAAAGCGTGCTAATCCCTCAGATATTTGTTGTAGCATGTTTTTAACGGTTTTAAGATTGCATGGCGGATTATTTGGATGCATAATGAATATGAATGAGGATGTGTTCATGCTCTTGTCGCACGCAACAGACTGCAGAGGATTGTGAAGTGACTCGTTTGATAAGGCAAGTTAAAAGGTGGATACAGTCACATCTTTATTAGTCACAGATATTTAAACAAAATATAAATGTTCAGAAACGAAGTTGGGAGAATGTCAGGGGTACACAAAGAAAGAAAACATGATTTCATAGTAATGGATGGAATAAAAAGATCGTTGCCACAGGATTAGGACTTCCTGGTGAAAATGAACAGTTTTCTATGGAAGCTCCCAGCATTCTCCTCCCCCATCTCCAGACAGGTGTCCTAATTAAACATGTGCTAAGGCACTCACATCTGCTGAAGATAGCAACGCGATTAACACCACCGCTTTCTGCATGGATTTAGGTTCCACTCAACAAGACAGTCCTGAACTGCTTTGCAGCTTAATTCCAGCCAATTTAAGACCTTTTAAAGGCCAATTTCAACAAATTTAAGAGCTTACATTCTCTGAATGGAAAAAGGGGTGTGGCCACTTTACAAATAGCTCTGTCCAAACTTTTATTGGAACTAAAAGTGCAGAAAAATAACACAAATTTTAATATAGCCGTTCTGCAGCGAGTGAAAGTGCATGTATTTTCCAAAAAGGTGAATGGCCTGTATTTGTTTAGCACCTTCTTAGGGTTCTACAACCCCCCAAGGTGCTTCACAACCCATTCACACGCTGGTGATGATGAGATACAATGAAGCCACAGCTGAACTTGGAAGCACTGACTGTAGCAAGGATGCCGAGCACTTGCACCACCAGTCCCTCATGCCACCACCAGCAGGCAAGACAGGTTAAAGAGCAAGTCACCCCCTAATAAACTTTTTTTGCTGACAAACTAAATAAACGAGTGTTTATTCGTGCTGCAGACACATGTCGTCAATAATTTGGCACTTCAGTGCATCTTAGTTAAAATGTAAATATTCTGCCTAAAACGGCAGTGTTGTGCCGTTGTCAGGTAAAAACTCTGCACTGTATTTTAATTTAAATCTGCCACCGCTATTGGCTAAGAGGTATGCTATGATGTAAACTGGTACATTATGATGTCACAATGCTGTCGTGAGCCTGTGTGTGTGTGTGTGTGTGTGTGTGTGTGTGTGTGTGAGTGTGTGTGTGTGTGTGTGTGTGTGTGTGTGTGTGTATTTGTTAGCAGCTCCTCCTTCTCGGTCTGCCAGGCAACAGCATTTGTTGCATTTTTCAAACATGAAGTGGGAGTGGAGTTAGACTCTGGTAGGGGTTGACTTGCTCTTTAAGTGTCTTGCCCAAGGACAAGTCTTGCACAAGTCTTTAAGGATTCCTTGTCATTTTAATAATGGGAAATCTAAGTACAACTCCTAAGGCCCTGGGTCCACATATGTGGATATTGACTTCTTGCAATATAATATTGTATTCCCTTCAACTTAGACCCTTTGTGTTACTTAGAGACACTTGATATTGACTTTAGTTTTTTTCTTTTTCTTTTCTTTTTTCAGAAGTTTGTCAAAATTTTTATTTAGTTTGGTTTTTCTGTTTTTTTGTTGTTCACATTTATGAGGGCGGATTAATCTGTGATGGTTAGAAGTTTATTTACTTTAATATCACACCAAATACAAATTCAGGTCTCAGAAGGTTACAACTTTTTCCAAAGATACCCTGTTATAAAAATTTCCCACATAAAGATGAAAGCTTTAAAGTTGTATAAACTCACCTTGACCCCCGAGGAGAGGAGGGTACCAGTGTGAACTTTAGGTGCTGGAGAGCGAGCGCCTTGAGCCTGCTTGGCCGAGGGGCTTCCTGTGAAATCAATCCCACACAAATATAAAGAAACAAATCATCAAATACACGACTGTACTGGTGAGAGGTTGTGCCAAGTGCTTTCAACCGTTCCAAAGAATCAAAGGCACCTGTGGCACAAGTTATAACTTTTCTGGTTTGGGTGTTGAGGCCAACGTTTACCCTCCAGCAGCGATGTGGACTGCTAACCGTTTTGTTTCTTAGCTAAGGTGCGACATTTTTATTGCAGGTTTGGTGAATCAGCCACAACACCCACTTAAACCCCATCAACGGCAATGAGGTGACTTTTAAAGCCATGAAAACATATTTGACTCGGTCACCATGGAAACCATTCTACCATCCTGCTGAATCGCCATCCCTTTAGAAGTAAAAACAAAATGAAACTTGAAACACAAAAGATTAGATGAGAAGAAAGTCAAAATATATAAAAGAAATAAAAATGTGATCTAGAACTTATATTTTTACTTCCAGATTATCCCAAAAAATGTTTTTATTTTACATGAGTGGCTGAGGTACAGCTTCAGCGCTGTAATGCGTACCTGTGGAGGCTGTGGATGACGTCGCCATGCCGACTACTTGACCAGGTTTATCCACAATGACGTAAGGGTTGTTTAGCACAGAAGAGGAGCTCTGCTTGCTGTGGGCCGGGGTGGAGGCGGCGGATGTACGAGGGAGCGGCGAGTGGCTCGGAGTAGAGATGGGAGACCCTGTGGGAGGTAAAGTACACCGGACAGTTAGATGGATGAGCATCTATGAGGAGCTCAGCGGGAAACAAAATATCTAAAATGTTTTAAAAATCCCTCTGAGCTTTTTAGCTTTAAGTAAATGATACCACGTGTGACACATTTTTGCATGAAACCCACGTGATTTAAATTAACATTTATTTTGAAAATCTAAACCCTTAACTGGAGGTATTTATTAGGATTTTCATAAAACGTGGAGAGAAAAATACTAAGGAACCGGCTTATTGATCTCACTTTTACTGAACAGTAGGCTGCAGTGAATTTTTAACTACATTTATTTTATTCATGAGGTTGAGAAGGGGTGTGGAAAAAAACAATAATATCAATACATAAACATCGACATAAGTAGCTAGAAGCATCAAATGTTTGGAGTCAGCGTTTCATTAGTGACGTCGTATTTTATCATCAGTTTAGGGATGAAATCCTGGTTCCAAATTTCACTTAGTAGGGAAAACAAGAGACAATAAAAGAGGTTTTATTTATAAACAATGTGAAACAAGCAGCGTGGGTGTGGGTGTGGGTGTGTGTGTGTGTGTGTGTGTGTGTGTGTGTGTGTGTGTGTGTGTGTGTGTGTGTGTGTGTGTGTGTGTGTTAGGGGCGTAGCTACCTGAGACTATTTTGCAGCTCATTGTGATTGGTTGGAACAATTTCCCAGGAGACTCTGCAGGACTTGGTGGCTGTCCTTGTGGAACAATCTTACAGCTTGATGTGATGGGCTGAAATGCAGAGTTGCCATGGTAACCAAGGGTGACTCTGTCCCCAGCTTTGGGTCGTGTTGGGGTGCGTTCGCCAGCCGTAAGGCTTGAGCTGTGACCGCGCACAGGACTCGCCGCCTCTGCTTTGATTAAACCTGGAAAAAGGAAGAAAATAGTAAATCAAAAGCTCCAAAGTTTCCTAAAATTAACTAATAACACTGGTTGCTATTCAAACTTTAAAAACAAAAAGATTCATTTGACTGTTTACTGGGGAGTTTTAAGGGGGGGGAGCAGGTAATTTATTGTTTAACCTCTTTATGTTGATTTACAATAAACATCTTTAGACGTATCTAAACGTCTAGCTACAGATAGGTTTCTTATCCTGATGTTTTGCAAATATAACCTGATTTATGATCTAATTGTCATTATTAAAACGACTGAAAAAGCAATATATCTCCCCTAGGGTCATCACGGTGTGAAAATTTAACCTCACGGTTATTGTGACCAAAATTATCACGGTTTTCGGTATTATCGCGGTATTTTTTTTAAACGTGTTACATTTTCAGACAACTAAATAAACCGTGTATATTAAGAAAATATTGTCCTGGGTTTGCGTCTAAATTTTGCCTAAAATTTGATATTTTGTAATTATGTTGTTTGTTTGTTTACATTTTTCTCCTTTAGTCTTTAAAATACCAACATTTGCCCATAACTTCTTATTTTATGTCTGTTTGATGTCATCATTTTAAAATATTAGACCAGATGATACTCAGTACTCAAGTAGCCTTCTAATCAGATACTTTTTTACCCTTACTTGAGTAATAAACCCTATATCAGGAAAATATTGTCCCGGTTTGTGTCCTTCCAGTGAGCTTTGCAGATGTGGGAAAATGTCATCAGGCAGTAATCATTGTTAAATTCATAATTATTCTCTGAGAGAGACCAACTCTTATCTGCCCCTGGGAGCCCCATAATGCATAGCGTCATTTCAACATGGGGGTGTCCGTGACACGGTTTATATGCAGGTAGCGGCGCTGCGGCTGCTTTATATAGCGACTCGTTGCATTCTCCCTCAACCCAAATCCTCGGATCACGCATTTTAGCTAAAACGCTAACGTTAGCTTGCCTTGCGTTGACTGTAGAGTTGTGGGTGACGGTCACGCAGATGTGTCATGAGATTTGAAGCGTTGCTGCCTTTCACAGACACTTTTTCTGCACGTGCTGCAAACAGGATAGCCGTCTTCTATCAACTGTCCCTCGACATTCTTCAAATATCCAAAAAATGCCTGTACTTCCCACTTTGTCTTCTTTGAGGGATAATAAATGTCCTGAGCGCTGCTGTCTCCTCCTTTGGCCGTTATTTCAGCTTTAGCTTCAAGAAAGATTTGGTTGTAAACAACAAAGCGCCATGTGCCACCGGCAACTTTAGCAGATGAAACGGTGGCTGGTAAGGGTCACCGCGCCTACACCGCAGCCACGGTAAACCCACCGAGATATATATATATATTCTTTTTAAAACATGATGGTTATTATTATTGTCAACTTTTTTACCAGGGTTTACCGCTACACCGGTTACCGTGACAACCCTAATCTCCCCTAAAACTCCCTTAATCTACACCCAGCAGGTATATGTGTGGTAAATCTTCAAAAAAATGAAAATATGTTGACTTGTGAAGGGTAATGAATTTTAATAAAGTACCTTTATCAACACTGGAGTCGTGAGAGACGGGGGAACTAGAGTGCCCATAACTCGGGGCTAGCGACGAGGCCGACATGGGGCTGGCTGTCCTTTGAGCTCCTCTGGAGGAAGAGGGCTGAGGGATGTAGTCTACGCTGACAGAATCTCTATGAAGTTCCACATCAACCACCTGAAACAAACGCACATTGGTGAAGAAAGCTCCGAAACAGAAAAGAGAGCCAATGTTTGTCACTTACAGTTTCTGCCCCAAGAGTCTGCAGCCCCGTGTACGTTCTGTCCAGCTGCAAGAAAAAAATAAGTCACCGTCAACCGTGACGCTTTCAGCAGTGGCCGGAGACGTAACAGAAAGTAAGTCAACTGATGGAAACAACAGGAGAAGTGACCTTCAGCTGGTGGATGATGTCGATGCGTTTGTTGCGAGAGTCTTTGAAGTGGATCTGGATCCTCACAGGAAACTCGCCCCAGCCCCGGCGTGTTAAATGAAAGGGAGGCTCGCTGAGAAAAGACAACGTCCAAAAGTCTACTTCAGCATCATCAGAATACAAATCAGCAAAAGACATCCCACAGCACAGCTCCCTGGATGAGATAAAGCTTTTAATCTCTGCGTTTTACATTTTTAACCAAAGCTCTGAATGCCTGCATATGAGCACCCTGTTTGAAGCCATAATTTTATGCCCCCCTGTGTAGGGTCCACCAAGAATGAAGATTTGAGTCAGGAGCTGCTTATGAGAAGCTGCAGGTGGCAGCTCAGGGAAGAAAACGACAATGGATCGTTTCTACAGTCTATCAAAACCAACAAAAATCCAAATGACTAAAAACGACAGTTTGACATTGATGACTCGTGTTGGCACCAACATCTAGTCTGACTCACTACAGTCAAATGGATGTGACGTAAAACGGATTTCTACATGATAAATATGCCGCTTCCTTGTTGGCAGCGTTTAGCTGATATACAGCCTGCCTCAAGACAGACTCCCTTCCCCAAGATGGTGCTGGATCATCAAAAGAGCACAAGGGGGCACTCTTCAATAAAACATGACCTCAAGGTTCTGTTTGTCAACGACTCGCCAAACGTTTTGATTTATGAGTTTCATCTGAAAGTTCTGGATCACTAATGGGGAAAAGCGCCTCTTACGTAAATGTTGTTCAGACGGTTTCTTCGCTCCCCGTCAGGTCAGTGGGGTGTGAAAAGAGGTGGGGCAAACGACTGATTCAGAACAACATCACTATGTTAGAATCAAATGTCATGTCTGTTGGCAACAACAGGATGAAGGAACAAAGTCACCGGAACGAGTTTATCCTCACCCCGCTGACTCGTGCCTTTTACCTCAGGTAACCAGATGAAACCGTTCATCAAAGGAGGAGTGCCGCCCATCTTTAATGATTTGTGGAGGCTGAGAATCGCTATAGACACAATCTGTTTCGAAAGTGGGCTGAAAACCACAGAGGAACAAACCTGACTTCCACCAGATCGTTGGGCTTGTAGCTGGGGTGCAGAAAGAACCAAACTTTCTTCACAAAGTGGTCGATGCTCGGCTCTCTCCTCGAGCCTCTGACGTACACCATCCACTTATGCGTCGACTGGTCGTTCTCTTCACGCTTGTCTGGAGGGATGTACCTGAGGGCAAGAAACAGCCAAAGGTTGTGATGAATTAGCCACAATGTCAGTTAGAGATCAACAAGGGGGTTTAGCAAATAACAAAACAAGGAAAAGTGGATGTAAATAAGCAACATGTAACCTAAATATTGTAATTACAGCTCCTTAGACAATTAAATGTTTAAAATCAACTTGCAAATCAAGTGAATGTCCTCTAGTTACTCTTGCATTGCTTCTGAAATGAAGCCTTAATCACATTTAGAGCTTTCTAAAGATGAGAATTGTTAATAAAGCATCTATAGAAGTTATCTGCATCATCTCTGACCCAGAGGGGAAAATAAAAATGCATTTTTGACTCTTATCAAGACTGGGCTTGTGGTCTTGTGAGCACTCTTGCACAAGAACAGTTCAGCTCAAATCACAACAACCCATTTCCCAATTTATCTTCAGTTTTACGATTAAATGTGTTTATTATTTTTAAAAAGTCATGTTTACTCATGATTTTAAGATTATTTTATGGTCATTACACAGATATATAACGAAATTGACTTTGCTCTCACTAAAGGCAACTCTCGTAAAATAAAATTACAAGGCTAAAACAGATGTCACACACACGCTCGCTCTCTCTCTCTCTCTCTCTCTCTCTCTCTCTCTCTCTCACACACACACACACATACACACACACACACACACACACACAGCCAATTTAAGGTGCAAAAAATATAAAAGTATAAATGTAAACATGGTAATAAGACAAGTCTAAACTACAAACTGAAATATAAGGTAAACATAATATAAATGTAAACAGTCACATGTTGAAATATCAGGATGAACTAGCTAAATGTAACGGTGCTTTAGTGCATTAATTGTACAGCAAAATCACTGTTAGTGTGACCTCCTAGCAGCAACATTCAGTGATGGCTCTTGCATAAAAGCTGTTTAACAGTCTCGTGGTGCGTGTTTTTATTGCCCTGTATCGTTTACCAGACTGAAAAAGTTTGAAGAAATGGTTAACTGGGTGGGTAGAGTCCTTTAGGATGTTTGTAGTTTTTCTAAAGGCAGTGAGTGGTGAAGATGTCATCCAGGGCAAGCAGGTACGTGTGTTTGTTATTTTCTCTGCAGTTTTGATTACTCTCTGCAGGGCCTTCCTGTCAGCTGCAGAGCTGCTGCCGTACCACATCAGGATGCTGTTGTTCAGGACGCTCTCTATGGAGCAGTGATAAAACCACACCAGCAGTTTTTGTGGCAGGTTGATCTTCCTGAGAGCCTTAGGGAAGTACAGCTGTTGTTGTGTCTTATTTATCAGACATTTGGTGTTGTGTGTCCATGTGAGCTCCTCTGATATATTTGTGCGCAGGAACTTGAACTGTGACATCGTCTCCACCTGCTCTCCATTTATTGTGAGTGACTGGTGCTCCACCTTTTTCCTTCTTGGGTCAACGATGACTTCTTTGGTTTAGTTGGTGTTCAGGGTCAGGTTGTTAGCTGTACACCAGTCCACCAGCTGCACTCCTTCGCTGTATGCTGACTCATTTCCCTGGCTGATTAGGCCCACCATGGTTGTATCATCAGAAAATTTAATGATAGAGTTGGTGTTGTGGGCGGGCTTAAAGTCATGTGTACAGGGAATACATGAAGGGACTCAGCACACAGCCTTGTGGGGCTCCTGTGCTGAGGGACAGGGAGGAGGAATGGTGGGGGCCTAACTTAATAGAAACAGTTAACTCATTCTTAATTTGAGCTGATTTTTTGGGGGCTACGCATTTTTTCCAAAATAATATGACCTTTATTTCTGATGAATTCCTAATTTATATCACTTATAACTTAAACAATCTTTACATTTTACGCATGTATGTACTTTATACTTTTTGAAAATGACACCACAAAGACAGCTTTCGTGTAGTGTAGTAGTGAGTCATTCATTCATGTTTGTTTTTCCACCCATTTTACAAAATAAAGGAATGTGGGGGATTGATAAAAGACACGTTTGTATGAGATCAGATAAACATTTTTACACTGAAGATCAGGTTTTCAAACATTTTATTTATGATCTGTAACTCAAAAATAATGTGCTCTTTGTTTTCAAACCAATTCTTTTTATGTCCTTACCTCCAGACAAGCTCTTGACATCCAAGTTAAAAAGACCTGCTTAAAAACAAACATAGTCGGAAAGATAACGACGGTGTGAGCGATGTGTTCATACCTGGAAACATTCCCCACAACGATCGTCTTCTTTACATAAAGCCTAGAAGCTTCATCTCCAGTTGTGTGGTACGTCACCTTCTGCTCTTCTTCCACAGATGAAGGCACACCAAATGTGTCCTAAAACACACAATTAACCACATGATCACTAATAAAAAATATTATACCCACCAAATCTTGATTCTGACATTTCTGTACTCACCCTGCCAGTGTTGCGTCCAGGTCTGCGCTCCTGCTTGCTCCAGTCTTCTCTCCATGCTCCCTCTCCGTTCCTGTCAGACCCCTCTCCTTGCTGTGAAAGAGACTCAGACTCTGAAGGGACCAGTGAGGGAGTCTCTGAGTCCTGGTTTAGAGGAGAAGAGGACCGAGACGGAGATTCCAGAAATCGGCGGATCGCTGGATGGTTTAACATGGCAGGGTCACTTTTTTGAGTGTGCTGAGATACAATAAAAGTATATGCAAACATATATTACTTGATGCTGCAATATCACAACTGAAAAGATGCTGAAAGAACAGAATATACCTCTGGAAGCTTTGTTATACCAGCATTTGCATAGTAATTGGCCACTATACATGCCCGCAGCTTGTCCATCATCCTCCTGGCTTCATTTAGTCGCTGCAAAACACATTTGATGCATTACAAAATCTGCAACTTATCTTCCACAGCACCACAGTTTGTGGTGAAATTATTAATAATGACACCGTTACCTGACTTATCACATCTATTTCATGCTCTTTGTTCTTCATTTCCAAAGAAAACTGCTGCCTGATGATGGTTTCTATTTTCTGTACTGTCGTTTCTCGAGCTGACAACAAAATAACAGAATAAAGATCACTGAGCATCTGTTAGTTTTAAAGTAAAACATGCAAATCAGGTGTAGTGGTTTAAGATTCATAACCTACCATTATATTCAGCCGTTTTGCTTCTTTTATTATTGTTATGGACCAGTCCAGTGATGTCTTCATAGTCTGGATCACTTCCTTCAAGTTTCCTTTTAATTCCAGACATGATTACCTGTAAAGATGATGGCATAGAGAGGCTAAAACTGTTTACTCCCATTGCACGTATGGCCAGTAATTACTGAAGCTAGCATTAGTTGCTTAGCAGTGAAGCTAAAGGATCCAGTAATTGTCAATGCATAAGGCTAGCTGTATGCACCGCGGACTAATTAGCAAGATGCGACTTTCTCTATATTGTCCAACAGTTATCTTTTAACATGATTTGACTTACCTAAAATACAAATCACTAAATCGTTCAATACACCCACATCGATGCTTTTGATTAAATACGTGGCTGAATTTGGCAAAGCCGACTACCATGTGACGTTAGCGAATGCTATCCTATGCTAACGCTAACATAACACATCGATTCAAACTGTATGAAAACAAAAGACTTACTGCAGTACCCTGCGGTGTAGTTACATGAACCTAAAGAGTGTATATTTCAACTGAACTTTATGATATCGGTGCAGCATTAATCCAACTGAACTTTATGATATCGATGCAGCATTAATCCAAGACTCGTGTTTGATAAATTGCTAAATCTAGAGCTGGACTTGTTTGCTAGCTGAGTATTGGACAGTTAGCTCTGCGGTTCATCCAAATTGTCACTAGGGGCCGCTGTTTCACCAGATGGATTTTACTCGAAGAATTCCTTTGGATAACCAAGTTCATTGGAAAAAAGGAAATGTACCATAGCCATAATTTTAACCTGCCCTACAAGTCACCAACTAGGGAAACAAGTTATGTAGAAATAAAAGTAGAACTACAATCACTTCGTTTCAACCTCTGTCATTACTGGAATGACAGTGTTCATAGCCTTTGTTATCGCTGTGGTTTGTAAAAATGGTTTTGTGCATTTGTTTTTCCATTATTCAGAAGAACATGATAGGACTGAGACAGAAACCAGATTCCTTGTCAGTTCAAATGAAGATTTTATCATCCAAGGGACATTTAGGTGAAGGAAGACATGCAGTTTCCTAATCTAACACTTTAAATAAAGGACATGTGCTTGTAACAGCTGTTTTCTATCTGTAAAAATGGTCTTTTAGTGAAGGAGTTTCATCTACTTACATTTCTTGCTGGGCAACATTGCAATTGTATAATTGGTACCTTTAATAGGGCTGCATGGTGGCGCAGTTGTGAGCACTGTTGCCTCACAGCAAGAAGTTTGCAGGTTCAAAACTCAGCTGCTGCCTTTCTGCGTGGGTTTCCTCCGGGTACCTCAGCTTCCCCCACAGATCCCAACATGCCCTATAGGTTAACAATTGTATGTCGCTTTGGATAAAAGCATCTGCCAAATAAATAAACACAATAGTAGACATAAAAACACAGACAAGTATCAAGACAAGCCTTTACAAATATTATCAAGAGACGTCAAGGGTCTCCAACCTGCTGCTCTGGAGCCACAATGGCTCTTGATGACTTTGGCTATAAATAAATACAAATGATGAACTCACCTTTTTATTTAAAGATTTAATAAAAATTTAGGTTTAAGCAATTTTTTTGTTTATTTTTTCAGGAATGAACAGAATGACACCAATTAGATCAATTTTTTGTTTGTTTGTTTGTTTTTGTATTTTGTTTACGAATTTGTCTGCAAACATCTAATCTAAATTTTTCTAAAGGTCTTGTAACAGCTGCAGCTGTGGACATTTTTTATTCCGTTGGACTGAGGTGAAATGGCTCTTTGGATTATAAAAATTGCACACCCCTGTCCAACATGGCCTGAAAAGTGATTAATTCCACACGCTTAGCATGAAAAGAAAAAAAATCACGAATGCCATTTTCTTCTTGTAAAGAAATATTTATTCCTGACAGGTTAAACCATTATTTTTTGACATTCTCATAAGAAATGTTACTTATATTTTTCTGTTAATGCTGCACTTCAAAGCAAATCTAATGAAACACATTCAGTTTTTATTCATACCAGATCTTTAAGACTGTTACTGTCCCAAACTAGATCCTACAGTCAGTGTGACATGCGAGGCAAATGTGGGACGAACTTCGTTGTGATGCTTTCTTGTTTCCAACTGTGCATCTTATATGAACTCTGAGAATTTTAATTGGCCAGTTTCTCCATGTTGCTTCATATTAAAGTTTTGTAAGAATCTGTGAGAACATTACTGCTGTGGCTAAACCAAACCACAACATGGAGAATAGTCTGCATCATCTGAGGTGTAAATAAATCCTAAAGAATGCTCTGTGGAGTTTGTGCTGCTCAATCCTACTTGAAATAGAAGAGCTCGCTTTATGCTTTGTCTCCTCATTCAACACTAGGCCTCATTAAAACATCACCAGCTTGATTGATTCGTCCCCTGATGGGCTGAAAACATCAGCAGCCGCACAGAGCCAGCTGCAAAATAATTTTTTTTTTTCAATTGACAAAAAATCGGTTGCATAGTCACTGCAATTATTGGCACGTAAGATCAACTATTTTAGCACGCATCTCTTCTTTTGGTATCATTTGAACATGAGAATGCATTTGATGGATGTTGCACATTCCTAACTGCTTATCGGAGTCCTTTAAAGTCTTTCATATTTGTTTTTAATGAATAGCTGGCATGAAGATAATCTGCAAAGCCGCACAATCAAGCGAAGATCAAGCATCGAAACACAAGATTGTAAACTATAACAAAACCTGATCAGAAACGACATATTTTTAGACTGTTTTCATCAATAAGATACGACAAAACTTTGGTAGAGAGAAAAACTTTATTGATGCTCATTCAAAGTTGAACATTTCAATTCAACACACCACAGCTTATAGACACCCCCTTCCTTACATTGTGCACAAAGGTTCATAGCCCAATTTAATCACCAAATCTTTTTTTTTCTTTTCTCAAGACAAAAAACAACATTTGACATGTAAAAACTTCAATCTTACATGCAGGTACAAATTACAACAAAAGAACCTTTAAGACTAAATGGATCACTCATCAACCTTCAACACTCGTCTGTTCCAGCTCACATTTTCCGTGTCAAGTTTAAAAACATCTTGACAACACAAAACCCCAATTCACCACATGCACAATAATAATAATAATAATAATAATCTGAATACACAAAATAATGAAAATGCGTTTTACAAGCTGATTAAATGAAGGTCTATTGAAGTAGCAGTAAATCAGCTTAATAATACCTAGATATCAGTGTTTAATTTTAGGTAAATACTTAGTGAAATCACACATGCAAACAAGCTCTATTCTTTTGTTCCATTTTTACCTCTTTCTCGCTCCAAAACTCCTCATGTTGGCCCTCTGACGTTCATTCAATCTAAAGAGGAAGGTGAGTGGGGCTAAGGATGCTTTCCTTACTAATAAAGAGCTGAAACAGTCATTGGATGTCCAAGTTTAGGCCAGATGGATTATCTAACAAGACCCCCTTTGGGTAGGTTAGCGTGATAAACGGGTGGGTAATCTACGCCGGTCTAACTAGAAGCTTTAAGGTTACCTAAAAATAACCACATTATTCTTTGACATCCTGATATCAAAAGGAAAAACTGTCACTCAAATTTGCTCTGTCACATTCCAAATGGTGGCCAAAAGGAGTGAGTTGCCTTATATGCTGCATGTACGCAAAGAACATTTACAAATAAAAAAAATAAAAAAAATAAAAACAATAAGCAAAAAGGAAAATGTGGTCATAATTTCTACATTTAACAGGATTCTGTGAAAGTGCACAACTGGGACTCCCTTACAGAAAAGAACATTTACATATTCAAAAGAAAACAAAATAAAGTTACATTCACAGCTATTTCTATACTCTATCAATACTAATCAGAGTAAAATGTGACTTTTCGGACTGTCAGCGCAAAATCCTTGTCATGACCTCCTAATCCAACTGTGCCAGCATTCGTAACACGTTTCATTTTAACGGTGTGATACACTCGTTTAATAGAAACATTTGTAGTGGTCTCTTGTAGGAATAACCGCCTTGTATGTTGTACTCCTGTATCGGCACAGGAGTCAGCTGGAGGAAAGTGGCAGCTGATATTTGTGCATCACGTCTTGGATTAGCTAACAATAACATGACTCTACCACTGACTCCCTTTGCTTTACAAACATTGATGTCTCATCTCCACAAATAAAACAACCCTGGAAGAACTTCTGCTGTGTGGTGGAGTTGCTAATGCTAACATTTAGCTTCTACTAGTCAAGACGTTCTCTGCCGTTTCCTGGACGCCAAACCAACAACAGCCTTCCCTGTCATGATCCAAGATGGTTGAGTCCATGAATGTTCAGCGACAGCGCAGTAGATCTGTCAGGATTTTGGAATCCTAGAGTTTCATCGCCTATTTTCTATCAGAAGCTAAAGCAGGAGATAGGTGTTGGGGACTGTTTTCATGTTCAGCCTGCATGTTAAACTCAGAGAGTGACGGATAATCAGAAAAAATAATTAAAAATGTTTTTTCAGTGTTCCACACTCTCAACAAATATTGTCCGTCACGCATTGCTTAAGCTCTAACTCGATGATAAACCATTCTGGCTCTTCAAGCCCCAGTCATGAAAGTCACAAACATCCATATATATGTATCATGCATGCACATCAATTTCGTAGAGCAGTTGTCAAGTTTGATCTAAAAAGGCCTCTAAGATCTCCACAACAGCACACCAATGAGCTGACACGAATACTAAACTGACACACCAAAGCTGGTTATAAAAAGACAGTTACTTAAAAAATGACAAAACAGTATAACTTAAAAACATATTTAAAAAGACAGTGTGGGAAATGAGTTATGATCTTTAGGTTTGGTGAAAGGAGACGATAACGTCATCCAAAAATAGTGCATATACAAGTGGAGAGGACAAGATGAAACACGCAAGTGGGACTTCTGAGGAAATGGGAAAAGTTCTTTATCTCCTCTTTTGAATTTGCATTAGAGCCTCAAAAAATAAAAAAAATTCAACAGACACTTTGGAAGGGCAGCTGGCTGCACAGTTTAATTATCAATGAAAGTTTTAATTTAAAGGTGCATTATGTAGAAATGAAGTAAAAAAATGACATCCTGTGGTAAAACTTAGTTACTGCAACCAATATAAACAACTCTGTGGAGTTTTTTTCTGGCCGACGTCAATTCACGATTGTTGGCGCTGCAGTATTCGCTCGCAGAAGGCACAGCCATCCCACACTCACTGATGGTAAACAGTTACGTCCCTCCTTCCTGTGTTTTGAAAGGAGAAAAACTGACAACCCCCACAGCCAGCTGGATATGAAATATGCTTCAGTATAACCTTCCTTCCAAAATGACTGAAACATTAAGACTCTTGTGACTTTCTCACTGTAAAATTCTCACTATATTCTTACATAATGCACCTTTAAAAAAACTACTGGATTCAATTCTGTTTATTCATATGGCGCCATATGACAACAAGCGTCGTCTCAAGGCACAAAGCTAACATTCCAGTTGAACCTACTCATTAGGTGCTTTGAGTTCAGTTCATTGCGCCAATTAGTTAAACATTTCCTATGTAAGGAAACCCAGCAGGTTGTGTCACTGACTTGTTGTTAATCCCCATACTAAACAAGCATGTAGCGACAGTAGAGAGGAAAAGTCTCTTTTAACAGGAAAATAACCTCCAACAGGACCTTACTCAGTAAACATGCTGTTTAGCTAACAGAGTAAAAGAAAGCCCAAGTAGGTATTTTTGTTTATTGCAACTGTCTGGGATCCCTTTATTTCATCCATGACCCAAAGCCCAATGACAGGATTCCAAAGGTGTTGGAATGAAGGAAACTGGAGTTCTTTGCTTTCTTCAAGACTTTTCACTTCTCATCCAAGTTTTGTCAATTGGCAAGAAGCAAGACGTCTTCAAGAAACCAAAGAAGTCCAGCTGCCTTCATTCCAACCCCTTTGGATGACCTTCACCAGCCCACTGACAGGACGTTAACTCACTACCTGCTCATTTTAATTAGAGTTGTATTGTAAAACAAAAGATTAATGTGTTCTAAATGTTCATTATCAATCCCTAATAATGTCACTCAAAAAGTAAAAAATTTAACCAAACAGTTTCACTACAAATACCTCCATTATTTCTTGCCTGATAAATCACGCCCCAATATGTGAAATTTAGAAAAATAAGGCACTTCTACCACACTGTAGCTCACCTTGTATGAAAAATCAAAAGTAACACAGAAGCCCAGCTACTCCATGTTCTGAACCAACTGGTATCTCCTACAAAAAGAACTTAAGAGTGTAGGTTCCTCACAAGTGAAACAAATATCTGACGTGCTTCACAAGCTTTTCATCCACAACGGGACAATGGGATTACGTTGTCCCAGAGGACAACACTCCACTGCGGGCCTTGTTGTGGCAGTGGATGGTCACACATCCATGGTGGGAGATGGGACGCGACATCTTTTCCGGACTTTGGCAGATGCCTTTTTCTGGGTCAAAACAACAGATCGTGTCCAGGGCGTCCCCTTGAGTCCCTTGGCCTCCAAGGATGAAGACCTTGCTGTTGCACACGGACATGCCGCAGTTCTCCTGTAGGGGGACAAAATTAAAACGTAAAGAAAAAAAAAAAATTTAAAGTAGAAGACCTAATGTCTATTCCCTTTTTGTTTGGACTGAATTGAATTCATTTACCACTTTGTAATCCATCTGCGCAACATTCATCCAGACGTCTGTATTTGGGTCGTAGCAAAAGATGTTGGGAGTGAGGCCACCGCACACATAGATCATCTGGTTGAGGGACGCCGCCGATATGCAGTTTTTAGCGATGGGGAGATTGGCCCGGAGATTCCAGGAGTCCGTCTCTGGATCAAAGCACTGAACCTGCGATGCACAGTTACACGATTAGTGAGAGTAAAAATTATAGAGGATTTATTCATTTTATCTGGTGTTGTGAGCTGTTCTGTGGGCTGAGTCTCTGGGCGGGTGGCCTTCTGGTATTTTTCTGAAATGCTTTAGAATATCTGGAGACGAGTGGCTCCAGTGAATTAAAAAGATAGCACACGTTTTACACTTGCCAGAGAGGCACATGTTTCAGTCTAATCTCCAATCAGAGCGCCAACCTGCCCTCCAACAGGTTTAGTACCGCAGCTCCTCTTAAGTTAACTTTCTGCTTCTGGTGAAATTACGATTCCTGCAAACGGTGCTTATCCGTTCGTCCTTGGAATTTAGCAAGTTGGTAAAAAAAAAACGTGGATTTGAGCAAACGAATAACCTGGAATTAGGAAGCTAAATTACTTTTAGATACATTTTCACCTCAACAAATGAATAACTATTGGGCCATTCCCATCTGTACCGGGTCGGCCCGGGCCGGGTAGCGTAGGTTGTTTACATATCTGGGTGGCCTGGTATTTTTCCGGGCCAACCAAGGCTCATTCTCAGCCCTCTTCTCGAGGGGGTCTGCTTCAGGCCGAACAGGGCCAACACACCCACTGCTGACAGCAGATTCACACCTTCCATTAGAGCAAGCCTCTGATTGGTGGGTAGAATCAGCCCACATGGGCTTAAGGCAAGGATGTGTGGAATCAACCGGGCTAGGCTGGGGCCGACTGGGGCTACCCGGCCGGGCCGACCCGGTACAGATGGGATTGGCCCATATCAAACCTTTTAATCATTTGATGTTATTGTTAGAGCAGGATTCACCAGAGTGAGCAGTGTTTGTTACAGTTTAATCTGGAAGTCACAGCCGTTTCCCCGTAACTCTTTTGAAAGTTCAAAAAAGTTTGAAATGACGGTGCGTTGTATTTTTATGAGGTATAAACTTTAATGGAGTCAGAAAAATTAAACTAGATCAAACTTGCACACATTACAATGAAGAAAAAACACATTCTACATTTATATTTTGACTTTTGTCAAGTAGAACTTAAACTTCAAGCACAAGCTGTTTAAAAACAAAACTCAGCTGTCAGAACTGTGTTTGGCTTGGTGTATGAGAGAGTGCACAGCTGTTTCTCACCACGTTTGTACAGACATCATCCTCTATCCCTCCTCCAATGACAAAGAGCTTCTTGGCGCAGCCGGCCACAGCAGGAGAGCTGACTGCCTCTATCATGGGAGCCACTTCTTTCCAGCGGTTGCAATGGGAATCGTAAAACTCCACATGGTTCAGACGGCGGTGGCCATCGTAGCCGCCCACAGCGTAGGCCTGAGGACAGAAACATACATGATTTTCATCCATAGCAGTATTGTGCAGAAAGGTTTGGTGTAAAAACATCTTTACGCAATATGATAATAAATGTTTTTAAGATTTTGAAGCTTAAATGAACAATAGCTCCTAACATCAGCTGTTCCAGAACCGGTTCGACGAGTCCAGTAGACGATGACGTTTCATTTGTGGTGGAAAAACATGTTTCTCTTTTGGTGGTTTTATATCTTAATTCCCATCCCTTAATGCCAATCTGCTGATATTGACTGTTACCATTACATATCATTTAATGAACCCCTAATAAGAACAATAACTCAAGCTGTTTTTTCTGTAATTATTAAGGTTTACAGCTAATGACTTGCTCATTACATTGAATATATATATTTTTTATTTGCAAACACAATTTGTGTAGAAAGAAAAAGTGTGTCAGCAAGACCCACAAAACAATCCAAGGGTCACAACAACATCAGCATACCGGTTTTTGCAACAGAAAACCCTCCAGGCGGTTCCTGTCACGCGGCAAAACAGGAAACACAAAAGAAAAAAAGAAGAGACAGGAGGAACAGAGGGAGACAAAAAGCAGGAACCTGATGAGGCACTCAGATATTTGCATTTATCTCCTGTGTAAAACTGGATGGGGCTACCGCTTTTTCTAACTGAAAGCTGGAACATCTGCCAACCTGCTCATCAGACAGTTGGTGTTTTCAAACTAGTTTGGACTCTGCCAACATTCATGCATGTTAAGAGAAAATAATACAGGCAGCTTATCGGAGGAGCAGCGGCTGCACTTTCTCTACAGGCCTACTCCATGTTCTTATTTTAATCATCTCGGTTTTAGCTGATAAAAAATATTAGTGGTGCTACAAACAACAGAGATGCAAACTAAAAAGAGGTAAAGCCACAGTCATCAAGTGCTAATTATATTTTTTGTTTATTTATTTAAATGTCTGCTTTTTTAGCTAACCTTAAACCTAAAATATTTTAATTTCGACGGAGTTGATGGAAGGATTTGAAAACAGTCAGTGCCAATGTGTTGTCTATGTTGCACAGGTGCATTTCATAAGAATACAACAAACTGGGTGGTTATCATTAAACCATGATGTGCAATGTGATTCATGCTAGTTGTAGAACAGGAATGCCTATGGTTAATTATATGATCATAATAATGACAAAGAACCAAATAAAGGTGAGAAGTAGTAACTTTAAAAGCAAAAATAATCTTTTTAGGAAAGACAAAACAAATCAGAGTACTATTATCCAGTTTCCATAAAACTCTGTGGTGGAGTTTGTTCGACGTGACTCAGACGAAGCGTGTTCGATTTGTAAATAGCATGTCATTCTCCTGAACATGAAAGATATTTGCCAGTAAATCCTACAGAAGTGTTCCAGGGTGAAGGAATGTGGAAGTGATGATTATACAGCTTGTTTACAACACACATGCTCGCCATGGAGCCATCCATCAAAAGAGAAAATTACAGACTGAACGAGGGAACGGCGGACCCAGGAAGAGAGGGGAAGTAGTTCTACAGAAAAATTACCAGAGAAAAACAAAGGAAAGAGATATGGCACGTCTAAGGTAGAAACCCAGATACAATCTGGGGTAGCATCAAATAACATTCAGTGGAAAAGCACAAAGAATGGAAACCTGAAAAGGGCAAAGAACACTCTGAGAGAAAATATCTTACTTGTTAAAATCGATAAGAACAGTCCAGCTTTATCTTTTTATCACAGGGATTGAACCTGGGTTCTTTAGAGTTCATCACCAACATTTTAAGCCACATTGTGGAGGACGACCACATTTGTAGCTAAAGCAGATCAAATGTCTGCATGTTTTGGTCCTCAAGTCACAGTTAAACTGATACAAAAACTAACCTCCAGACTGTTTGAGCTGCAACTTTAGACGTCCAATTAAGATAATTTATTTTTATCAAATGTGCTCCCTGACCAATCACAACTGTCAGATATTAAAAACATGACTTTCTTACAGATATGTTTATCTTTTCTAATAAAATATTCCACCAAGCCTGTTTGAGGAGGGTTGAATAATCCTTTTACATTCAGATTTGTGTTTACAGACTCATCTACAGCTCAGGCAGCAAACTATGGCCACTACAGAGGCATGTGAGGCACGATGCACAAATGTGAGCCTCGTATGAAAGAGTTTAAAAGGCAACAACCAAGCAGTAGATCTCAAATTTCACAACCAAACCTTAAAAATTAAAAATACATAAAATAACCGGTTCATAGTGTGAGTTTTTTGGTTGTTGCAGTCAAATATTTTGTCGTAAATGGCACCATGATGGAAAACGGTGAGCGTGATCCGCAGGTTTGATGCTGTCCAGTGTGACCAGTCCAAAGACAGCTTAATGGACACTCTCAGCACACACTGGCTCAAGAAAATGATTTAAATATGAAAAAGTTATTAAAGCTATCATTAAACATCTATGTGACTAAGTGCAGAATGCTTTCCGCAGGTAAGATATTTATTGGAACACCTCATACCACCACTCGGTCTTTCCAAGAGATTCTAATTACGTCATACGTCACATTAGATAAGAAAACGAGCATGTGAGTTTCAAAATGAAAACATGAAGGCTTTGCATTTTCTTCCAGTTCTAACGAAGAGCCCTTTACTCATATCTCTGTAAACATCAGGCTGTTTTGTTCCAACTGCACAAAATAAATCTCACACAGCAGCAGAGTGTTATCTTATAGATTTTTCAAAAGTACGTTTCACATGAATGTTCTAAAGTTTTCACAAATCTGCTGAAGCCCTGGCAATTTCTGTCCTTCTTCCTGATGCCTTGCATGCAAAAACAAAATTCCATCTCCACTGTGCTGTAAACAAAGCCCCGATGCCCACAGCACGTGCTTAGCGTCATGTCTTAAATTTGGACTGCCTTAGCCAAGAGCCACATTGAAACGTTTAAAGTTGTGACAACAGATCTCACACAGAGAATTCCCCTGCTGTGTTGTGAATGTGTAACTGTACACAGCCTGCCTCTTATTGCAGTGGTGAGACCAGCAAATGAAATCGGATGCTGGAATATATATTAAATCTAGATGAGAACACATTAGCTTGATGTTTTACCTTGCCCAGCAAGACGCCCATTTTGTGTCGCCAGCGGCCTTTGGAGAGTGGAGCCACTTTGATCCAAATGTTGAGCTGGGAGTTGTACATCCACACATCTCTGCTGTTGATACGACCTCCTGTAGCATCAAACGGTAACATTTGAGCTCTGTCAATAATATTACATCGTACTGTTCAGTCTTCTTACAGGAGAGATCGTTTCTAACTTGGGCCTAAGCTGGCTTTCAGAAAGTTAAACACTAAAAGATAAGAAACATAGTGAAATACCAGTTAATCATGTACCAAATGATTTCTATATATATATATATATATATATCTGAACCCTGTTGTGTTAAGAGTCACCTGGAAATCTTTAAAATAAGCCATTACAAACACATGCTGTCATGCAAATATCCCTCACCTGCAAACCCACCCTCACACACACCCCAACCGTTCATTTTAAACAAATATAGTTTAATATTAGTTTGACAAAATCATATTTGGGTCTTCCCAAACTAAAATAGAATTGTCAAACAAAAGGAGGCGAGTTCGGGAAGTTATTTCCATTAGCTAAATACAGGGTATCTGCAGGTTTAAGGGAGCCGAATTTAAGACTTTTTAAGACCTTTTTTAAGGCCACTTTGACCTTAAGCTATTTTAAAAATTAAATTTAAGCTATAATTTCCAGCTATTGCCTGGAACCGGTGCTAACCACGTCGCGAACGTGGGATTAGCCATCCAGTTACCATTAAACTTGCACTTCCCCATGGCGCAAGCTCCCACCAGCTTAACCAGCTAATGTGCTCATCTAAAAATAGCCCCCTTTCACAACCAACTGAATGTGTACGGTTCCGCTTAGGTCAACATCACACACAAAAAAATCCTGAACACTAACTAGAAACTCACAAAATTTTTATAGAAATAAAAGAATTTTGTTTATTGGGTCTTCGGTAATTTAAGACCTTTTGAAACTGGATTTGAGGATTATTTGTCATTTTTAAGGATTTTTAAGGCCTCAAATTTGGAAAAGCAAATTTAAGACTTTTTAAGACATTTTAAGGATCCGCAGATACCCTGTAAATAATATGTAAGATAATCAAAGAGCCAGCCAGAGTGCTACCCTTGGGGCCTTTGCTGTTAAAACATCTGTATTCAGGAAATATGTTACTGAAGGGTTCACCATTTCAAAGGGTTTGTACAAACAGTGCAAGCTAAATCCCCTCTAAGAAAACAGCACAGTGTGTGACAGGGCAAAACATAACTATGAGTCACCCTGTTACCACGCAGGCAGCTACATGATTTTAATTGATTATTGTTAGATTACATAGCAGCTGATTAGGAAGATCTAGATATTTTGGCAAAGGTCAAGCTTGTGGACAAACAAAAGATGTTTTGTTCACCTGGTTGAATTGCACAATATTTAACACTACAATTACCTGCAGCTGTGCCAGATTAAATGCCGGAGTCTCTGTACGGCATTTGTACCAGATGGTTTGGGCAGAAAATGACATAGATGGTGCAAATTAGAATTAGTAAAACAGAGATTAAAGGGACACGTGTGCGGAAAATTAATGACAAAAGTGGGGCAGTAAAATCCTGAGGCTATGTGGAGATGAATGTTTTCAGGCGGTGAGTGGAGGGGAGAATGAGCTCACACCAGAACATTCTGTAAAGTGAAACTTTGCTGGGGGAGAAAAACTAGTTTGTTCTTTATTGTATTCAGTTGTGTTTGTTATGCAGATTTTACAAAACATTTTGTGTATAAACAATCCAGCAACCCCACCAACAAAATCATGTAACTTCTTTGCTGTCAAACCCAAACGCCTGGCAGCAGCACGTCCCATGACCTCATTTGTTGAAACCAGTGAGGTAATAATAGCATCTTGTTTAATCTAGGTCTCTTTATTTCCTGGGAAGGAAACTTTTCCTACTCTTGACTCTAAAACCTGGAAATGCACTAGCTGTTCCAAGAAGATTTAAGAGTAGTTAATATTCAAATGTATTTTGAAATTTTGCACAAACTCTGTAGAAAAGTGTTAGATTCTTGTGGCGTTTGTGAAAGTTGTTGAACTGATGTGAAGGAGGGGACCTTAGTGATTGGTCAACGGAAAAAGTGGATGAGTGAGGCAACCAAAGAGGGCTACTCGCTGAGAGTGCAACCAGATGTTGCTGTCATTTTTTTCACTTCATAAACTGAAACAACCAAAGATTGCTAAACCACACGAGGCATATCCCACCCACTACTCACAGGAAAGGACACACAGAGTGTTTAAAACATATTAGGATCTTACCAGACACCAGAATGTCATTGCGTAAGGCACAAACAGCGTACTCCGACTTGGTGAACTCTGGTAGCTTCTTCAGGGGCCTCCACACTCCATCTTCTGGATCAAAGCTTTCAGTGTAGGGCACGTTAAAGCCCCCAGTCCGCTCACACCCACCCACCACCACAATCACCTCTGCAACGCCGGTTGATCTGCGCAGAAAAAATGGCAAAGATCATGAAAGAGAAATTGTGGAGAAGCAACTCAACTCTTTTAAAATTCAGTTCATAGCAAAGGTATCACGATGGGGTGCAACAATACACACTAAAGACCAAACTTCCACTTGATCGACATATCTAGGAGTTATCATGTATATCTGATGCATTGATTGTAGAACCTAGCATGACATGGAGACACTATCTGTTCTTGAGATGTTTTAACTGTGTAATCATCTGTGACACGCGGTCTCCCACAAATGGTTTAGCTTCATCTGAGAGCAAAAGAGCAACTATAGACTTGAAGCCCATGAAAGAAAGGAAAGGCCCAGCTGTAGACGCGAAGGCGGAAAACCCGGCATTTGTTGTGAACACGACTTTAGCCCTCAGGGCAAACGAAGCAGACAATGTGGAGAGTAACTTCTCAACTGGCTTGCTGATCTGCCTGGATAATGGCAACACAGCTGAAGTAAACTCTGCACAGCCTTAATAACCGACAGCTGGCGTTGTTCCCATTTGAACCGACTCAGCAGTTCAAACAGCAAAAGCAGCTGCACTGCTGTTTGTCGTGTAGCAGCCTACCATATGGTCTGTATTGTAGTTTATTCATGAGGTCTCACTCAGCACCAGTCTTTGTCTTTCATCAAAGTGTCCAACTGGACACTCTTCAAACGTTAGAAACAGTAGACTGCTTGGTAAACAGGTAGAAGGTGAAAAGACGAAGACAGTAGAAACACACCTGTGAGATGAGCTGCACCGCTGGTATATAACAAGACCCAACAGTTCATTTGATTGCTATTTCTTGCATCAAGTGTTTTTTTTTAAGAATCTAGACTGCGTTTGAACATGTCCTGTCTCCCTCTACCATTTCCATTTCAAAATACTCAAACCGTCGTGGATGCCAAGTTTGTCTCTTCAGCATAATTACACTCCCTGTCTGTCTCGCTCACGTGCACAGACGACAATAACAGGGCCAGGAGCACAGAGTTCATTAGCATGTTATCACCCCCAGCTAAGCTGGGCGGGTTCAAAGATTGCCCGACTGCTCACAAACTGTTGTCAAAGTGGGGCAAAGACTTTAACCAGAGGGAGAAAACAGGTGGAGGAGATCAATGAAAATGCTTTTCAGAGGAAAGATCAGTCATAACAAGTTAAACTACTTCCACGGGTTATCAAATCTAGCTGACTAGTATACCTCATACCAAAGAAGCTGAATTTTTCATTACCGTCGTGGACGTGTCCTAGGTGATGTGATTTCCATTCCTAGCACATGGTAGCATCTGGCTTCATAGATAAGGTCGTAGACGTCTGAGAATTTCTGGATGAGCGGGTCTCCCTCCACCACCTGGACAAAGTAGGTGGGATGCAGCAGGGGCAAGCGAACGAGTCCCAGCAATTCTCTGAGGCTGGACATCCTCTTATCCACATTGTGGTTCACCCATCGCATGACCGCCTCAAACACATACTCCTCCTTACACACACACAGCTCATCACTGTCGATGACTCTTTTCAGCTCTTTGGGTTTTAGGTCAAGGAACTCTTCGTGCTGCAGCACCTCTGTGAAGTTTTCCCGGGCATATCTGAGACAGGCACTGACTAGATTGTCCAGTGAATAGATTTCTGCAAAACGTAAGAAGCCCAGGCAGTTGCACGGGTCCTGCTGCTCTGCAATGAACTGTACACACGCATCCCCCAGCTGTTTGATCTGGAAGAGGTTGGAGGCTTCATAAAGAGGTGGTACGTTTTCTGGCTCAATCGTGGCATGGCCGGTGTAAATAAAGCTAAGCAAGATCTCCATCATTTTACGGTCAATGCCACTGATCTCAATTGTCAATGAATTGCGCTCACGGTAATTGTTGGTGAACATGGCTTTGAAGTAGGGAGAGCATGCTGCAAGAACAGCACGGTGGCAACGGAACTCTTTACCGCCCGCTTTGATGACCACATCTGTGAAAAGGTCATCGTTACGAAACGAGTCAAGGTTGTGCAGGATGCCATCGGAATGGACTGGACCACCGTGGAACTCAAAGTCTTCCTGATCAAATGAGTACTTGGTATCAACCTCAACCACCTTAGGAAAGATACATAAAATATGTCAAAATGGCATTCAAATAAGATATTCTCAAAAAAGAGAGAATAAATTGCCTATTAGTTGGCACCTTGCGTTTGCTGATTACTATCTCGCTGTCATTAGTAGCAAGCCTCCGTCTCATAGTCCACACCATGGCTGCCGTCTTTAGTATAGACCCCCCCTCCCCCTTAACTTGAGGATAGTCTAAGGAACAAAAGAGAGAGTTTAGCACCATCACAAGATGTCTGCAATAGGAGATTGATGGAAAATAGTAAAAATGCCAAACTAAATAGATCACAAACCTAAACTATTCTCTCAGCAAAAAGAAAAAAATAATAATAAAGAAAAATAAAGTGTTTTATGGTCAGGGAAATGGCAAACGTGTTACATCATACCTAAAGAAAGAAAGCTTAAAGAGTTCAAAAAATAACAACCCAGAAAACTGAATGGCACTTCCTCTTGCAAGCTCAAGTGTGCTGTGAAACAGTTGTGCCCTGCAGCACAATAGATTGCATGAGATGGAGATGACAAAGTGGTACAAGCAGGAAAGAGGTTGAGCAATTATTGGAGGCCAACCTACACGTTGGTTAGGTTTTGTTTTCAAAAGAGATTTAGGGCAGGGATGCTGAAATACACAACATGGTGAGTGTTGCAACAAGTGGAAAGTCAGGGATGCTGATGTGACATTTGAGTCAACGCTTTTGAGAGTTTGATAAACATGTTTTATTTTCTGCTCTCTATTTGTGTGAATTTAAACTGTGTGGGTTTATTCTAATACTCTCAGAGAACAATCATATGGCTGTTACGGCTGTTCTGACTCTTTTAAAGCTGACAACAACCCCGGCCCATGTTCCTGTGAGGTCATTCAGCTTATTTTTCTTCTTTCACTCATGCTAGACTCAACCGCATCACGTGACTTCTAGCAACAGAAGGTCACTGTAATCATGCTGATTATGAGACAGGTTTAGCCAGATGTGTCTGACATGTACTTTGTTGAAAAATCTATAGTTAGAAGCAAGAAAAAATAGTAATGAACTAATAATATCAAAAATTATTGCAAACCTGAAATATTAGGCTATTATTTGAAGTTATATGAAATTGTAAATAGCTTGTTTATTATAACAAAAAAGTAAAGAGTGGACTTTAGGGTTTTAAAAATGATTTAAAACGTGTTGAACTAATATGTTAAAACACGGTTGTGTTGTGTGTTACAGACGAACAGCTTTAATGGTTTTGAGGCATTTAAAGGAAATAGGCCGAAAATGTATAAGCGTCGGTTAAACAAAGCAGACTCGTCTCGTGCCAAAGACGACAGTGGCTCGTGCCGACAAAATAGCGTTGAAAAAACATGCTAAAAAAACTGAAATTTCATGTCAGAAAAGCTCTAAACAAAGTAAGGAATAAACACATTTTACACTGAAAGGCTCTGACATGTATTTAAACTGTTTTTAAAAAATAATAGTAAAAACTCGTACCTTTGTTTCCAGACGAGTGAGCTTTGTTGTGAAGAAACAAACGAGGAAAAAAGTTTTTATGCTACTTTTAAAATATCCACCTTAACCTGGAATTGTTGTGAAAAACATTCATTAGCTGACAAAATACCCAAAACGGTTCAGAGACAAAAACAAAGACTGGTTTTGGTGTAAACACCTATTTATACTGTCAGTCGGGAAAAAAAAATAAAAAACCTCCATCCCGATGGGCCTACGCAGATGTTCACTGATGCATTGTGGGTAATGTAGTCGTATCGTCATGGAGTCACTTAGATCACCAGAACAACAAAACTACACCTTCCAGGGTCCTTTTCCCCCTCCACGTGGTTTTCTTTGTTTGCAAACAAATGTCACATTCTTGGGGAAAACATCTCAACACGAAGTGAGCTAAAGACAATAATAATAATAATAATAAAACACCAAGTAACATTTAGAGAGACAGGATTGTGTATAGAGTTGTTGAGGGCAGCTAGTATCGCGATATTTAGCCTACGCTAGGTTGCTACACATAACAACGCTTTTATATATTTATAAATAGCCTTTGTGTAAAAGTTAAAACGTGTTGCGAATGCAACTAGAATGGTTGATAAATCAAGAACGATTGTGGCCTGGTTGCAACCTCACTCACGTGAAAACAGGATGAACGCAGTTATTTTTCCAGGTAGAAAGGAGGAGCTTATTGGGAACAAAGGTTGTCTTAACTTCCTTAAACTATTGCAAAATATTTAGCAGAGGCCACGTTGCCCTCATCGATTAAAGTTGTTTTCCACGAAGTACTGCTGCGGTGAGGTAATGTAATTAAATAAAAGATGGTATTTTGGTTGAAAAGCATTATCAATAAAACTGGAAAAGAAAAGGAACAGGTGATGTGTTTAAATTTGATGTGTTTAAATTTGGCTCTAATTACCAACTTTTTGCCATAAACATAAGCAAAAATAATGAAGACTTGACCAAAGATAAGATTCATTTTATTGGTGACTTTATAGTTGTTGTTTTTTTACACACAAACATATAAACGATAATAATAAAGATAAAATTTCGAGTAATTCTGATCCCTATGTAATCATAAGAAGACTGGAAAAGCAAGAAGGGTGATCATGTACGAGTTTCATCAGGGGAAAGCAGCAACGCAGCCCAGTAGACAGATAAATGTGTCCCCCTGCTGTTCAACTGAGGTGATGGTTACAAATAAAACCCTCTCCAGGATGTCTGACTCACCACTACCATTCCTCTACCCTAAACTGCCACATCAAGTCTATTTGCACATTCAGCTTTAAACAAACAAAGCCCTGAAGCCAAATATAGCTGAGTGTTTTGCTATTGTGGTCATAAATCTTCAGGTCACTGTCAGATTTTGCATGTCTTAAGTAAAATGTATTTTTCAAATAAAACATGGAAACCAAGGGAGTTAATTCTGTAACTTTTATTTTAAATTTAGATCTATGGTAGCTCTAAATCCTTGAAAAATGCAAAATAGAATAAAGAAAATCAGCTATGTGTTTTCAACAAAATACACAAATATTTACAGGTAGAAGGGATTCCATCAAGTGTATTTCACCTTAGTTACAGTATATATGAGTAGTTAGGGGGCTATTTTAGACATGTTACTTCATAGCAAATTATCAGCAAAAATTAATTGTATCAATATTTTTTAATTTTCACATATTCAAAATCAACTTGTAATTATAAAATAACTCGTGGCATGAATTGTTTGTTCTGCACTCTAATGTTTGGGTTATTGTGGGAAAAAACATGTGAAACTCAAACAATAAGATCTGCAACACAAAGATATTTTAAAGATGATTCTCTGAGCAGTTTTGTAACACAAATATCTATGTGGACACCTAAAAAAAATGCATGAAACTTGAACAAAAGCCTACCTTTGGGTGGCTTTTCACAAACTAGTTTCCCCAAACCCTTCTAAAATCACACAGACATGGATGAAAAATTACAGATGTTAGAAAAAGTTATACCAAAGTGTAATAGCGGGCATTTTCTACGAGTGTTCATGGTAAGGTGATCTGTCTAAGTCCCCTGTGGCGATGCAGCAGCGTAATCACAGAGTCAGCAATCTCCCTGTATCTGAGTCCGTACAGGTAAGGAGCAAACGCCCGGGGCAGCAACATAAAAACACAAGAGTTGACTGTGCTAATCCACACTCGAACATCCTGACTTACACCTTCCATTTGGAACATATAGAGCTCAAGCGTGAAAACAAATCCAGGGGCGAAGTAAAGCAGGAGAAGGACCCCGTGGGCCAGAACTGTCACCCGAGCCCTGGAGAAGCGGCTGTGCCAGATTCCCTGTGTCCTTGTCACCATGTAGAGCCGAATGTAGCAGTAAAAAATGAAAAAGGTGCAGATTAGAGCTGAAACAAAGAAGTACAAGTACAAGATCCCTCCAACGTTCTTGACTTGAAGGAAACCGAGAGAGATGAGAGCCAGACAAACTGGAACTTTGTCATCCCGAGGACTTCCCCTCTCCTGCTTCACAATGATTAATAAGGTGAAAGGGTAAATGGCCGCCAGCACCCACACCCCCAGCAGGATGCAGTGTGTGCGGGTGGGTGAGAGAACATCATGGTAATAGAGAGGCCAGCGTACAGCGGCGAAGGTGTCGACCACCATGAGGGTGACGGTGAGGATGGCGCAGCTGTAGGCCGTGACAAGGACGGCTGTGAGCAGCTCACAAGCGATCCAGGGTATCATCGCTTCCACGGCGTTGCCCATCAGTGTGACCAGGTTGAGGATGAGGAAGAGCATGTCTGCAGTCAGGGTGTTGGCCACCAGCAGGTAGCGGGTCTCCTGGCGCAGAGCACGAGACAGGAAGATGCAGATCAGCAGAACAGGGTTGACTATGAAGGTGGCCAAAGTGATGGCGACAGCAGGAATGCAAAAGAGCTGTAGGTTCCACCGCTTCATGCTGTCCATCCACTCCTGTGTGAGGTTTGAAATAAGAACAGATGATGCCATTGTGTTCAGAGGTACTTCAATGAAATGCAGGTGGATGGTGTGTGCTTCACGATCTGTTCTCAACTTCCTCTTGGAGCATCCTGTGAAACAAAGACACCATAAATTACTGTGGACAGAGCTCAGCTCAGCTCAGCAACGAAAGAAGTCAGGATGTTATGAAGGTATAAAAATGAACAGATGCAAATGAACAAAAAGGTAATCTAAATTTAGATCCCAGCTAAAGACATCTTAAAAGTTGATCCTAACCTATTCGTCTCTCAGGTCGGAGAGGGAAAGTCCAACCTTATTTAGGTGTTTTACCATCACTCAGTATCTGCTGCTCGCCCCTCTGGGCCCTCTTTTAATGAGACCCAGCTCAGAAGACCTTCAAAAGGGCAAAGAGCCATGAGGCAGTCTCATCAAATATTTAAACTACCCAACTTTTGTATGTTGAGGAGCTAAATTAATTGGATTCTAGATAAAACACCTCTCCATGACCATTCCAGCAAGTCTCAGGCAGGAGCTCCAGTTTCCTTATTCCTGGTAAGGTGGCCATTTTCTTCAAGGGTTTATGATTCATGCCAAGCAGGCTCTCTCCCCAAGGCCGGTTTTCCATAAGATACCCTAAAAGAGGATAACGCCCACGACAACACAACCACCAGGATCATGGGGAACTCCGTCTGAGAACTGTTGTTTCCTCTTCAACCTAATCTCAGTTTCTGATTACACTTCAGAATGCAGTGATGCATAAAGTGACAACTGTTTTCCAATGTTTTCCCAAACCATTTCAGGGTGATTTAAGGTCGCTGATTGTTTCTGGTAAAGTGCTGCCTGTAGGCTCATAGGTGATGCTAGTTCAGCAGCAGCACATTCTAGATGTTAAAAGCTTTAAATATCTTGCAGAAACAGACTTAGACTTCACTCTTTAGAACCGATCCAGGATGTTCTGACAGAGTTTGGAACAAAGCGATGAGCCACAGTCCATCCCTTGTGGTTTATACCCAATACCGCTTTCACCTGATTCACTCTGCTTTCCTAACTAAATATTTAATTTGGAGCTAAAAGTTTAGTTTACAAACTAAATATATTTAATTCCAAATAAAATATTTATTTTCCAAAATAAAGATTTAGATCTTGGCTAAATATTTATTTGGAAACCAAACCTAAATATTAATTTTGCAAACTAAATGTTTAGCTCCAAAATAAATATTAAATTTGAAGCTAAATATTTAGTTTGTAAACTGAACATTTAGCTCCAAATTAAATATTTAGTTAGTAAATTAAATATTTATTTTAAAAACTAAATATTTAGGTCTGACCTAAATTTTGGTTTGTAATATTTAACTCTAACTAAAAATTTTGCTTGCCAACCGAATATTTAGTTGGAAACTTGAACATTTCTAAATGTATGAAGAACATGACAAAATAAGATTTTGAAAAATGAACAATTTTTTTCTTATGATAGGCTAAAGAATCCACAATGCTGCTAAATTATGACTCTGAGTTTATAAATGGCTTTATGTTAGCATAAAAGAACATGCAAACTAAGAAACTTTATTTTACATTAGTACAGAACCAGACACATGGCTGATAAAAACATTATTTAGTGTCAAATATCTTACAAAATCTTTAAATTATGTGGAAAATTACTTTGAAATGCTAAATTACTGGGTATAAAATGCAAATATGATAAAAATGTCACCACCCTCATTGGTGCTGACAACTGCATTTTAGACAGAAAACCCAGTTAAAGTTCAACTTGACAAAATATTGATTTAATTAAGCAATCTTACCGTATATCTATGGTGAAGAGAGCTGCTTGTGTTTTAAAAATCGATGTTAACTTCTCTCACCCACCGTCTTTATCCGATGCACTCTTTGTTGACTCAATGATAAGATTGAGATGCAAAAAGCTGCAGCCACTCGGCCATCACATAGTAACAGGGAGGAGCTTTTCATGCTTTTAAAAGCTCCTCAGGCTGCAGTTTTTATGGTTTCCTGCTTTTAGTTTTGAGTCTGATACATCATACAGCACGAAGAATTTGGGTTTGAAACGATCACAAAAAAATCAGAGCAGTTCAACTCATTTTGTGCAAAGCTGAGTCAAAAGGAGGTGATGACAGCAGACTGCACCGATCACACCTCACATATGGTTCATATACGTGCTGACCTACGCTCCTGCTGACGTCATCACACCTTACACCTCACCTAGATAAACACAAAAATCAATTCCACATCAGGAGGTTCGATCAATTCAATAGAAAAACATAACAGACAGAATGATTCCATGTTTGATTTATTTTAGCATTCTTTGATAAATCAGCTTTAACAGCATTTTCTAATAAATGTGATTAGTTTCTTGATTTTTTTCATGTTCTGTTCTTTCAGCTATTTTTTCTTTCTTCTTTTCTCATATCCACTTCTTCCTTTGGCCTCTTCCTCTTCCTCCTCCTCATCATCCCCATCATCATCTTCATCACTATAAGCTTCAACCCTACCCTGCAGTAACTCTTCTTCCTTGCATTCCCTTGCCAAAAGTTTTTGAAAAATATCATACTCCTCTGCCGAGGCCCGAGCAACACTTGAGACAAACGTGTCCTGGTCGACGTTAAGGATGTCACCCAGTTTGGGGTTGATAATCGTTGTCTGTCCTTTTTTATCTGGAGTCTGGTAAAGGCCCCGTCGCTCCAGGAACGTGTGTCGGCAGCGGACGTCATCCAAAGTGAAACGGAACAACCTGAACTTCACCATCTCTGCCTGTTTGACGCCCATTCGGAAGTAGACATACTGTGGAGAAAATTGAATATGTTCTCTTAAAAAAGATAGAAAAGCATCACATATAATCCATGTACAGCCATTATTGACCACCAGATAGAGCACCATTACATTAGCAAAACCTACATATGACTGTTTAAATAAGCAGCAATGTAGTTGTGTGTTTACAAAAGATCAAGTAATTCCTTATTTTTTGTGTGTGTGTGTGTGTGTGCACAAGTTGGTGGTCAAACTTTTATGACTCATCCTTTGCTGTAATATTTAGTCATGTTTTGAGGAAGTCAATAAATCAGAATTGGTCTACTGTGTAAATTCTAATCAAGTGTGTGACCTTCACATATCAGTCAGAGAATCAACAAATTACGCAGCGATGTGGCATCTATTAACATATTTAGAATACATGTAGGTCATACAGTGCTCAGCATAAATGAGTACACCCCCTTTATAAAGTACAAATTTAATCAGTAGCTCAGTGAACAAAAGAACAATTTCCAGAATTTTCACAAGACTGGGTTTTAGTGAACACTTGTTTAACCCCATAACATGAAATTACGATTAATAATATAACTTAGATCACAAAATCTTCAGCTTTACTAAAATTGGTTGAAGTAAAAATGAATACACCCCGCAACAATGACCACTAGGGATGTGTACTGGTGAAACTCTGACAACACGGTACGTATCACGATACAGGGGAGACAAGACGATATATTGCGATACATTCAGTCAGACGATATTGGCTTTTTTTGCCAACAACGCCAAATGTGGCAAGGTGGAGAAACGAGGGCCAGGGCGGGATTGGATCCCCAGACTCCCGGGTTGGAGTCATGCGTGCTTACCAGTCAGCCAAAGGGACATCCCTTTGGCCAAGTAGCCAGGCCGCATGATCAATCGAGACACAGCGAAAGGATGCCCAAACTGCCACATATTTATTGTTTGTTCATTCAGTTTTATTTATTTATAAGTTCTGATTCTGGACATACCAATGTTAAATAAAAGTTTAACTGTTGCATTTTAAAGGGTGTACTTGCATTATTATGATTAGGGATGGTCTGATCCGACTACATGACCGGAAATCGTCCCGATCACGTGTTTTTATAAAGGATCGGAATCGGGAGAAATAAAATGGATTTAACCTTTTAAAACAACAAACGTGACTTTTTAAATTAATCCTGAGATAGAGATTTTCAAATTAAATAAAAATGATTTAGTTTTAATTTCAGTTAGTTCCTCTACATCAATAATATTTGTTTCTTGTATGAAAACAACTCAGTAACGTCACACAATTTACGGCAGGCAAGGACTCAGCAACTTTGTCGCTGTTCCTAATGACTTTTTGACCCCCCTCAACGACTTTTTTTCCAAAAAGCGCCTAGCGACAAACCTAGCGACATTTCTCAGGACACTTTGCTACTTTCTGTAGAACTTTCTTGTAGATATTCCCTACAGATTAGCAACAAAGAAACCATTTGCACTCTGAACCGGTCTTCCAGGAGTAAGGAAAGAGAACGATAATCTGCACACGTGCATGAGAACTGACCAATCATAAACCATTTTCGGCTGGGCGAAGACAAAGGTACAGCTGCAGAGCTGGAGACCGCCGACTTACGTCTGCTGCTGCTGCAGGCTCACGCTTCTACTAGAGACAGCGCAGGCGTCAACCTGTGATCTCTGGTTCTGCAGCCGTCAGACACTTTGGCTTTTCCTGCATTTGGCAAATAAAGTCAACGGGAGTCTCAACTACCGTCCCGTTTACACACGCAGCGCTGTGGCTCATCTGAATTTCCTTCAGTGACACAGGGATGGTTATACCACGAGACACCCGCTCCCTTTTGCTCGGTGCGCCGTTATTATCACGATGGAGAGAAAACACAACAGAGAAGTTGAGTTGTGAGGTGCAAAAAAAACCCCCCCAGCTTTTTAGGAAAATGTCTGTGAGAATGAGGAGAGCAGGAGGTCTGAGTTATATCCTACAACAGAACTGTTTGGATCACCACACCATATCTGTCTTAATGCCACTTTATTGGTAGTTTTGGAATTTATTTTACATATCAAAGCAATTTGGGCCATTTTAATCATGCTAATTAATAACATTAACACATGAAATAGTTTTTTATTTTCTTCCCTTTTAGTCCTAAAAAGACCAACATGTTTTTAAAATCTTCAGTATATATATATATATATATATATATATATATATATATATATATATATATATATACAGTACATATATATATATATCTTTTAGATGCTACGGGGAAAATGAAAGCAATGTGGCGTGATGATGACATAAATATGCAAATTAGCATTTGACATCATCTGGGTGACTTTCTGGGTCAACTTCAGCTACTTTCTATCAGGGGGAGTTGGCAACACTGAAGCCTGCTAACACAGAGCTAACGTGTCTCCTCAGGAGAGCAGAAATATCTACAGCTTGGTGGTATTTTAAACCGGACAGCAAAGGCAGAGCTACAGACACTTGTAGTGTGTGCATATTGGGCGTTCAACATACTGGAAACAGCTCCATGATTCGCTGCCTTCAAACAAGCTACTTTTGCTGTCGGCTTTTCCCTTCGGGCATCAACAAATCTAATCACCGGTCTCCATTAATCCCCAGTTTACCTCTAACAGTCACAGTTCAATATGAAGTAACCACCTCTTAGTGCAATACTGGCACCAACTGGAAAGGAGTGGGACTGGGAGCGAGAACCTAATTGTCAAATTCTGTCAATATAGAAAACAAAGAAAATAATAATAACAATATTACAGAAATGTTCTGTAGGCCTGGAGTTAAGTTTTAAAGGCACATGTTGCCACCTACTGTCTTGGGGTTTGTAACCCCAAGCCTTTTATGGACAATGGAAAGTAAATTTAAAAGGGTGGGGTGGCCAATCAGATTCCAAAGGTAGCATGTGCTACCCCAGGCCACTCCCTGGACAAGCCCTTGGCACGGGAGCTGTGCACTGACGCTACAGGTGTTATGCAGAGAAAAGTTACCTGCCTGCCAAAGGCTGACCTTCAGCTGCATATTGAGGGAGTAAACAACTTGAAATAGACCCTTTTACTGTTTGTAAACAATATGACGAAAGCGAGAATGCGCGCGCAGCTCGGCAACAGAGAATGGCGTTGTGTCAGGCTTTATCAAGCTACGCTGCGGGGTTATCACCAGCAAATCTTGAATGTTATATTATTAAACTCACTTTAACGAATGGCAACATACTCCCAGATCCCTGTGGCATTACGGAATGGGTGGAAGATGTAGGTGCGTGGGCAGATATCCAGTGGCCCTATATATATACGTTTTTAGTGGAGAGGCCCAGTAAGTACACACGTGAGAAGCTACGGGCATACAAATCGTTAGATGCATACAACTATGTTGTCTGTGGCCACGTACAGAAGGTAAAATATCACGACATAGACTCTGAGTTTTGCGTCTTGAAGGCAGAAGTCCTTCCTAGCCAAAGACAAGGACACGAGACTGCTACGTACGAGGCTTGGGTCAGAGTAAACAAACCAGAGAACTACGTCTTCACAGCCAACTGTACCTGCATGGCAGGGTGAGTATAGCATAGGTTTCTTTTTTTAGCGTGCTCAGAGTACAATCGTGTTAATTTTAGAGAAATACAGTTTATACTAATATGCAGTGGGAAAATACAGATGAATTAGAATGAAATGTTAATTTGAAGCATGAAATAAAGCGTATAAATTTGTTTAATTCTGTCATTTTGATGTTCCAGACATGGGTCATGCTGCAGCCACGCAGCAGCAATTTTATTCAGAGTTGAGCTTTGTGTTAGGATGGGGAAAACAGAAAAGGCTGCAGTTACCCTTTTGATGGCCTGCAGCCACAGGCGCCTCCGATTTTGTTGAAATGGATGTGCTCCCTTCGGAATTCTGTAAAGGTTCAGTCCACTGCTTGAAGAGAAGCGATTCTGGCATCCATACACGCAACAACCCGACATTTTTATGTGCTCAGAACTTCAAAACAAAGGGTTTAAAACGCTGTTTTAGTATCGAGCGTGAATGAGGAAGCCGTCGCTCTCGTTGCCAGGGTGCGTGCGCAACTTTTGATGACGTAGGTAGTAAAAGGGTCTATTAGAGCAACACTGCTACTTTGAAGTATATTCACAGTAGAAATAAGTTTTTTAATCGGTGTACTTCATACAAAAATTAAAGTGGACAATTTGAATGTGTTTTCTTCTTATTTTAGTGCTTTCCTGACCCCCCCCCCCCCCCCCATTTTTTTCTTCTTATTTTAATGCCTTTCTGAAAAGTATCGGATCGGGAGCAAAAAAAACGTGATCGGAATATATTAACATTACATTAGTGGTTATTTTGGTCTCGATAATGTCGACAATAATATTGTTGATCGTCAATAATTTGTTGGACAATATATCGTCCAGCAAAATTTATTATCGTCCCAGGCCTACAGTCACCTGTCTGCTGGACACCTGATTAGACTCACTAGTGGTTGAATGTCTGTTAATTTGAATTTTGTAGAGTGACTTTTCTCCTGAGACTATAATTGGGGTGTACTTATTTTTGCAACATAGGTTTGAATGGATTTGTTAGGAAAATCATTTTTTCGTGTGGGAAAATGAACAAATCTTGTTTGCAATCAATGGCCCACGTTTGTGGGAGTTTATTTTAGTGTGGTATCTCATAGAAAATGTGGATTCTGAAAGGAAACTAAAGGTTTTCTGACAAATGTGGTGGGGTGTACTCACTTATGCTGAGCACTGTATTTTTAACTTCACATACGTATTTCAGTTGTTTTGCAGTAAATGGCCCATACTTCTATAGCGCCTGAGTTCTACAACCCCCCAAAGCGCTTCACAACACAATCAGTCATCCATCCAATCACACACACACATTCACACAGTGGTGATGATGAGCTACAATGTAGCCACAGCTGCCCTGGGGCATGGACAGAGGCGAGCCCTGCCATATACCGGTGCTCCGACCACCACCTGCAGCCAAGGTGGGTTACGTGTCTTGCCCAAAAACACAACAGCAGCAGTCTCTTGTGGGAGCCGGGATTGAACCTGCAACCTTCCGAATACTGGACAACCTGCTCTACCTCCTGAGCTACTGCGGTCCCAATTATGAAGGCCCATCAGTTTCACAAAAATATTTTTGTTCAACTCTGCTCAACTTCCTGACCTGAAACTTGTACTCCAGCTGAAGCAGGTCCTCCAGGACTACTGCTGGTGTGTCCCTGAGGATATCCGTCACCTGCTGGGTGGTAAACAGGCACTTCTCTCGGAGAAACTGCACAACGTTTTTTACTGACTTCACAGGTACAGTCAGGATTTTGGGGTAATGGACCACCATCCTCTGAAGACTTCCTGTCAGACAAATGAGAGGACAGAGACGTGTTTACAGAATCGTGAGCCAGTTTTTCCATTATGTTAAAATGATGACCTCACCTTCGACCAAACCCAGCTTCCTCAGGTGATCTATGCGCTGCTGCAGCAGCGTTTCTTTAACGATGTAAAGGTCTGGACATATGTCCAGCATTTTCTGCACACTTGTGGGGTTGAGGCCCAGGACGAAGAGAACTGTGAGTGTCGATAAAACTCTTTTGACAGAACTTTCTTTTTTAATTTCAAACACAGAGTCACATATGTGCCTCGCCTGGGAATCTGTGAATCCCATTTCAAGCAAAGAGCTGAGGGAGAGCTCGGTTATTGGTTTATCGGATTCAGGAGAACAGTTGTGTTGTGGTGACGCAGCCGTCTTGTGCGGAGGGGAACACAAATACCTGCACTGGATGCATGACAACGGGAGGCGGTATCTCTTAGAGAGAGGACTGAACCCAGAGTAATAGACATTTTTTACAGTCCACCGAAGAACCTATGGAAATAAATCATTATAAACACGTTTGATCTCAAAAGGATAACAATGACATAACTTAAAAAAACAATAAAGTTGCACAAGTCAAAATTGTAAATTACAATATGCGACTTTTGGACTAATTATAGCAAAACGTGAATTCCGTCGACTTAAAAACACGTTGTATTCCATAAATTTTAGTTTTTTTTTACTCACCTGATGTGCTACACGGGTTCCCATTTCTTGTCCGTTACGTATTGTCTTCCGTCAGGATACACGAGTTGCCCTTTTCGTCCGTTGCACATCATCTTCCGTTAGAAAATGACACATAAACGGTTCCGCTATTGGTGGTTAACGTAGCGCGCACTCCCCAAAATGCAAAAGGGAACATATTAAACATGAGAATTACTTATTTACAAATGAAATTTCTGTATTCATTTTCCCAGAACTTTTACAAGCTCTGAAACAATTGTTTTAGTCAATATAGGCATAATTAAAAAAATAAACTCAACACACTTTAATATAAAGCCCCATTTGCCCTATTTACTCACTAATTGTTAGCAGGCAAAGCAAATGCTATTAACTTCATATTGGCGTTTAACTCTAAAGGGTTAAGGTCACTTGATTCAGTTTCTCTGTAAAAAAATGAAAACGGTGCTACAAACTCACAAGAAGTACAAGTCCTTCTATCTTTATTAGCAAGGCAATTCATTCATTAATGTTCAAAAGGCCCAACACATTTGTAGCAGCATAGTGAAGATATTTATTGATGTAAAAAATAAATATAAAAATATTGTAAATATACTTACATGCAGGTAAAATAGAAAAGATTTCAAAATAAATTTGAACAAAAATTACCAAAAAGAAAATGCTACTGTTCATAAAAAATAAAAAACCTAAAAACACTATAAAAGAAAAACAGCTGCAGACAATTCAAAAGTGTCTGATTATGACTGGCAGGCCACACTGTGACGAGTCACAATGCCACTTTGGTTCTAAAACCTTGGTCTACATAGAAGATTTAATTAATATCTTGAATTAAAAGCAAGCTTTTCTTTTGACTTTCACTTTCCTCCCACAGTTGATCAAAAATTATAATAGCCAATTAGATTTCCTTCTCTTTAAATTTAGTCTTCATTCCTCTGGAGGTATTTCTGAAGCTCATTTTGCAGAGCCATCCTCTCGTCCTCATCCTCCTCTTCCTCCTCAGGTAGAGACTCATCTCCATAATCTGGGAACAAGTCTGGTCTGATGTACGCATTAGGACTGGTTTCTTGATGGTGTGATGTGCCTGCTGGAAGAAAAGAATCCCCTTAATAGTTGAAAAAAAAAGTTGTTGTTAAAAGTGTCTGACCGTGGTGCTGATGAGGACTCACAGAGGCTCTGGTTTGCAGAAACCACCTCTGACCAGCTGTACTCTGAAAGGGAGATGGGCTGGCTTATCCAGGCCTGCAACAGGAGCTGGTCTAAGGTCATCCTCTTTGTGTGATCGGGGTGCAGCAGGCCACGCAGCAGCGCATGCAGTTCTGAGAGTAAACAGAAGGTACATGACTGGAATGCAAAAGGATAAGCTAGCAAAATAATGAATTAAATATATACCAGAGGACAAGGGGAATGGGGGCTTTAGTTTGGCATCCAGTATTTCCCCCACATCACAGAAAGGGTTCTCACTGAACAGCAGAGTGTATAGTAAAACCCCCAGAGACCACATCTCAAGCTCTGGACCCTTGTAGCTAGAAAAGAGCCCAAAACATGATCAGATAAGGTGATAACATGCATTATAGGAATCATGGTGACATTTTAACAGCAGTTACCAATCTTTAATGACTCAAGTCCATTAGAATATGCAGGAGGTAGCCAGAGAGGAAAGTGAGACTGCAGCATCTTCTGTGACCTTTCGCACATTTGTGATTTCAACATTTACATTAAGCATGGGTAAAACACATGCTAATGAGTATCTACAGAGTGTTTTAACTGGGTAGGAAATTACTGCAGCCATCCCGGTGGTTTTACTTTAGTTCATATTTCATGAAACTGAAGATGGCTTTTTACTTTATGTGTAGTGGGACACAACCTTGCAGCTGTGTACACCCACACATTGTTGTAGACCACATGGGAGCTGATTGACAAAGACAAATTGGAGCTGTTGTTCAATTTTAATGTCCTCAGATAACGCAGATCCAGATGAACCCAGCTAGCTTTTAAAAAACACAAGTTGAACAGTAAAAAGGAAAGTCTTGCTCTTTAACCCATAAAGTCTATAAAACAAAATAAAAAGTAGCTTATTATTAAATACTCACGGATTGCCCTGGAGCACCTCTGGGGAACAGTACTCCAACGTGCCACAGAAATTATAAAAGAGCTTCCCAGGAACCAGTATGGCAGCAGAGCCAAAATCTATCAGTCGAATGTGAAAACATTTGTCAATTATGATGTTTTCATCCTTTATGTCCCTGTGGATGATGTTCTTGCACCTCAGATAGAAAACAGCTGCAACAATCTGGAGGGGAGACAAGAATATCACATTTGCTCTAAGAGCGCCCTTTACCCGTCTTTAGTACTGCTGGGACTTTCACACACCTGTCTAAAGATGTAGCTGGTCAGGGGCTCGTCAAGCCTTGGCTGCATGTCGATGAATTCAAAAAGGTCCAAACCATCTCCATGCTTCTCCATCACCATCTGGAAATAACTTCCATTTTCAAACACCTCCAACACCTGGAGAAGGACGAATATTTGTAAAAACAGAGAATTCAATGTCATATTTTCCTCAAAGCAACAATGCAGTTACCTTGACGATGTTATGATGCTGCACTCGAGTCAGTATGGCGATCTCCTGGCTCACTCTGCCCAACATGGGGTCGTCCACCCAGCAGTCACTCACTATCCTGGCCTTGCTAATGAACTTCACTATCACCTGCAAAATGTCCACATCTTTACAATCTCATCGTCTTAAAGAAGCCAAAAAGAAAAAAGCTACAAAGATAAAGCTTGAGCTCTCACTTCTTGTCCGTTACAGCGTCTTATTGCCTTCCAGACAAACCCAAAAGCTCCTTTACCCACAGCTCTGATTGGCTGGTATTCTTCTTCAAACTGTCCGTCGCAGGCTCGAGAGTGCTCGAGGTCCACCGTGGAGCGCAGCACTTCTCCTACACCAGCCTCATCAATCCTCTGATGAAAGAAACAAAGATTAGAACGAGGAACACGATGAGTTCTAATGTGCTGTGGTCACAAGTGCCACTGACCTTTCCTGAACTGTTTCCTGATTGGTGCAATAGATCTGTTTGTAACAACGCCCCCTGCTGGCTAGACCTTTTAATCCACACGCAGAACATGAAACTTCCATCTGGGAGGTTGGACCGGCACACATCACACTGCACCTCTAGATGTAGAGAGGGAAAAATAAGAAACTTTTAGCCCTGCAGTTGTGTTTGAGGTTTTAATGAGTAAAACAGATCAAAAGTAGGAACTTTATTACTAACCTACTCTTGTGCCATCTCTGTGGTATCCACATCCTTCAACTCTTCCCTCCAGTATGCGTGTATGTGAAGATAGAATGTGTTCATTTGCTTTCTGCTTCTTAGGCGTTGACGTGGCAGGCATGTCCGTCAGAGGCCCAACCGCACTGTTCACCTGCCCTGAGCTCTCTTGGCTCTTTGCATTATGAATAACAGACAAAGCTGCCCACTGATCCTGCTCCTGAGCTGGACCTTTCCTCGTCTCTGCGGCGGGGGGAACAGACGCTTCATCATCGTCAGACAGCACCACACATGGAGAAGGTGTTCGTAGGAGCTCAGCTGTATCACAAGACAACGCGGAGTGCTGGTTGTTCCCGTTGGAACCTCCGGTGCTGAGCAGCTCCATACTACCACTGAGATTGAGCTCATCCAGAGCACGGGTGATCACATCTCCATCACTGTTGATGTCCAGGAAGCAACTAGCTGAGTTCACAAAATGTTTTGAATTGAACTCGTCTGCTTGGGCAGGATGAGGACCAGCCTGACCAGCGAGATGTTCACAGAAGCCGGAAGAAGCCGATCTGACAGAATATAATTGAATAAACTTAGTCACCAGTGAACTATATGAATTATGCAGAGTAATGTTTGAAGTTTCCATTAACCCCTCACCTGCTATCCAGTGTGATGATCTCAAAGCTTGAGTCTTGGAGGACAGAAGTGTAGGAGTGACGCTCTTTTTCTACATTAACAGCATTGCCCTTACGAGGAGTGTCTACAAAACAAACAGAAATGCAGAAAAAAAAACTTTATTTAATCGTATCGAATGTTTTCTTACTTGTTTAATACACCTTGGTGAATGTTTTGAGTTGAAACAGCTGCAAACTAATTTAAAAGAAAAGACAATTAAGCCAAAAGTCGCACCAGGAATAATTCTAATAGCAGGTGCATTATTTTCCGGAGCCACATTGCCCAGATGCTCTTCTCCGTTATGATGAGATGGTTCAGTGGGAACCAAACAGCAGGTGTCTTCATCTGGAGGCTCCACCCAAGCAAATGTCTTGAGAAGTGCCTGAGTATTATCTGCACAATCCAGCTGGCTACAGCAGGGAGCTGCACGGACCGCTTCCTCAATCAGCTCGGTGGTGTCGTTGGCCCTAAAGGAAAAGGTAAACGGTTCAGTCCAGCTGTTAGGTAGTCAGGCAGCATCAACCATCAAAGCTTTGACCCAGCTATAGAGGAGGAACATGTTTAAAATAAAGTTAATACCAAAATAAAGAACTATTAGATCATCTTTACTAAGCATCACTCATAGAAATATAACCCCACATCAAATGGATAATAGTGTTACATTACTTATAAAAAAAAGTTACAATACCAATGTTCTGGTTTGAATTAACAACAAAAGCCTAAAAAAACAAACAATAAACTAGTAATGAGAGAATGAGGCAGAGCAACCATCAGGTTTGACAATGAAGCTGCTGCTCAGTGTACAGATTCACTGCAAAATGCATTAAATATACATGCAGTCCAATGCTTTTAGCTGCTGGCTTGTTTCTGCAGGATTTGCCTGTTCAGCATTTACAATAGATCAGACCATGTAGACGTCTACAATTTATTCTCTCTGCAAACATATATAACCTTTAAGTCTTATTAACATACAGTCATATTCAATAAATGTTAGTCTGCAGGACAAAAAAACCCAGCAGCAATGAATGCGAATGGTGCACGCTAACTTACATAACCAAATGTGTCGAGGTGACTGCAGGAAGAGAGAAGGTAGACAGATTACTGCCCTGTTTCTCCAGTCTGGTGCTGGTTCCAGTAAAGATTCTGCCTCTTCCCACTGAGCTCCGTTCTGAGATAGCCTTCTGCACCATAGCCATGTCTCCAGCCACCAGAGAGGAGGGGTCTAAGGCCAACACAAAGAGAAAAATGACTAAAATTCATACAGTGTCAATAAATAATGCAACTTCGAGTGAAAAGAAGAATAAAAGTCTAAGAATAAATACTTGTAATGAGGTATAGTAGGCTGCTTGGTAGAATGCATTTGAATACATCCTTTATATCGTAGTTGAAACATTGTTGTAATGTAGAAACTTATAAGGTCAGCAGGTTATGAGACTTATTATAAACACAAATGTATTTGTAGTTTTAACACAACAAGATAAAAACGCTCACCAGATGTTGTGGATATTTTAGACGAGGCGGCACATTTGTCCGCCTCTGCATGAGAACCAGTAAGTAGGCTGGCCTTTTTGTCAGAGTCAGACATCCACCCATAGAAGCCAGGCATAAGGAAAGTGACACTCTGTGTGTGAAAAGCAACAGAACTGAGAGCTGGCATAGTGCTTAGAGCGAGCAGCCTTGTTCGGCTGAGCGACTTGGCTAACCTTTCCCACTAACTCGTCCTTGCTGTATCCAAACAGACTGAGAGCCAGATGGTCGTGGATGCAAACAATTGAGCCATCAGGACAGAGGAGGAGAAGGCCACTCATGGGAGCAAACACCCAAACTGTTCCAGAGTATTCCAGGGCTGGACTGGGAGAGCGGACAACGCTGTCCACCTTGGTGTCTGTAGAGGCAAAAAACAAGTTCAACTTGCTGGATTAGCTGCAGTAAATGCTGTTCAAGGGTTTCTGGTATTCAAGTTGTTAGGTAGTCCATCATTCTCATGGAGTGCATTAGCAGAGGTTTCAGTCTTATGGATGCCATCTTCAACAATGTTTAAGTTCTGTCTGGAGCTTTATGCTGCCAGATTTTAGGATATTGCACAATGCACAGTGCAGAATATTGACTTATTCTTTTGTCAATACAATATTTAGTGCATCGAAACAACCCAGGATAATTTTACATTGTATAAACAAACCCTTGCAGTGTCCAGAAATAGTCAGTTTTTCATCTACAGTTGACCTCTTCAGTATTAGGTCACATGGAGACATGCGCCTTAACTGGAACCTTTAATCTGCAAGAAAGACACTGTTGCCTGAACAAGGTCCCCCTCAAGTTTCCTCTTATCTTTATCTGCTTTGCTTCACAGAACAAGAAGAATGAACTTTTATAATACTTAACAATATGGTTAAATGGAATACTTCATCATATAATGAATGGACAATATGGTTAAATAATAACAATGTTTTGATTAATCTGTGCTTAAATTACTGAAGATGAAATTAATATTATTATGTTATGATCAGTAAAGTTTGATTTAACAAGTGAATATTTATCTATTGGCTCACACCGGTTAAACTAATATCATGATGCATTGCTTTCTGTTCCACAAATCAGAACTCCTGTATCGGATGCAAGGTGTGGTTTCTGAGGTTTGTTGGCAAAACCCATTTACAATTCAAATTCTGATTGGCCATGTAATCAAAATATGGCCATCATTAAAACAGAACTCACTTCCTGAGTGAGTCAGTTGAGCCGAACTCTGACTGGCCACCGGCGGAAAACTCTTCTCCAATCGCATTTTTTGACAAGCTGTCAAAACCTGTTGCACGCTACAGCTGGCCGCAAACGGTTCCTTCAGAATAAAGCTGACACAGCCAAGACTCCTTCAGAGTCCATCAGTTCGAGAAGCAAAATGAGTCCTCCTGTTTGTTGTGACCTGGAGACGACTCTGGACCTGGTCATACTGCGGTTTTTCTACGAACCTCGGTACCGTGGGGTCCACGGACTCCCCGACATCTCGGATCCAAAAAAGGGTCTCCGAAAGGGTACGTAGACACAACAGTCTGATAGGGTTTTATAAACCATCAACTTACAGTTTATAGCAGACCAAATTCACTCCTACTCAGAACTGTTTCTTCAGATACGAGAGGTTCTGATAACATCATATTCGCACACATCATCACACCTCACATTCCATCCACTTAGATTCATTCATCACATAAAGTGTTCCTAGTTGTCATATTTTAAATTGTTTAGAAAATAAATTTCTTACTTTTTATAAACTTGACTCTGTCTGAATTAATATGAAGTGTCTTACAATCTCTGAATAAACAAAGAATTCTAATTCTTCTGGTTAAACATTCAAAGATCAATCAGACTGGATTTCCATATCTATATAGAAATTCACATCTTATTGGTCAAATGTAGTGTAGTTATTTTAAGCTTTAAAAGTACCCATAATACATACGTATGCCAACTACCCAATGACTGCTCATTATTAAGAGTTCCCATGAGGTTCCCAGAATGCAAAGGTTCTGTCTGAAGACACGAGAGAGGAGCTTTGCTTTTTGCACTTTTTCATTACAATCCAAAATACTCTTTTGAGAAGGTGTAACCATAGTTACCGTTCTTGTGGGGGGGTTTCCCACATATCGCTGTCCCCTGAAGTTTCACACAGAGTGGAACTGATGCTCCATCTCGGCTTTTCCCGTGCACTCTCTGAACCCTCAGAGTCTGAAGCAGAAAATAAAGTGTAAAGTGCATCAAATGAAAGACATTTTTTTCTCCTGTGAGCCTGCACAATATGTCTAAATTACACTGGTACAGAATAACAATCCTACAAAAAAGTTAGGTGTGCTTACTTTAGGCAATGCATGACCGTTGAGGGGAATTTGTAAAGAAGGGATAAGCTCTCTGACAGACACACCCTTTAGGGCCTCAGGATTGTGGTATCCATGGAGATGAGCAAATGCCCAGTCACAGTTTATGACAGAACCCTGAATGTGATAAACAATAAAAAGTATTATGAGAACTATGAGAATTTCAGGGTTTGAAAGCTGTTAAACAACAATGCATTAAACTTACATCTTGTGAAAAAGACAAAATGGCTGAAACCCTCTCCACATGTTCCAACAGGACAAGCCAGCTGTCTTCGTTTTGTGAAAGCTTGTGAGTACAGAACGACACGGGTACCTCTCCAGATGATGTCACAGCATCCACCTTGAAAAAGAATGAGCCCAGTGACTGCTTGCAGAAAGTTTCCACAGATGTGTATGGATTTTTAAGCCATTTCACTGAGTTACAAAGTGACTGAACTACATTTATAGAAAATAAAAGTTTAATTTCATACCACTTTCCCAGACACAGTTGCAACACCTCCATCTACAACTGGATAATCTTCTTCAAGTGCTTCTTCCAGAACCTGACTGGTTTTCTTTAAGACGGAAGGCAACTTCTTTCCGATCAAGTCATTTTTGGAGCACTCAAATAGTTTGCCTGCCTGTTCATTTGCTGACAGTATCTGATAATTAGAGACGAAAGGAATATATCAAAAACTGATAAATACTGTTCAATCAGTGCCGTTAATCAACTATATGTCACTGTAAGAGCACACACACAGTACCTCTCTGGTTTTATTAGAGACAGAAAGCACAACTTTGTTTGGATTAAAGGCAGCTGGATATTCCATCAAGCAAAAATCTCCAGGAATATGAAGACTGAGAAAGTCATCTTCTGTCTCAGATTCAGTGTAAGGTTGAGATGGGGAGTGAGCAGAAACCTGGAAACCAGAATGCTTATCCAAGTGGTTTTTTGTCGTGGAGGTGAAAACATCAGAACATTTACCTGTAGGAACAAATCATAAAACTGTTAACACACACCGTCCTCCACATGTTTTATGACAAAAATGTGTGTATTAACACCCAGTGTCTTTAAAAAGGTAATATTGACTGAAAAAAGCCTAAAATCTTTAAACTAGACATAAATATTGCAGATAGAGCACATGTAATTTTTGAGTATCTGTGCGTCAGCTGATTTATTCTATTGTGATATAGACACAATCAAAACATCTAACCTCACCTGCCAAGAAACCAGAACAATCACGGCAACGCAAGTCAAAGAGGCTCTTCTTGTATTTTGGTCTTTGGGTACACGGATAAGATTTATTCAGGTCAAAGTCGTCCTCCAGAAGATCACAGGACAGCTCAGACAGAACACAAAAGGTCTTTCCTTGATCCCCCATGCTTTGGTTTGACACAGTTGGAACATCAGGCGACAGCGACATCGTGTTTAATCATCTGGGACAGAATTTATAAGTTTTTACGACATATATAAACGTTTTAACAAGCATCTTAACACGAATTACTAGCGTCTATTTAAAAACTACCCACCTGTGTTAGTGTGCGGTTTGTAGTCGTTTGTTGTTAGATGACAAGCAGACGAGTTTCAGCTGACGTTTGTTGACAGGGTAACGTGTCCCCCGAGCTAACAGGCTGCTAGCTTTGCTGCTAATGCCAGACCAAACAAACGCGCTTCGTTTGTCTGGGCTTCAAAATAGCCAGGTTCAGCTCAAAAACTGCATTCTGAATTGTTGTTACCTTAGTGTTAACTCAGTCCAGTGACAACTCAAATTAAAATAAATGCCTCTTTTTTATTATTACTGCTACGTGTTCTCTGCATTTTGCTGTGCTATTTTGTAACCGGCGGGCTTCAAGCACCACGAAAGGACCCCGATCTTAGCCAATCAAACGTCGTGTTTTCTGCCACATAAATCTTATTGGATAATTACCCGGAAACGCCCGCCTCTGTTACTATAGAAACACCATCACCAAAGCTCTAAAATAAAATAAAATAAAATAAAAATAAATCTACTGTCTTATTTCTGTGTCAATGCCGTAAGTGCTGTAAAACAGAATTTTCCAGAGGAACCTTCCCTAAGGGATCAATAAAGTCCTTCTGAGTCCCAAACAAAAAAGAGTGCATATGATAAAATGTTTTAAGCAGTAAATCAGAAGGAAGGCAGAAACAGATTTGTTTTTGTCTTCCTGCTACTTCTCACTTCCTAGTTTTGCCAACAAAGTAATGTTTTATCATTTATTATCATGACTTCATAAGGAAACAACTGCTTTATGATTGTGTAAATTATTTAATGTTAGCACAGTATGCCTTTTGAAATTATCCATGTGCAAACCTGACGAACAACACCAAAATACAGGTCTGAACAAATGGAATATAACAAAGATAATCCCATTACATAAATCTGCCATCTGGGAGAAGTTGGGAAAACTGTGCATGTTCCAGGTGCAATTACTGCAGGGGTCCATATGGCATCTTTATTCCTTTGCTGAATCTCCTCATTAGCCGCATGGCACTATTTGCCATCCACACACTTCCCATAGGAGGATCCTCTACCCCATCTTCACTGAGTCATTGTTTTGTCCACAGCACAGACTGGAATGAAATGAATCAGATACAATCCCCACTGACAGAAAATCTGGTAGGGTTTAAATGAAAATATATTGAAGGGGCACAGTAGAAAATACACTGTGAAGCGCTATTGCATAAGTAAAACAAATAAAAAAAAATACATAAGGAAACAGAAAACTCATTCTAACATATTTGCCCAAAATATATGTAACAGTCATTAGAAATGATCTGAATCTCTGTGTTAAACTATAGTTCCATGTTATTAGCAAAAACAATGTGAGCAGGATTTTAGTTCAAAAACATAATTTCCATTTTTTTAAACACATCACAGACATAAAACTAAATATAATTCTTTGATCAGTTTCAATGTAGACCATTCATTTGTTATAGACCGATGGTACTGTCATTAGCATGGTGAGATGCTTCCAGGGAATAATTTCCTCTAAAGTTTTGTTTACATGCATTGACAGCCATTTTCACATAAGTTATTTGAACACTGATATTTTGTGTGAAAGATTCTGTGGTTCAGCATCTTCAGCGAACTTTGTGGAAGAGGTTTCTCCACAAGAACTCATCACAATTGAGCCTCCAGGTTTTGTTAAGTCGGGCGGCTGACGGCTATAGCATGCATCCTTTAAGTAGCTTACTTCACCTTAATGAGTTAAATGAACCAAGCGTCACGCAGTCCTCCACTCACAAACATTTCTGGGATCGCACCTATGGTGCCATGGCTGTGAAGAGTGAGCTTTGACAAGCTTTTTGAGCATAGTTTACTAGGAAGAGTCCATCCTAATGGTGATAGTCCCTTTTACTGTGTGGACGGTTGCCAAGTATATGGTCCACTTCTGTAGCAATTGCTGCTGTGATCTTTGGAATGACCTAAAATGCAACGAGAGCTCATGATCACACGGTGAGAATGCTGGGCGACAGATCAAACAATTTCACAGAAGAGAAAAAGTTTGAAGATGTACCTGAATGGCTCCCAAGTTTTCTGTTAGTTGGCTTGGATTTGAGGCTCCCAGAAGCACAGAGCTTACTCCCTCATGCCTCAAGCACCAGGCTAAAATCAGGGACAGCAGAAAGTTAGGCACATGAAGCTTTTGCAGTTGTAGCGTCAAGACAGAATGACTTTTTAAAACAAATACAAGCAGTTTTGACTTTTCCAGGAATAACTCGTTAAATATTACACACATACCTATGGCTAACTGTGGCAAAGTACAGCCAAGCTTTTCTGCAATATGAGTTAGTTCTTTTAGCTTGGCTTGCTGTTTTTTTCCTTCTTCACTCGTTATCTTCTCCTTCAACCACTGGTAGGGCTACATGAGTAGTAAGGGACAAATGATCAGGACTACGATTTTAAAATCAAACATTAATCTTGTAAACCAGGTTTTGTTTGAATTACAGAGTCAGCTAAGATTTGGCCTCTACCTTCATGGCGGCCCTGGAGGATTCTGGGATACCATTTTCATACTTTCCAGTGATAATCCCACAGGCCAAAGGAGACCAAGAGACCACACCAACCCCTGTAACAAGACAGTGACCTCTAAGAAATCTAAACCGATGCTCTTGACACTATAGAGGGAATCTTACAGCACACCTACCGATTTTGTGGTATATCTCTGGAAGCTGAGTTTCTACTTTTTCCCTCTGGAAGAAGTGATATTCAGCCTGTTCGCACACCGGAGGAATCAGATTAAACTGCCGGGCCACGGAATACGCTTCCTAATGAAAAAGCCGAATGGGATTTGGGAGAAAGGTGTTCAAGAGATTAGGAAAAATGCAAAGCTGACCTTCATGTTTAATGACTTTTATCATTTAAATCGGCCAATTTCACATTTAATTTCATTGGATACAATGACTTGAATGTAAGAAAAGTCTGGCCAACAATAAGATAAAAGCAACAAGATAAAATTCATCGTTATGGTCATTTCTGAACACAGCTTTTTCTTTAGTGTTTATTTTCTTTAGCTATTAAAAATCTGTTCCACGCACAAAAACTTCTTCAGTGACAATAAAATAGCAAAACGAGCTCTTGATGCACATCTAATGTTCTGATAGTTTTCTGTGTAATCACCTACCATGATCTCCATGGCAGACCAGCGAGATGTTCCCCAGTACATAGCCATTCCTTGGTTGATTACATGAGTCATTGATCTCACTATTTCTGAAACATCAACAACAAAATATTAGAGGAAATCAGTAAAATTTCAACACTTGAACATTAGATGGTGCCATAATCACAGCTTGACTAGCATCCTAATCCTAAAGTCAATTGGATTTCTCAAGCAAAATATCTAAAAACAAAAAATGCTTAAAGATGTGACTAAATCTGACATCCTTTGTTTTTAACCTCCTTTAAAATTCATGTATCAGCAGATATAATTTGTTCGGGTCGTGCTACTTAATGTTTTTAAGTGCTGTAGGGTCTAAATGAAAAGTCTTGTCTTGACACAATGCTGCATGTGCATTGTGCAAATGAAGTCAGAGGGGCAGAAGTCTGCTAAGATGTTTGTTTGCATAACCATGATTCACTTCATTAGTGGACTTTTTTAGCTCCTCCTTTTACCTAAAATAAGTGTCTCATGCCCGTGATAAGCAGTTATTTTAATTACTGAAGAAAAATGTGTAATATTACACTTGCATTGAAACGATTAAGCACATTTGCAACGTGCAAATGCTGAAAGCAACTAGTTGAAATTGATAAAGTAAAATTTGATACCGAGACTTGGAATCAAATAAGCTCAGTGATGTATTTTCATCAACAGCTGATGCATAAATGGGCTTTTGTGGCAGACTGAGAGCAAGTGTTTGTGTTGGTGAAGGAGGTGGGAGGGTGGAGGAATAACAGTGCATCTGCCCAAAAGTGGCAGGAGGGAAAAGAGGAATTAGAGAGATGGAAGGACCGAAGGAGGAACAAGAAGAAAACCTTAGAGGCAATCGTAATTTCTTAGAGTTTACTGACACATGAATAATCCTTCTCAGTGCCAGAAGGAAGGGAAGACAAATTGACTCACAACATCCAAGCCTGACCACAAAGGTACTTTACACCACGCCAGGCCATCAACTCATGAGCTAGGGGCCACACTGGAAGTAAAGTCCAGATGAGATATCAAGCGTGTCAAACTCCTTTTAAAAACAATCACAGATTATACATTTGATTGCTAAATATACTGGAGGTGTGCATCTTAACTCTCAAAATTTGATTCAATTACGATTATCGTGTCAATGATTCAATTTAAATCAATATCCCGATGCATCTAGATTATGTTATCCATCCATCGATTGTCTGTACTCGCTTCTCCACGCAGGGTTGCGAGGGGCTGGTGCCTCCAGCAATCTTTGGGCGAGCAGGCAGGGTGCACCCTGGACAGGTTGCTAGTCCATCGCAAGGCAACGCAGAGACTCACAGGACAAATAACCAAGCAGACACTCACACCTAACGGCAATTTAGAGAGACCAATCAATCTGACAGTCATGTTTTTGGATTGTGGGAGGAAGCCGGAGTACCTGGAGAGAACCCATACGTGCACAGAAAGAACATGCAAACTCCATGCAGAAAGACCCCAGGCCAGAATCAGAACCCAAGAACTTTTTGCAGCAAGGCAACAGCAATAATCATCACGCCACTGTGCAGCCCCCTCGATTATTTCCTATGAGTTTATTTTCATTAATGATTAGAAAATACTGTCTTGAGTCAAAAAATGGTTGAATGCCTTCTCTGGGTCAGGGATGAGGTCCTGCCCCAAGTGGAGGAGTTTAAGTATGTTGGGGTCTTGTTCACGAGTGAGGGAGAGATGGAGCGTGAGATAGACAGGTGGATTGATGATGCGTCTGCCATGATGCGGGCGTTGTACCGATCTGTTGTGATGAAGACAGAGCTGAGCTGGAAGGAATAACTCTCAATTCACCGGCCAATCTACGCTCCTACCCTCACCTATGGTTACCAGCATTGGGTAGTGACTGAACAAATGAGATAGCGGACACAAGAAGCTAAAATGATTTTTTTCCGCAGGGTGTCTGGGCTCTCCCTTAGAGATAGGGGGAAAAGCACTGTCATCCAGGACGGGCTCGGAGTAGACCCGCTGCTCCTCCCGTTCAATAGGAGCCAGTTGAGATGGGTCAGGCATCTAGTTAGGATGCCTCCTGGACGCCTGTGTGGACCCGACCCTGTATAAGCAGCCAAAAATGGAATGAGTAGGACAGGAGATGTCAGATAATCACTTTTTAAAATCAAAACATGTCTGACGCAACATGCCATGGCCCCAAAAAATCTCCTCAATCACAACAGTCCTTGGGACAATGTAAAAGAGCAAAACATTTTAAACATTTAAGAAGATTTAACAAAGTAATGAAAAATCAGTTTCCTCAATTAACATTCACATCTTAGGCGGTGCAAACAAAATCTTGAAAAAATACTGAAAACTTACTGGACGTGTCAAAGTCTTACCTTCCATGCAGTTGATAAAATCCATAATGTGTCCATAAATTAGCTTTAAGTTTTTGCAGCAACTTAGAATGAAATATTTATTCTAATATTATTATGGTTAAAAACAGACTATAATTGATTATGATGTGCTTTTTCAATGATTCATAATAATTTTTGTTCGTATTTCGATGCATCAATTATTAGATGAATTTCCTCAGCTCTACAATGTACCTATGCACACAACAGAAAAAAAATAAAAACCAAGAGGAAAAATCCGCTTTCTTGGAAATCCACCTGCTTGAATTTGTAAAGCTCATTCATATGAATGCATGTAGCAGGAACTTGTTTGGCTGTTAGCCAGTGTCTGCCTGTCCTTGAGCCCTCTCACAGCAGTCTGGAACATTTGGCGAACTTCAGCCAGCAGGTGTGGCTGAGCTCCCTCTGAACGGAGCAGGGAGGAAGGGAAGCACTCCACACATCCTGATATCCGTCTGGGAAGGCATCTCAGTGGATGTAAAAGCATCTTTGTGAGTGTTGTTCTGATTTTTGTCTTCCTACATGCGCATGAAGTGGTAATCACGGGAGATTTTAGAAAGTCTGAAATGAGTTTCGAAGACTAGGCTGCAATTTTTGCACTTCAGCCTTTGTTTTCCGGTGTTTAGTCCAAAGATTTGAGCAGCAAAACCGTGCTGAGGCCTGATAGGTTTACTCGACAGCCTTCAGTGTACCTATTAACAAAACAAGTTGACGTGACATGGATTTTTATTCCTGGAGGCATATGCTGTAATGACTATTTTATAAAGGACCAGATCTGATGGCAGCATGTTAGGAAAAAAATCTTGATAACTGAAACTAAAAAGAGCGCTGATGTGGAGCTGAAGCAGGAGTCTAGTAAGGAAATGAGAAGTTGGTTTTTTGCTATGCAGAATATGGAATATACTAATAAAAATAAAAACATTAAGTCAAAAACATGACGGGATTGGAGAGGTGGCTGAGAAGAATGAGGCCAGTGATGGTAACAAAGACAGACTATGCCACTATGACATCACTTTGTTGTCCCCAAGGGGACGCGAGTTGTCTCACACAAAGTCAGACATAGTTAGTCACAAAAACAGCTAAGGCATAAAAATGCACCTGTTAGCAATGCATTGCATTCTATTTTGTATCTCTCTCTTTTGTGACCTGTTTGAGCTTTAGACATTAGAAGTGGACGTGTCCTTAAAGGATATGTGAGACACTGATGTACGCAGAAGAAGCCAAGTCTTAGTGATTTATAGAAATTGATTAGTTTGACAATGAACAGGGATGGATAAAACCCCCAATATTAAAGAAATAAAAGTTGGAGCAACACATTTTTTAAATACTTTTTGTATTTATTCAAAAGTATCTGCTACTGTTTCAAGATTTTGAAAACGATAAAATAAAATGTGATTGTTAAAACTAAGGAGATGTATTTGAAATTCATTAGATCAACGTTTGTTAAAAATGCATAGTCAAGGTTTAATTTGCTGCTGAAGGAGACAAGAAACATTCCTTCTAATGTGGTGAAATAACCTAAAGTCCATGTAGAATCTGTATTTCCTCAAAAATATTATTAAAATAAAATGTTTGACTTAACCCTTTAGAAATTAATCTCTCATGTATTTTTAAATGCTGATTTCCAGATTGAAACCGCGAACAATTAGTGTGTGAGTGTGTGAAATGTGAAAGGTTGACCAATCACCTCCACCTTCTCCTGCTACAGCCATTTATAAGCATTTAATACCCACTTCCAACTCAAAGAACATCAAAGTTTGATTATATTGCAACAAGATAAGAGCTACATTAATCAACCAAAGTTAATGATCTGAGAGGTATTTGTACAGTAAAAAAAAATGTCCTATTTGTTTACATGGAAGGGGCATGGCTAACACTAAAAGGTGAACTTCACTCATATTTTTAATTTGCAGTGGTCTAGTAGGAATTAATCCCTAGTAAGTCATCCTTTGGGGAAAAAAAAGCTCCGGTGAGCCAGTTTGAGGATGTAGAATTTGGTAGGAGGAGAAAGCAGCATCAGACGGCAGAACTTGGAGTCTTATTTCCTGATATTTGGACATCTCTCCTCTGATTGGCTAACAACAATGTGACTCTACCATTAAAGTATCTTTCCGGAGTTTTCCCCTTTCAGAAATTATGTACGATTTGTCAGAAATCCATGAAAGTGATTATCTTGTTGTGATTAAATGTAAGCAATACGTCTTTTTTTTTGTTGCTACGCACGACCCCTGCCCCGCAGAGCTCTGAGCAATAGGAAACTGAGCGCCGACCAGAACTAACCAAAAGCGTTAGACTACCGCTTGTTTCAAATTTAAGGAATACCTTAGCTGATGCAGAGTTGATGAACTTTTCAGGGACAAGTAAGTCTCTAAAATATAAATATACGAGAACACAACATGACATGGGAATAATACTCGTAAAACGGTGTGTTTTAGCTCTGTTTGTTGGCTGCAGAAGCACATTTATAAACAGAAACGTGAAGTCGCCATCTTAAAAAAAATGGAAGGAGTGTGTGACATGCTTGTCAGCCACTAGATGGCACGATCGGATAAGAGAAATACTCCGGAAAGCAGCTTTAACTGTTTTCTTTGCAATGTTGAAGTGTTATTTTCACAAATAACACAAACCTAAAGGTACGTCTGCGTTGTGGAGTTGCTAATGCTAACAGTTAGCGTCTACGTTCTCTGCTGTCTTCTGGACGCTAAACCAAAATCAGCCTTCTCTATCGCGAGTCAAGATGGGCGAGTCCTTGAATGCTAAGTGACAGTGTAACGTAGAGTTGTCATGCTTTTCAAATCCTTTTCATAATTTATTTTCTATCCGAAGCTAATGCAGGAGATAGGTGTAGAAGACACGTTAAACTCAGAGTGACTGATCATTATCAGAAATAATCATTAAAGTTTTTTTCAGTGAAGTTGGCCTTTAATGGGACCAGCCATTATTGTGGGTTCTGACTTCAACTTCTTGTCTACAGTCAGTGAAGTAGAACTATTATAGGGTCTGATGAAGAAGGTTTTTTCTGCTGGTATTAATGTAACCGGGGCCAGGGAGCCCTCTGGAACAATAAGTTTGACAGATTGGCCTCCCACAGTTAGCTGGGTGTCATGGGGAGGTGGCAATTTGGGACAACAGAGGAATCCATGGAAAATGTTTTTAGTAGATCAATGGGATACCATTTCTTGAGACAAAAAAAAAGTTTAGAAAGTTTTGTGTGAAGACAGAAAAGAAGCCTTGAGTCTTTGACTCCCACATGAAGAGGGAAGTGGCCGAGGAAGACTTGGTAAATGTCCAAAAGAAGAAATGGTAACATAAGGTAGCAAAGGCGGCTGAAGAGTGCTACAAAGTAGATAACGAGTGCATAGCAGGGGTTGTGTCTAGTGAGACCAACCCAAAAATACATCAGCCACTCCCGAAGGGGCCAGATAATCCTGCTTCTGATGAGCAGGGGGTGTTGGGAGTAACTCTGAGGAAGATAGTTATCCCGCAGAGATGGAAAAGAAATAGACCCATTGGACGAAATTAGAAGACAAGAAATGAGGCTTGACTGTTAGATTACTTGATGAATGCCTCGGTCAAAAGAATCAAATGCCTCTCAAACACAAAGACACAGTCCAGTAAGCCCAGCGGTCTCATCAGACAGTATGTCTCACCATCTCATGTTACAGGATGCCATGTTATGTTTGCTGACCTGACCCTCCCATAACCTTGGGAGGTCTTCTCAGTCATCACTTACCCTCCATGGGAGTGTTGCTGTCTGTCCGGTTGGCAAAAACGACGTCCACGTACTCCAGCTGCATCCTCTGGAGGGAACCCTTTAAACCTTGAATGAACAGAAGAAGAGGAGAAAAATAAGCTGTTTGACAGATGAGTTTTGTAGAAATGTTTTGCAGAGCTCAAGAAAACACAAGGTCTTGAACATAGCTCTAAAGTTCATTTTTGCAGGTAAAAAGCAGAATTAAAAGATCTGAAACCAAAAGACAAGATCAGCAAAAGGTCATACTTTGTATTTGCTCAAGCAGATCAGCCTCCATTCACATGCAAACGAGACCAGATGAGAAATGAAGAGTGCACACAGACTGTGAGAAACGAGGACGGCAGAGTAATAGAGACATGGAAAAGTAGCTGTGTGTGTTGCAGATTAGTGCCAGAGGCTTCATCTTCACCCACTAATTCCAGCTAAAAAATGTACGCTTCCTACCTCTGTTAGAGCCGTTTATACCTTCCCCTCCATCATCTGCACCTCCACAATCTGAGAAACATCCTTTACATGGATCCTAATCTGAGTCTGCACCTTCATTCCGAGCAGCTTCAGCTGTCGCTGGGATTAGCTGGAGTTTAGGGGCTGTGGAGCGAGTCTATTTTTGGACTTGATGAAACGTAACAAAGCTACTCCACTTGCATCTGGACTGGAAATATTCAAATATGCATCCTTTAAAGGCTTAAAGCTCAAATTGCCTTGAAATGTAGGAACAGGCCTCAACGTGTTGTTGCACTTCACCTCAAGGTCAATCAAGGATGTGTCGTTTGACACCCAATCAGGCTCAATAATTTTAAATCAGTTAACCAAATGATTCACTGACAGGTCGTTGAGGTCAGCAGGTGTTTCATCCAGCATTTTTCACACCAATAATCACAAAAACATAGCATATTTCTCCTATAAATGCCATCATCTGCAAGGAAATTGTGTTTAGCTAATTGATGACGATCACTTCCTCCTCTGCTCTCTGCAACCTTCTGTTTCAGAGTCGCTTTCCCTTCCTTCTTAGGTGTATTCATCAAACTTTGTTTGGGAGGAACATTGGCAGAGGCTGCAGTGAATGCTAATAATGTGGTGGAGAGCTGAGTCACTGCGGGAGGTGCAATGCGCTGTGCAGAGGTTTTAAGGGGGACTGAGAAAGTTTTACCGCTACAAGCTCAAGTACAGTCTCAATTAGTCTTAAAGAGGAGCAGATGACGCCATTAACCTCGGCAATAAAGATGCTACAAGTGAACAAGGACGTCTGCAGAAGCTGGGTGCTCTGCTGGCCAACATGGCTTTCAAAACAGTGAGATGAGACACAGAAACAGACCAGGAGGAGAAAATGAAAACAAAGAGAGATTGAGAGGATGAAGGAGGAAAGAAGGATTTGAAAAGGTTACCTTCAATAATGTGTTTTCTGTTTAGGCCTCGCTCTGTTTCAGCTCTGAAATAGCAGGAAAAGAAGAGTTACTCAGGTGTGTTAATCTAATAAAACGCACCACTGTCAAGATTTAAGCAGACCATTAAAAAAAAGGTGAAATTATGCACAAGACACTGAAAGGGTAAAGAGAAATATTTAGTGCTTTGCAGAAAAACAAATTGACAAATGTTTGCAGAAAGATTTATTTGACCCTTCAGCTTTGTTTCAGGATGTCTCCAAACTTCATTCCCTGCAAACGTGGAGTTTCAGGCGGTTTTCTTTGGAAAAAAAACTGTTCACTCGGGCTTTGTGAACCTCGACTAAAACCAAAAGCTGCAGGAAACACCGGAAGAAAAGAGGAGCATCTCAAAAACCCACAAGTTGTCTGATTTAATCAGTGCTTGTGTCTCTGGCTGGGTGACAAGTTCAATATCTCCCTCGTTTTTAGCGGCTTCCTGTGGGAGATGCCTAGCTGTGCCGCTGCTAAATGTTATCTGACATTTACCTCTACATTTCTTGGAGCAGTGCTGCTGATGATAGTTTGTCTGAAAACTCCCAAAACGGGAGTTATCTGTGCTCAGCAGTGTCGGTTGTGTTAAATTGGCCACTTTAAGGTTTTCTGCTTTGATCTGCCACCTAGTAGAATTCTTTTACTTTCATCACCGTGCTTCTTTTTGCTGAATTACCCCCGTTTATTTATTTATTTTGCCTCTTTGTGCACTTTCTCTTTCTGCTTCTCTGGTTTCTTGGCTACTCCAATTTGCTTTGAGCAAAATTACTAAAATTATAAATGCAGAAAAAATGTTGTCTGACATCCATATGATCAAGTCTTTCTTCTTGTGTGCAAACAAGAATGAATGTGCAGCGGAAAGCTGCAATCAAACACAAGCTGAGGAGGCTTGTTAAGACTCATAATCCTCCCACTGTCCTAATGGGTGACCCAGCGAGGAAAGTTGACCATTGAGCAGGGTTGAGTGAGCACCACCTCACCCCTGCCACATGGACCCAAGGGATAAACCATCAACCCTGCTCAATGGTCAACTTTCCTCGCTGGGTAACCCATTAGGACAGTGGGAGGGTTAGAGACCAAGTTTACTTCAGCCACTTTTAGAAAACAATTTGCCGCTAAGCAGAAGCAGCATCATGGTGCCTTTGGGCATTTAAAAGTGGTCAGCCCATGCCGGTAATGTGGCGCAATTCTGTCCTTTTCATGAACAATTACACAATGGTGGTTAAAAAGGGGGTGTGGGGTCTCTGCGCTGCCACGGACTTCCCTTTATCTTAAACATAACATGCTTTTTATTGCGATCGAAGCCGCGCTCCTTACGTTGTTTTGACAAGCCGCTCCTGAACGTGTCTCCACAGTTCCCGTGAACTGTCAGGTGACCTGAGCAGCAGCTCTAATGGAGAGAACCTCCTGGAGCTCTACATCTCTCCAGTTTATCATCTCAACTGGTTCTTTTTACAAAAGCTAAACTTACTGCCCATGTTTATTTAAATTTTTCAAAATAGTTGCTAGCATGAGCACAGCAGTAAATATACACGTGATCAAGACACCACCCTCTGTTGTGCAAAGGCGTAATCTTCATTTACATGTCTACCAAGTGACTACTAAATGTGGCGGCAGCATTACACTGATTTGCTGCATGGTGTGTCTGACCCCGGTTTCACACTGAAAGCATCAGTGGCGCGGAACGTCACACCTTCAAATAGAATCCATTGTAGTCTATGGACTGTTTTAAACCAGCAATGATGCTAAAGATAGGATCGGGTTCTATTTTTGTCACGAGTCACTTCTGGGATGCATCAATTACCGTAGTTAACATTGGGTTATACAGGAAATCACACGTGGTTTCAGTGTAAAATCCCTGATACTTTTCAAAATAAAAGTTGTTGTAGTTTTTGTTTTTACAGCACATTTGCAGTGGTTTCTAGTATAAGCGTATGCCTTGTGAATACATCTCTGTGGGAAAACAGCACTGACGCTCCTGCTTAGGGAAGTAGAAGTTAGCTGGAGTAGAGGGGAGCAGAACACAGCAGGGATTGGAGTCTCATTTCCTGATACTCAGACAGCAATGCAACTCTACCACTGATCCTGTTTGCTCTGCAACGTTGTTGTTTTATCTCCACAGATATCACAAGCTGAAGGAATTGTTAAGGCTAATGGTTAGCTTCTACTAGTCCAGACACTCTCTGCTCTCCCCACCGTTGCAAACCAAGATGGGTCTAGTTCTATCGGCAGCCTATAAAGGAAATAGGGGTAGAAGACCGCTTTCACATTTAGCCTGCATGTGAAGCTCACAGTGAATGACCATATTTAAAAAATAACAAGTGAACTTGCTCTTTAAGTAGTTACTCGCCAAATGAATGAGGTAAAAACAGCAGTGTGAGAAAATTATTTTAAACAAAACGTACTTCCTTTATTTATTTATTAATTTTTTGGGTCAACTGAGGTTTGTCAGACAGGAACAGAACCAGAGGCAGCATGAGGACATGCTGGTGGATGCATACTTCCCTCAGTAAAACCCAGAAGGCTTTTAAAAAGAAGGAGCATGTGACTAAGGCAGACTGAACACAGAATACTTCAACATGACAGCAAGAGTAAATATGACTCGTGGCCAGAAGCCTGTGGGTGTTTAAATACAATATGGAAAGGAAATGGATGGCTGTTATTTGTTGGAGTGTGTTTGCACCTGTTTCTGTTTTATATATATAAATATAAAGGATGTCAAAATGAATGCTTCCAGCAGATAGAAGCAAAGGAAAAAAAAGTAATGTCTCGTTAGTTATTAGTCAGACCATCTAAGGTGGAAAATTCACGTGATGGACAGACACCAAACTAAACACACTTACTTCCCTCCCCAGTAGAGTTTTGTGGTGATCACCAGACTGGATCTCCTGAGAGAGAGAGAAAGAGAGAGAGAGAGAGAGAGAGAGAGAGAGAGAGAGAGAGAGAGAGAGAGAGAGTGTTAAGAGTTGTTGTAGCAGTGCCTACATTTGTGACTTCCATTGCACAAGCCAGTGTAACAACCAAACATGTGAGACACTTTGTTCGCTGCATTCAGATGTGAGACGTGCCAGACAGACAGTGCTGCATTTTTCAAACGCGTAACTTATTGAGTCTGAGGACCTACAGAGAAAGTCTTGCCTCTGAACTCTAACAAGAAAACTCCCACACACTCACATCCTTCATGCTTGATTCATCGATAATTTAAACCACATCCAGAGTTGGAGTGAAAGCGGGTACAGAGCTGAGCTGAGAAAGGTGCAGTGCGGATAAGTCCTGATACTGTGCACGTTGTCTCAGTGATGAAGTGACAGCGGGCTCTGTGGAACCAGTTCAATTTAACATGCAGAAATTTTCATCTAACATGTGATTTCATGCCTAATGTCCACCTAACATCCAGGAGGTGGCATGAATTCTCCCCCTGCCACTTCCATCTGTTCATCTCACCATGTAGAGCTTTTGAAAACAGAAACAGAAACATATTAAGCATGCAACTTGTAGTTAGTCTTGCTTTGCTTGATTTGGATTTAGCTGCTATTACATTAAAAAAACATTTGAGGGTCATGAATCAGATAAGTTACAGAGTAATCACAAAACATACCCTCAGATGAAAATACATTTGTTATGTTTGGCATTTTTGCTTTAGAAAGACAATTATAAAAAAATGTTTTCCCTCACAAGTGGCTTTCCAGCCCTGCTTTTAAATTTTCAGAGAAACTTTATTATTTGAAAAAAGGATTTCTGACAAAAAATACACTTTTAGGGTGAAGCTTTGAAAAGGATGACAATTAATTTAATCAATAAACCTATTATTGAGTGCATATCAATGATGAGAATGGGATAAGGGGCTCCCGGGTGCCCCTCTGGGACAGATCCAGTTGGGCATATCATGGACTCCTGGTAACACTGGAACCTGATTTGCCTATCTCAGCTGTCTGTAGAGGATTCTGAAGACGTCTGGATATTTGTGGTGTTGGTGTCAGGTTTCCTGTTCTTTGGCCTAGGAGGCTTTCTGGCTTACCGGAAAATTAGGGAGCTGTCGAGGAATATTGGCGCACTCCCCGAGCTCAGGGATGGATTACACCGCGCTGTGATTCACAGACTCATATAATTGTCGAGATGAGTCGTAAGCTTGGAACTTTGGCTGAGATTCATATGTTGGCACAAAAGATGGATGCCATCAAGGAGCGAGTGGACCAATTAGCACGGATTGGGATAGATTGATTTACGCCATTATTGGGATTTTGAGAGGTTGAGGACCAACGGAACTTTAAGACAGAGAGGAAATTATCTCTGTCTGGCCCCAAAACAATTTCTAATCTGAATCTGGTGCCCTTGAGCCTGTGAGGCTACAACAAATACTCCCCCCTCAGAAGAAATGTGGAATGTTGCCATCACTATGGCAACTCTGTCTCCCTATCCCAGCCTGGGCGGGACTGCGGGCTGTGAAGGCCGCCGAATCGTTCCAGGAGTCACTGTGCCCTTCAAACCCGAACAATCTCCCTCCCCTGTCCAGACTGAGGTGACCTGCGCTGCTTATCGTGGCTGCAGGCAATGACGTGTGGAGTCCCAAACCCACCACCCCACCTAGTGGACACTTATGTTGTGTGATGTCTGAAGTCTGTTGCATTTCTGTCTGAAGTGTTTTTTGCATAGCAAAGCTGCCCTCCCTGTGGAGGGTAACTCTGAAGTGCTTTTTTTTCCCTCTACCTGAACCAATCCTCATGTAACCCCTCTGATTTCTATTAAGGTAGCGCGACTCAGGGTTGCGAATGACCACTGTCACCAATTCTTGTCATGTGTCTTTGCCTATGTTTGCATGTCTGATCTCAGAATTGTGTGTACTGAAACTCTAATTTCCCTCTGGGATTAACAAAGTACCTTTGAATTGAACTGAATTGAATATGCTGCTTGAATGAACTCAGACCTCAACCAAACCCAAGTACATCATAATTGCTATTGACTACATTATTATTTAACTTTTGCAAGCTAGCCTCATCTCTGCAGGATGAAAAACTGTTTCTTGTCTTTGTTGGTGAATGACCATCATTGTAACAACAACCCACAAATTATAATTATGTACATTTTGGTTATCTCTAATATGCAGATGAGATATGTCCTGCATGCTCTATGGTGCATCTTTTAACAACAAGAGCATTGATTGGACAGAAGAGGAGGTTTGGGTGAATCTTGTGTGTTTCAATCACAATTTTGCTTTCAATATGTAACATTTTACCACTTTAAAGGTGTTGAAGACTCATTTAATCAGTACATTTGCAGTGATTTCTGATAGGAATGAATGCCTTGCAAGTCGTACTGAGGGGGAAAAAGCCCAGAAGTGCCTGGATCAGCACAGACATGTCTGCTGCAGCAGAAAGTGGCAGCAGATCAATTCAATTCAATTCGATTCAAAAATACTTTATTAATCCCAGAGGGAAAATAATTTATGTAGTAGCTCAGAATAATAATATAATAATAATCAAGTCATCAAAGAGTTATTGTATAGTACAATGGCTGTAGGCATGAAGGATTTCCAGTAGCGGTCAGTGTTGCAGCGAAACTGAAGAAGCCTCTGACTGAAGACACTCTTCCGTTGTAGGACAGTGTTGTGAAGAGAATGCTCAGGGTTGTCCATCATTTTCTTGATTTTCTGGAGAATCCTTCTTTGAATTATCTCCTCCAGTGGTTCCACAGTCCCCAGAACAGAACCAACCTTATTTATTAGGCTGTTGAGCCTTTTCAGGTCTCTGCTTCTGATGCTGCTACCCCAACAGACGATGGCTGAAGAGATTACACTCTCAACAACAGACTTGTAGAAGATCTGCAGCATCTTGCTACAGACATTGAAGGACATAAGCGTCCTTAAAGAAGTGCAGCCTGCTGTGTCCATTTTTATAAACAGCTTCACTGTTCTTTCTTCAGTCCAGTCTGTTGTCCAAGTGAACTCCAAGGTATTTGTATTCCTCAACCACCTCCACTTCTTCTCCCATGATGGAAACAGTGTTTGACTCCACCCTGTTTCTTCTGAAGTCTAAAATCATCTCCTTTGTTTTGTTCACGTTCAAGGTCAGATGATTGTTTCCACACCATGCCACAAAGCGCTCCACCAGTTCTCTGTACTCAGCTTCCTGTCCATCTCTGACACACCCGACAACTGCAGAGTCATCTGAGTATTTCTGTAGATGACAGGTCTCTGATTTGTACTGGAAGTCTGAGGTGTACAGGGTGAAAAGGAATGGTGACAGTACAGTCCACTGTGGTGCTCCAGTGTTACTGATTGCCTGGTTTGATGCGCAGTTCTTCAGCCTCACAAACTGTAGTCTTTATCCAGGCGATAGTTGAGGCCCCCACCTGTGTCTTCTGGAGTTTCGGGCAAAGTACATCAGGCTGGATTGTGTTAAATGCACTGGAGAAATCAAAGAACATGACCCTGACAGTGCTGTCTGCTTTGTCCAGATGACAGTGGATTGGTTGAAGCAGCTGGATGATGGCATCTTCAACTCCATCCCCCTGGTGATAAGCAAACTGCAGTGGGTCCTCATCTGTCCGAGTTTGCTTTTTCAGGTGGACCAACAGGAGTCTCTCCAGGACCTTCATGATGTGGGATGTCAGGGCAACCAGTCTGTAGTCGTCATTGACTGATGGGCAAGTTTTCTTTGGAACTGGAACAAGGCAGGATGTCTTCCACAGGATTGGAACGTTCTCCTGGGCCAGGATGAGGTTGGAGAGGTGCTGCAGAATCCCACAGAGCTGCTCTGCACAGGCCTTCAGTACTCTGGGGCTGACACCATCTGGACCTGCAGCCTTGTTCCTGTTCCGTCTCTCCAGCTGCCTCTTCACCTGACTTCTAGAGACAGATAGGTGGGAGGGGGAGGTAAATGGGGCAGCAGCATCTCCTGACTTGGTTGAAGACAGATTTATAGAACCAGAAGAGTCCATGACTGTGTTAGAGGACAAAAGAGATGGTGTGTGACAGGAAAATGTTGGATCAGAGGAGGATGGGATGTCTGATTGGCTGGGGACAGGCGAGGAGGATGCTGGGTTTGTTCCTGAACTGAACCTATTGACGGACTTGTTCAGTTCATTGGCTGTGTCCAGGCTGCCATCTGTGCAATCCTTCCTCTGCTTGAAGCCTGTGATCTTCTTCATCCCTGACCAGACATCTCTGATATTGTTCCTCTGTAGTTTGTTCTCCAGCTTCTTCCTGTATGCCTCCTTGCTGTCTCTGATCTTGATCTTCAGTTGCTTCTGTATACTCCTCAATAATTCCCTGTCTCCCTCCTTGAAGGCTCTTTTTTCTCATTTAGCAGATTCTTCAGTTCACTGGTGATCCATTATTAGCAAAGCATCTCACTGTTCTGGTGGGTATGAAATTGTCCACACAGAAGTTTATATAGTCAGTGACACATCCAGTCATGGCATTGATGTCCTCTTCTCATCCTTGGGAGAGAGTCATCCAATCTGTGATCTCAAAACAACCCTGCAGGACTTCTTCAGCATCCTGTGACCATTTTCTCACAGTTCTTCTTGTCACAGGTTACCTCTGAACAAGTGGTTTGTATTCTGAGCAGAGAAAAACAAGATTGTGATCTGATTGTCCCAGAGGAGGTCTGTTTTGGACATGTATGCATTCTTTACATTTGCATAACACAAATCCAATGTCTTGTTTTCTCTGGTGGAGCAGCTGACAAACTGTTGAAATGTTGGAAGTGTAGCAGAGAGCGAGGCATGATTAAAATCACCAGATATAGCCAAAAATGCATTGGGGTGCTGGGTTTGTAGCTTAGCGACAACGGAACTGATGGCATCACATGCATTTTCAGCCCATGGCTGAAGGTGGAATGTAAACGGTTGCCAAGACAACATTGGTGAACTCTCTTGGCAAATAATATGGGTGACAACTTACTGCCAAGAGTTCAACATCTGGGCTGCAGAGACAACATTTCACTGAAACATGACCTGGATGGCACCACCTGTTGTTGACAAGCACTGGCACTCCACCTCCTTTTCTTTTCCAGCTCCTCTTCAGATCTCTGTCTGCTTGTACAGTCAGGAATCTTGGTGGAGAGATGCTGTAATCGGTTATATGGTCCTGCAGCCACGTCTCAGTGAAACACATAACACTGCACTGCCGAAACTCTGGCTGAGTCCTTGAAAGGGCTTGGAGTTCCTCCATCTTGTTGGCCAGTGGTCTCACATTGCCCATTATGATCGATGAAAGAGATGGATTGAATTTCCTCTTTCTCTGTCTCCGTTTTGCTCCCACTCTGCACCCACGCTTCTTGCGTTTTAACTCATTTGGGATTTGTGGCTTCAGTTGACACATTATTTCAGCCTTTCCAATGATAATCAGCTGCTCCCGATTGTAAACCAGCTTGTTGCCATGGTTTCGCATCACAAAAAATGCTCAAAAATTGAAAAAAGCGAGTAAAAATCCTCCAAGCGTCACATCACCAGAAGCAGAGAAGTAAAACGTCCAAAAAATACCATTTTTATTGAGAAACTAGAAGAAAAAATGTCCAAGAAAAGGCAAAACTTACATATGGTCAACAGCGCTACTCCAACATGCAGCCACCCAGAGCAGCGCAGTTCCGGAAAGATGGCAGGTTTTGGAGTCTTATTTTCTGATATTTGGTCAGCTTGCCTTGGATTGGATTACATTGCAAATCTACCAGTGACTCATTTTGTGCTGCAACATGGATGTTTTACCTTCACAAAGAACACAAGACAGGAGAGCTTCTGCTGTGTGGTTGAGTGACTAATGCTAATGGTTAGCTTCTGCTAGCCAAGATGTTCAATGCTGTTTCCTGGATGCTAAAACAACAACAGCCTTCCCTGCTGTGAGCCAAGATGGGTGAGTCCAAGAGACCCCTTGAAGTAGAGCGGTCAGAATTTTCAAATCCTTGCATTTCAACATCTATTTTCTGTCAGAAGCTAATGCAGGAGATAGGTGTAGGAGATTATTTTCATGTTCAGTCTGCATGAAAACCCCAGAGTTACCGATTATAATCAGACACAATCATTAGAAATGGTTTTTCAGTGTTTCACACCTTTAACTCTGAGACCGTGGCACTGTCCGGAGACTAGCTGCAGATTCTTTGGGTCCTGCGGGTTTATGATGAATGGGCCTTCTTTGTGCACATCCTGCAGATGTTAAATTTGTCTGGGATGCTGGGAGGTTAGAGGTTGCCTTACTGCCCTCATCTTATTGTTGTGCTTGAGTGGTATCTTTGTAGTGTTTTTTTAGGGTGTTTGTCCAGTTGGGGAATGCTGCTGCTGGTGCTGCTGCTGTGTGTGTGTGTGTGTGTGTGTGTGTGTGTGTGTGTGTGTGTGTGTGTGTGTGTGAAAGAGGAAAGGTAACATCCTCATGAATGCAAGGTTACTCAGCAAAGCACTGCATGTTAATGAGATGCCCAGAATAATTTATTCCAGCGGAGCCACAGCTGTCTCGTGTAGACGTGCCGGGTTTTAAGTTAGTTCTTTCTGACAATAATCCACCTTTTCCTACAAAATGAAGCCAAAATGAAAACGACATCACAGAGTCAATCTTAAAGCAGCAGGTAAAGCCCATGACATTTAGTCCAATTTGTGAAATGAAACATTTGTCCCAAAAAACAAACTAACAAAAAGGCTAATAATCTCCTTAGTTGTTTGAAAGTAAAAATTTTTTCTAGGGTTTTGCATTTCAATTGTATTCCTCTTCATATTTTTTTTTTTTTGCTTTCCTAGCATCATTTCTCCACTTAATTGGGGGTCACGAGTCTCTGCAGCTGGTATTTTGTGGTTTTAATTCTGATCTGAAGTATCTTTGCCACACAGGGTACCTCCAGCACTTCTTCTTGATGATGTTGCCCAGGATTATCTCAGCTCTGTTGGAAAAAATACATAAGAAACACAATTAGCTACAAAAACATAAGCAACACAAACGTTATCTGCCACATCATCTGCAGCTCGGAAACCTGATTAAAACCTACAACACTAAAGGGTAAATGACTCCTGGATTGTATGCCTGAATCGCATCAGCGACCTTGAAATTACGATTCATCCCATCACGGCTGTAACATGTAGTGCGTCATTCACAGAGAGGAGATTATATCGGGCAGCGAACATAAAAAAAGAGCCTCCAGTAGTGAATCTCATTATCTAAACCACCTAAAAGACACAGGTACAGCTACTTCCTGCAGGATGAAGTGCATAATTCCTGCTTTGGGGCTATCCTATTTCAAAATCCAATGCCTGTGAAGGAAGAAGAGGAAAGTGGGAACACTCACTTTCCCCCGGAGTAAACTTCAGCCGTATCAAACAGGTTGACCCCGCTCTCATAGGCGATGGTCATCAGCTGCTCTGCCACCTGACACAGATTAGAAAAAAGAGCTCTCGTGAGTGACTGTGAGGTGTAACAAACTACAGCAACACAGACTCCACTTCAAACAGCCAAGAAATCCCCAGAAGACGGCGAAGGAGTCATCACTACAAAGACTACACGGGCTGCTTGTTGATTTAAGTTGTTTACTGCACAATGTGTTTTTCAAACTCTTCTGACCCATTTCTTGAAAAATGGAAATAAGGCCAGATGGGGTAACCAATTTATTATGAGAAAATCATACGTCTGTACTATTTTCTTACTTTTTTTCAGTGATTTTGTTCATGTCTCTGTGCCAGTGCATCCCAGCGGTTATCAGTCACTGATGAGTTGTCCCCAATAACCCCCCCCCACCCCCGCCTCCCTCCTCTTTCCTCCAAGGCTGAGTTTAGCCACTTGTCCTCTGGCGGTGAAAGATGAAACCTAATCACTTAGCCTTGGTGGAGCCAAAAGGACCAAACGACCTGCTACGATGGTAGAAAGTTGATAATTAAGTTCTGCTCACATCATTTTATATCAAGCAGCAGTAAAGTGCTTCTCCGGGCTGTGAACTGCACACCCATTCACTGATGTTAAAATAATGAAAGCCGCCACACGCTCTGGAGCCATGACAGGTGAATAATAAAGGTGACAAAGTCTTACCTCATCAGAGATCTGACCTCCAAATGTTACCCACGTTCCTGTTGACAAAAATGCCAAAAGTCAAATCTTTGGCACAATCACAAAAAGACCTTCTGCATGTAAGGCAAGACATGTTTTTTTTCCTCCCGATGTGCATTCATTATCACTATGACGTTTTTGGAACAGACACATGACACAGTGCCTCCTGCCCTGAAGCCATCACAGCCAAATGTCAGCGACGTGAGCTTTGGCGGAGATGCATCCAGACGTTTGTGTCAGATCAAACATATTAAATCCATGACACTATATAGATTTATAGACAACAACATAACGTCATCAGAATCAGAATGAACCTTGGTGCTGAGAACTGCTGCCTGCTATTTTAATGATATTACAACAATAAAATCCCACTAATAAATTATATTGTTTCACTCATAGATAAAAAAATCATAAACTTTATTTAATCATTTAGTTTCATTAATTATTTTGCCTCTTTTCTACAACAGTGAACATTTTAAAAGTCAAAACCTGCTTTTGCTGGGGTTTTTTCCAGAGGACAAACTCACAAGAATCTTCCTTTCGCCAGCAGACATTTTTACATTTTTACTGACAATGTAGGGAATCATTTTAATTCAAGTGGTAAAACATAAATTTGCTATAGCTTATCTTTACTACTAAAATGCTTTGTTTGTGTCTTCTGATGGAATATTCTTCTTCAACAGAGGTTGGCAAACTTCCATTAAACGATTCAAATAAATGTGCACAATTCTGTTTATAAAGCATTTTACAGGCTGTAATTGTTTTATGTGAACAGCATTACTTAAAAAAGCGAACTTTTGGCAAATCATTGGTCGGTTCTTCAGAACAAGCATTATAATGATTCTTTTTTTAATGCAAACACACAGAGTTCCTTTTCTTTCTCCAAACAAGACAAGAAGAAGGATCTTTGGTAAGGCTATTCCATCTTCTCGGAACAACAAGTCACACGTTACATGCTACCATTTCTCAGTAAGAGGAGCTAATGGAAAACGTGTTAAATCAGTAACCAAATGTGCAGCAGTACAGCAGCAGATTGGTGTAGGCGCAGACTGAATTTGCCCAGCTGGCATTGGCCATAACAAAATCTGCCTGGTTCAACACATCTTTGGAGCTGTGATGACAACTTCTTGAGACTTAACATGATTTGTATTCATTCTTTTGCCCAAAATTTCAGTTTTCTTTTTAAAAAGTTGCTGATTTCCAACAAGAATAAAATTAGTGAAACTTTCTACAATAACTTATTTTTGCGTCATGATTTGATAAGTACGCTAAACTGGTTGTTGCTGCTAAAGTGACGTAAGATGTGTATGAAAGAAATACAGTCTCGACTTCTTTTAGACATAGAATTTTTCTTTGGTGAAGTTTTGTATTTGATATTGTTTTAACCAAAAATACGCCTGTAAGAACGTGATCTGTAAAAATTATACTGCAGAATTTCAGCTTTAAAAATTAAACATTCAGAAGCAAAAATTCTACTTCAGATTTTCAACAGCAAAAATTCCCATTTCAGAAATTAAACTTTAAAAATTCAACAGCAAAAATTCTCTTTCAGATTTTCTACAGCAAAATTGAATTTCAGAATTTAAACTTAAAAAATTTAACTTTAGAAATTCAACAGCAAAAATTGAACTTCAGATTTTCTACAGCAAAAATTCTATTTCAGAAATTGAACTTTAAAAATCCAACAGTAGAAATTCAGCTTCTGATTTTTCAATAGCAAATATTCTACTTCAGATTTTCAACTTCAGAGATTTAACAACTAAAATTCTATTTCAAATGAGGCAACATCCCAGTGACACAAGCCAAAGTAATCGTCACTCGATTAAATCTACACTTCACTGGCGTCACATGATTAGAGAAATGTAATTTGATTGGCTAAAAACCTCTCAACTTGCTTGAGTGACGATTACATGGGTCACCAGAAGGTCACCTCGTTTGCTGTTTAATTTCTCAAGTAGAATTTTTGCAGCTGAAATTATTTTGTTGAATTTTTATGTAGGAAAATTTTGCTTGTGTATTTTCAGTAAAAAAAATTATAAAATTAAACAATAATAATTTCAGAGAATAAAAATTCAACGTTTACTTGTGTATTTTAAGTTAAACATTTTTGGGGGGAGAATAAAAATTCTATGTTATAAATTTAATGTCTAAAAAAGTAGTATTCTGGTAAGACTATTTCTTCCATAGGTGTGGAGGCTGAGCACTGAGTCAGGAAAGGGGCTCATAGTTTTAGCACACAAGTAACACTGAAATTAATTAGATAGCTTATAGAATTAGAAAATATTTTATTATTGTCCTCTGCAAAAAAGGTAAAATTGTGCATTTTAATAAAACCTTCCAAAAATAATCATTGGATATCCAACTATCACTAATTCAAACACAAAAATGGCTCCAACTCAATCGATTTTACAGATAATGAACTAAAATATGACGTTTTAGCAGAGAGTCATTCACAACTCATAATCTCAGTGCCAATTAAAGGTGCAATTTGTAAGCATGACATCCTGTGGTCAAATATGGGTACTGCATTCCATTTTTAAGCAAAAATGTTACTTTTCCCACTGCCGTTCGGTGACTTTCATTGCTGTTGCCAGTTATAGATCAGCACCAAAATATTCTAGATGACAAGAAAAGATGAGTCATAGACATTAAGTTAATAAGTAGATAAATAAATTGCAATATGGTGATAGCACTCTTGGATGCTTTACAGTATGGAACACTTATTACACTTATTATGATAACTATATATATATATATATATATATATATATATACATATTATATATATAATTATGTGGCATAATTATATATATATATATACATATTATATATATATATATATAATTATGTGGCATTAAAGGAAGTGTGGCTGTTTGCCGTCTTGCTGTTAGCTTGCTGTTATAGTTCTGAACAACTCATTAAAGTGTCGTTCACTGAAATTTTTTTTTAATTATTACTTCTCATTATAATCAGTCACTCTTAGGTTTTCATGCAGGTTGAACATGAAAATAGTCTTTCTACACCTATCTCCTGCATTAACGTTTGATAGAGAATAAACGGTGAAACGCTAGGATTTGAAAAGTGTGACAGATCTACGTCACACTGTCACTTAACATTCATTGACTCACACATCTTGACTCACAACGAGGTGGGCTGTTGTTGGTTTAGTGTCCAGGAATTGGCAGAGAACATCTCGACTATTAGAGGCTAACCATTAGCATTAGCAACTCCACCACACTGCAGAAATTTTTCAGGCTTGTGTTATTAGGAGATAAAACATCAATGTTGCAGAGCAAATGGTACTCGTTTAATCAATAAATTTGCTTCCATATTGCTCCTTTCATGCAACAAGATCATGTGACAGAGTTTAAAATTCTGGAAAATAAGATATGAATTCCTTCAAGAAATTATAATGAGGTTTAATTTTTGTCCAGCTTGGTTTTATTGACCATTAAATCAAATTTACATTCCTTCTTTTTCATCTTCTTTGGCAAATTCAATCAGTGAATCACTTAATTCAATTTTTGATAATTATAGTTGTTCGACTGACACAAAAATAAAAAGTGATCATGATATTTAGAAGCAAAAGTGTGCAACTATTTCAAAGCCTTCAATCCTTTTTCTTTTTTATTTCAGGGATGAAATTGTATTGTCTTATCCGGTGTTTGTAACATAATGCTCTAATAAAATCCACAAAGGGAGGAACAAAACCTGAGGGTTTGCTGCTAAATCCATACTTGGCACAGTTTCTTCCCACTTTTGTGACTCCTCAGTGTTGAATGATTATTGACAGCAGAAATAATTGGAAAGAAGAGAAGGACTCTTGGAGGTAATGCGCACAAGCCAGGAAAATGTTCTTTGTAATATTTTTATGATTTCCTGTTTGCAGTTTTGAGCCAAGTTGGCTCATACACGGTGCGCTGGCTTAGCAAATGCTGAAAAATGTTGGTATTTTTTAAGTAAATCACATAATTTAATTGCACAGTTAAAATGTCAAAATACAGAAAAAAACTGCATACATTTAAATCCCCCTCCAAAAAAGTTTTTCTTTGTAGTTCAGCTGAGTTTTTGTCCTTGTACGTTGCATAAATCCAATGCAACACAGAATCGATGTTCAGCTCAAGGGCACAAGGACAGGGAGGAGGTTTGCAGCTTCAAAGCATGAAAGTAATCCTGCTCAGCTGCAAAATGCCCCTCCTCCATAATATTCAGCTGCGCCTCGACGTGCCGTGACTACATCTTTAAAGATATTGGAATGATTAATTGTTTCATTTTCACAGCTTCCTTTGTGTTTGCAGTCCCAGGCTGACACAGCATCATTTCTCTGCCTTATGAAGCTATTTAGTTGTTGTTGTTGTCAGTGGCGATACCCTTTCAAGCAATTTGGCACACATATTTACTGCAAGGAAAGGAAGCAGGGAGAAAAGAATTTAATGAATGAATCCAGAGGAATGAGAAAATTCCCCCTGTGGTGTGCATCAAATTTTGTGATAATGGGGCTATTTGTTTACTCCAAACACCTCCATTGATTAAATATTAAAGGGAAACTGTAAATGTGCTGCATTAGGCTTTTATTGTTGCTCTTGTGACATTCCAACTAAATTAAAGATGCATGAAGTTTAGAAAAGGATGTAATCTAAAGGATGCCCAGCTCAGATTTGCAACTCTCAAAGCTTCTGCAGTCACATAAACACACAAAAATATCTGACTATGACTAAGACGCAACTGGAAGAAAATGAAGTTATTCTGATTGACGGTACTCACCCAGACCCAGGCAGGAGACACGCAGCCCAGATTTGCCCAGGTTCCTACGGGAGACATCAAAACTCGATTTAGAAAATCAGCACAAATCAGACTTCATCACTAAACAGTGATTACACATTCTGGGTTGGTTCTAAAGCAAACATCAAGAAGACACATAAAGTTTCAGTACACCACCAGAGGAAGAGATTTGCTGAATCTGACAGTCACCTTCATCACCTACAGCAGGCATGGGGAACCCTGGTCCTCGAGGGCCGGTATCCTGCATGTCAGAATCCTGCATGTCAGTATCCTGCATGACTTTGCTCCAACACTTGTGATTCAATAGTTGATTCACCTGTTCTGCAGCTCATCAGACTCTGCAGAAGCCTGTTAATCACCTGCTGATTGAAATCAGGTGTGATGATGCAGGGTTGAAACTAAAATATGCTGGATAGCGGCCCTCGATGGACCAGGGTTCCCCACCCATGACCTACAGTGTAGAATCACAACCAAAGATTTATGAAGCTCACACCCTCTCGTGGAGATCTCATGGCCGTCTGAGGATATATATTTTTTATTTTATCTTGCTAAAACCTCAGAGAACAGTGATGTTTTGCTTTGTAGCAGCAAGACATTTGGTGCGTTGCATTTTGACAGATGCTGCCCTTTTCTTCTGGCTCATTCCTCACTTGACTGCATCGTATCCTTGTAGCGTTTGATGTCTTCCTGCAACAGGAAGCACATCAGTCCTGAGGCATTCTGATGTTATTGTCTTTCCCACAAGATGCAGACAACTACGCTCACTCATGTTGCATCATGTCAACGCTGCTCAGGTTTCCTCTCCCTCTCTCTGTGCTGAATTGTCTAATGCAGTCATCTAACCAGTAGCAGGTCATTTACATGCAGCTGATTTGCAGGAATCTAATAGGATGCCACCTCTGATTCGTTCTCTTTTTATAGTTTTTATATCCGTTGCACATTAAATCCAACTGAGAGAGGAACTAATCTGGTGTGGGTTTTTAATTGCTCCACACAATCTGCAGAGTATTGTTCCTCTTCCAGTCGCCACAGGTGTCTGCTCACCACACGACGGATGGCAACTGGAGGTGACAGAAAACTGCGACAAGAAAACCACAGAAGCCAGCCGCTGCCATCCAGTAGTGGAAACTATTATTTTCCAAGGGCAGAAACCCATACACATGACCATTAACCAGCAGCAAAGCACTTTATTTTGAGAGTTGAATGTGAAAGATAAAAAAAAAAAACAACCTCCAATTGCGGTCTGGAGACGGTGCCTTCTCTGCTTTGCAGGCATTCACTCATTACAATAAATGAGGCTGTAAAAAGTGACAGAAGTCATTTTAAGCGGCCGGAAAACTCAGCCTGAGGAGATGAAGGAGAACTAATTCAAGGCCTGTGCTGTCTAAGCGTGCACTCAGCCGATTCAATTAACAGTCATGAAAAAGAGACGCACAAAGTCAGTTTAACTGCATTGTGGAGGAAGGGGAGTAAAACATAGAAATAAAAGGATTCAGAAACAAAGTCTAAGTGTGTAATTAGGACACCAGTAACAGCTTACTGCTGGGATATGCTCGTCTGGAGGAGTTCGGATATTGTCTCCTCCGTCTCTATGATGTTTCTGTTTCTGTTTCTGTATTTAGCAGACGCTTTTGTCCAAAGCGACTTACAAGTGATAATCGGCATGTTGCCCTTGAGGTTAAAAACAACAATAACAACAACTTGACATCAATCATGGAGAGGAGGGAACAAGGAGTAGACGGTAGAGAGGGGGGATGGGTGCAGGGAAGGTGCTAGTTTAGAAGATGCTCTTTGAAGAGCAGGGTCTTCAGGAGTTTCTTGAAAATTGTAAAGGAAGCCCCTGTTCTGGTAGTGCTTGGTAGGTCATTCCACATTTGTGGAACGATGCATGAGAAGAGTCTGGATTGTCCTGAGCGTGGTGTAGGCACTGCTAGCCAACGATCCTGTGATGACCGGAGCGGCCGGGCCGAGACGTAAGCCTTTACAAGAGGATTCAGGTAGATGGCAGCCGTACCATCTCGGACTTTGTATGCTAGTGTTAGCAATTTGAATTTGATGCGTGCTGCTAGCAGTAGCCAGTGGAGCTCAATGAACAGAGGGGTGACGTGTGCTCTTTTTGGCTGATTGAAGACTAGACGCGCTGCTGCGTTCTGGACCATTTGAAGAGGTCTCACAGTACAGCCTGGAAGACCAGTTAGAAGGGCATTGCAGTAATCCAGGCGGGAGATGACAGTAGATTGCACCAGGAGCTGGGTGGCATGTTGTGTTAGGTACGGTCTGGTCTTTCGTATGTTATACAGCGCAAAACGGCATGAACGAGCAACAGAGGCAACATGATCTTTAAAGGTCAGGTGTTCATCAATCACAACACCCAGATTTCGAACTGCCTTTGAAGGAGCCAGAGATAGGAAGTCATTTTGGATTGAGATATTTTGCTGTATTGATGGTTTTGCTGGGATGACAAGTAGATTCAGTTTTAGAGAGGTTGAGTTGGAGATGGTGGGATTTTATCCATTTTGATATGTCAGAGAGTGTTACAGATGTTGAGTTTAGAGTATGATTGGGATTTATACCAAGGATGTTGATGCTGCATTAATTTCAAATGGCTCAGGGTAAAGCATCTTTTAAAGAAATGCCTCAAAAACAGCTAAAAACAGCAAACACAGTTGCTTTCTGGTCTTTATTGATTCAGTTCCTTGAAGCACAACATTAAACAATGTGGTTGATCTTAAAATATAGCTAAAAACATGCCTTTGTTGCAGTTTAGTGTCTGATTCTCCATCTTTACACGGATTTACATGGACTGGCTTTTTGCCAAGAGGAACCCAAAAAACAAACAAAAAACCCAAAGCTGATGTTCATTATAAAAAAGAAAAGCCAAACCACTTTTGTGTTGTTGTTTACAGGGAGACAAAAAGCAGCAGCAGCCTCTTGATTATTAACTCACAAAGTCTGCTGTAGTACATTGTTGAAGGAACTAATGATTCACTGCATTTGAGTTTTTATTCTGCAGCAAAAAACGTGGAAATAAAGGAATAAAAAGTGTGATTCTGTGCTGGAGACAGAAAGAAAACACGGGATGTAGCTTCGCCATAAATTCACCTTATTAATCATAACAAAATGAATAAAAAATGAATCAGTTTGCATTTAAAACCCATAAATAAACAATTCTATAAGGGCTGAGAGTGGCTCGGCCTTTCATGTTTGGACGGTGGCCAATAGAAGCTGACAAATGAGTCATTGGACGACGCCCCCTCGCACACAGATGTCATCACTTATGAAGATCCTTTCAAGCTGCAACCAGATTCACTCGTATTCTAAATGCATCTGATGTATTGTGCTGATTATTGGGTGTAAATCACAAGAAAACTGGCCTCTAAATGTGGAAAAAGGCATTTTCTATTTCCTGGAAAGCATGTGCAGCATACCAGTCCCAAGCTGCATGTCCTTGTAATTTATTTTCTAAAACTGAGTCAGTCAATATTGTCAGGAAGTTTATGAGTAAATAGATAAAAGTCATCACTCGTGGGGGATTAATCTACACTAAGGGAACCCACACAAGCAAATGGGTGAAGGGACTGGACAACACCCACCTCCTCGGTTCCCACCATGCTCTTGGAGGTAATCATAGCATGGTTATAAAAATAATTCACTACAGAGAGAGAGAGAGAGAGAGAGAGAGAGAGAGAGAGAGAGAGAGAGAGAGAGAGAGAGAGAGACACTGGCTACAACAACAACAACAACAACAATAATAATAATAATAATAATAATAAAATAATAATAATAATAATAATAATAATAATAAAATAATAATAATAATAATAATAATATTAATAATAATAATAACAACAACAATACTAATACTACTACTACTACTACTAATAATTATTATTATTATAAATGTAATAATAAATAATAACCTTGGCGATCTGATCCTTGGCTGCAGAAGCTAACTCTCGGTACATGGAATGTCACCTCTCTGGTAGGGAGGAAGCCTGAGTTGGTGTGTGAGGTTGAGAAGTCCCGATTAGACATAGTCTGACTCACCTCAACGCATGACTCTGGCTCTGGAACCACTCATCTGATCTGCGGCCGCATGTCTTGGACACACGGATGAAGAGAGAGGCAGAGCTGTCAACTGACCACTACCTGATGGTGAGTTGGCTCTGATGGTTGGGGAGGATGCCAGTCAGACCTTGCCGGACCAAATGTATTGTGAGGGTCTGCTGGGAACGTCTGGCGGAGTGTCCTGTCCTCCAATAGAACTTATAAAATATTCCAGGGGAGGCATTGAATCCGAGTGGGCCTTGTTCCGTGCCTCCATTGTGGTCGTCGGTGCCTGTTGTGGTGGCAATCCCCAAACCTGCTGGTGGACACCAACGGTTAGGGATGCCGTCAAGTGGAAGAAATAATCAGGTCAGGTCTTTTTGGCCTGTGGGACTCCAGAGGCAGCTGGGGGTGGATGTCGTAGGGTTGTGTTGGCTGATGCAGCTCTGCAATATTGTGTGGACATCGGGGGCAGTTCCACTGGACTGGTAGACTGGGGTGGTGGTACCCCTACCACAGGTTGTGTTCCAAATAGGGATCACTCTCCTGAGCCTCCCTGGTAAAGTCTATTCATGAGTTCTGACAGGAGGGTCTGATCGATTGTCGAACCTCAGGATACCCTTAGGGGGTCCTGGAGGGTGAGAGTTCGCCCAACCCATCTAGATGTCTTTGTGGATTTGGAAAACGGGTTTGACTGTGTCCCTCGGGAGGCCCTTTGGGGGGACTTTGGGAGTATGGGGGACGAGGTCCTCTGTTAGGTCCCTATATGACCGGTGTCAGAGCTTGGTCCGCATTACTGGCAGAAAGTCAGGTTCATTTCCAGTGAGAGTTGGACTCCGCCAAGGCTGCCCTTTGTCACCGATTCTGTTCATAACTTTTATGGACAGAATTTTGAGGCACAGCCAAAGTGTTGAGGGGATTTGTTTTGGTGGCCAAAGGTTTGAGTTTCTGCTTTTTGCAGATGATGTGGTCCAGTTGG